CCTTTTCATTTATATGGTGATTGTGAAGACCTGGTCGAATGTTTTGCCAGTTTTCATTTAGATGTCATACTGATAACTTGTCCTATTGCTGTTTTGTTTTTTGGTTTGGGCCACACCCAGCTTTACCCAGTTACTCCCAGCTCTGCCCTCTGGAGTTACTCCTAGTGGTGTACAGAGAACCATATGGGATGCTGGATACTGAACCCATGTCGACTGCATGTAAGGCAAACACCCCACTCACCATTCTATCCCTACAGCTCCTATTGATATTTTAGAATCTTTACGTATTCTGGAGAAAACCTCTTCTTGAATTTATTTTTTTGGGGGATGGGGAGGTCACACCTGGTGATATTCAGGGATTACTCCTGGCTCAGCACTCAGGAAGCACTCCTGGTGGTCACAGGGGACATGGGTTCGAGGGAACAAACTCTGCTTGGCCATATTCAAGATAAAAACCCTACCCACTGTACTATTGCTTTAGTTCCTGCTCTCTTCTTGAATTTTTATATTAAAAACATCTTCCCTTCTCCCCCGACCGCCCCCCCCACACACACTCTCTTGTTAATTATTTTGTTTTGTTTTGAGGTCACATTTGGCAGTGCTTGATTGGGGCCCTGTGCTTGGATTTTGCTGGCTGTGCCTAGGGACTGTGTGGTACCAGGGATTGGACCTTTGGCACTAATACTCACTTGTCCGAATCTTGGGTTTCTGTGATGTTCATGGTTGCTTCTACCTTGAATATGCGTAGTACGTTTGTAATGGCTGGTTTCAATAGTATTGTTGACAATCATCACGGTCACTTCCGGGTTATTTTCTTAATGGGTTTTGCTTGTTGTAATGGGAAATATTTTCCTGTTTCTTTGCCTGCTTGGTCTCTTTCTTTCTTCTTTCTTTCTTTCTTTCTTTCTTTCTTTCTTTCTTTCTTCTGTTTTTTTTGGCCACACCTGGCAGTGCTCAGAACTTACTCCTAGCTGTCTCACTCCTGGCAGTGCTCAGGGGACAATATGAGGTGCCAGGGAGCGAACCAGGGTTGGCTGCATGAAAGGCAAGCACCCGACCTGCTGTATTACCTCTTTGATCTCCTGCTGGTAATTTTTTATTTGAAGTCACACATTGTGAATTTTAGGATTAGGGACTGGCTGGCTATAACTTTTTCTTTAGGGGATTTTTGGAGTTGGCTGTGCCGGTTAAGTGAAGCCTACCCATTCATTGTTGAGTGGGTGTCAGTAGCATTCAGGGTGCAGCTTTGGTTCCCTCTAAATCTTAAACCTTTCTGAGGACTGTGCCCCTGCCTGGTGTGTTGACGGGGCGTTTCTGCAATTTCCAGCCCTGTTTCGGCTCCAGCCGTTCATTTCTCAGTCACCTCCCGACTATGTCTTGCCCCGTCCCTTTCTCACCTGTGCTTGGCAGTAGTCAGTGAAAGGCTTGGGGTCCCTCGTATCAGCAGAGCTCCCTTTCCCTATGCTTTCTGCCCCCCTCCCCACCCACCCACCCCCAGCATTCTGTGCCACGTTGCCTCTGTCGCCCCGACTCCGAACTCCTGCTTTGTGAACCTTAGTGAAACTGCCAGACTTTCGGGGTTCTCCCCTGGAACACTTCCTGGCTAGCATTTGTAGGGCTCCCCTCAGTTGTTTCCTCTTTCAGGAAGGAAGCCTGCCCTGCAATGCCCATTGGCTTTGGTGTTAGGTCAGGGAGGGGGCCGGGGTGGGTCTGGCCTTTCGGACGGAAGCAGAAGCCTGTCTCTCACCACCCTCCTGTACTTCATCTCCCCCTCGCCCAGCGCATAGTCTCACCTCAGACTTTATAATCGCTCACTCTAATGCACTTGCTCTCCTTCCTCCTACCCTTCACTCGGGGAAATCACGGCCTGCTTAAAACCGTCTCCATATTTTATTGCCAGCACCTGGGGGCAGTTGACTAGTGCAGGGAGAAGACACACAGTCCTGATATTTTTCACCTTAAATTCACGACCCCGGAGTGTGAGCCCCCCACTGTGTGTATTGTGTTTTTCCCCTGTTGTTACTGTCCTTTGTGCTATTTTCACAGGTGCCTCCAGGGCTGCTCCTCGCTGTGCTTGGGGCTGGCTGCTGCTGGGGCTCGGACCCAGGGTTTCCCGCGTGCCCGGCTTGTGCAGTGACTGCAGCCATGTCCTCAGTCCTCTCCCACCTTTGCGCTTGGAATTCCCATTTTCCCTCCTCTTCTTCTGTCACTGAGGAACTGAGCCCTTAGAGAGGACCGCCCTCATCCTGGCACCTGTGTGGCCGTGACCGTGACTGACCGTGATTGTACTTGGCCTTCCCCGCCTGTGCTCCTGCTGACCTGCCTGGGCAGTAGGAATCTCCTCCCTCTCCTCCCTCACCGTCCATCCTCTGTAATATGCCTGTCAGTGTACCCGCATTTGTGCTCATTCCTCCTTTTTAAAGTATGTGTTGGGGAAGGGGCTGTGCTCAGGCATCACTCCTGGTGGGCTTAGGTTGTAGCGAGTGTTGGTTTGGGCATGCTTAGCTGGGAGACCAGGCGTTCCTGGAAAGGCCGCTCTTGGTGGCTAAGTTAGGTTAGCTAATGCTCTAATTGGTTTTAGATTTCCTTGGTAGAGGTTCCTTTCAGAGCAGGCCAGCTTAGGGTTAGTTTTGTGGTGAAGGCCCGGCCACTGCGATGGCCTCCATTTTGTGGGCCCCCATTATGAATTAACTTTATGGGACACACACTTTAGGGTCATGCTTTTTCTCCTTTCACTTGCCGCAGGTGCGCGATCTCAAGACGTATTGTTAGCACCACCTTTAACATGGTGTTTTTTTTTGTTTTTTTTTTTTGTTTTGTTTTTTTGCTTTTTTTAGGTCACACCTGGCAATGCACAGGGGTTACTCCTGGCTCCTGCACTCAGGAGTTACTCCTGGCGGTGCTCAGGGGACCATATGGGATGCTGGGAATCGAACCCAGGTTGGCCGAGTGCAAGGCAAACGCCCTACCCGCTGTGCTATTGCTCCAGCCCCAGCACCACCTTTAAAACATAAGGTCTCAACTGCTGTCTCCTTCGATACTACCCTGGTCCAAGTTATCAGTTTCTCTCTCTCTCCCTCTCTCTCTCTCTCTCTCAGAGGCCGGGGAGAGGGTGGTGGTTTGGCACTACATGGCACTGCCCATGGTTGTTCCTGACCGTGCATACCAGGGATTGAATCTTACTCTTCCATGCAAAGCATGTGCCTGTTGCTGGATCTCCCCTGTCCCTCACCATACCATTTTGTGTATATGGTGGGGGAGGAAACGGGGAAGGGTTTACACCCGGTGGTGCTCAGAGCTCATTCCTGGCTCTATATGTAGGGATCACACCTGGCAGAGCCGGGGGACCATATGGAGCACGGGGATCCAGCCTGGGTTTGGCGGCATGCAAGGCAAGTGCTCTCCCCACTGTGCAGTCTCTCCGCCTCTTCATTGTTCCTTTTCTCTGTTCGTGTTTGCTCTCGCTTCAGTACATGGAGGGTTTCTTTTTCAGTCTTCACAGTTTCTCTCCCTGGAATACTCCCCCCATTATATCTTCATTGGCTCCCCTTGTGATCCCCCGGTCTGTTTGGGAAGGGTGTCTAGTAGGGACTTAGTTGTGCTATGTCTGGGTATGACAGTTGTCGAAATTCTCTTGGGGGAAAAAAGAGCCAGTGGGTGAGAAAATGCCAGATTACTAGCAGTGGTTGCATTCAGTGGCTTGCTAATAAGAGTAATAATGAAAAAATTAGAGACTGCTGCAAATTAATAGAGCTGAAGTAGGCTTCATTTAGCTAAAGGACATATTTGTGAATCAGGCTTCATGATTTGAAGATCCCTTCACTTATTAATAAGGCATTCTCTTTGGTGAATAGTAAGTTCAGTATCCTGCTGCTTAGTTATGATTTAATGATCCTCGCTCAAGGTTAGCAAAGAATAAGCCACATAACTTCGTGGGCATAATTTTTTAATTAGTCATAAATTTTTAATAGAAAGCAGTCAATTATTAAATTCTTCCTTTAATTGAGTATTAGGGAGTAGTGTTTATATAGTTTGCCTTGAATATTTCATCACACAGGAGAACCAAGATGAGTTTCCTGTTACTTTGTCATAAATTTCAGAGCCTAACCAGTTTTTACTTTATTTTAAAATACCTATTTAATTTTCTGTGCCTTTTTGTTTTTTAACTGCAGGATTTATATGTTTAATTTTCTAAATGGTCAGAATGTCTAATGGAAATAGGCTTTATTGGGAACTTAGGTAGGTTTTAAAAGGCTACACGTGTATCCACTGCACTCGTGACTGGATGTAGGTTCTCATTAGTCTGTTTAGAAGCTCTTCTTCTGCTTTATCTCATCAGTCAGCTTAGACCTCACCTTAGACAAGCGGGCATCATCCTCACCAGGGGGCATACAGTGAAGATACAGTGGGTTTCGTACAGGGTTTGGTGTTCGAAGAATTTCAGCTAAAGTTTAAATCCATTCATCTAAACAAGTCATGTGGCCTGCTAATCTTGAAGAGGAATAGTACCAATGACATAACACCTCTGGTTCCTTCTTTCTCCCAATGTAACAGGTTGATGACTGTTCCCCCTCCCTCATACTAAAGCATTGTTTTGCTTTTCTGCTCTATGAAGCATGGGTACAAGGCATCATTCTTTTGAAATAATGCTTCTTTAATTGGGTAATATTTGATATTTTTAAGGATTTCTTGCACTGTATTCTCTGGTTAGAATGCCTGGATATTCTTGTATTGTGATACAGTGTGCCCTAAGACTCACAGGCAAACCTGGCTTCTCAGGCCAGGGCCAGCGTTAGACCTTACCTTCAGGTGGGACCAGTCTTCATGAGGCACTTTGTATCTTTAATTTTCTCTTCTTTGATCCCTGATCAAGCTGCTAGAGATTCCTTTATGGAAAATGAATTCTTTATACTTCACCTTGCATTTCTCTATCGCTTAAAATAAGAAAATACTGATACTTTCAATTAACTTCAATTAAGTAATTTTTTTTTTTTTTTAAGAATAAAGGTTCCCTTCAGTTTGAAGACAAATGGGATTTCATGCGTCCAATTGTTTTGAAGCTTTTACGCCAGGAATCCGTTACAAAACAGCAGTGGTTTGATCTATTTTCGTAAGTAATTCCTTAATTTTAACTATGCTAACATAAAGGACATTTTATTGATGCTTTTATCTGTTAACACAATGTATTGATTTACCATTGCTTTGTAATACTAGAGTTTTCAGGAGTATGGCTTCAGAGCTTCATATTCCAATTTGCCCCACTGTTACCTACTACAAAAGTTTTCAAAGTAAGCTTCCGCAAAAGCTGTCTTCAAAAAAAAAAAAAAATAAATAAAAAAAAAAAAAAAAAAAAAGCTGTCTTCAGTCTTCCAGTCCTGAGTTCAAGTCCTGCCCATTTCGCATATGCCTGCTGGTGTTGAGCTTGAAACAGCGACAGAACAGACAGTATTAGGTCTTAGACTTGAGTTCATCCGGGCAATTAGAATCTTTGAATTAAGGAGTTCATCCAGGCAATTAGGATCTGTGAATTAAGGGGTCCCAGAAAGCCAACAACTTTTCTTCAGCACAGCAAAACCAAGACCTGTCTTGTTTTAAGAGGTAACAAGAATTTTTATCTCTATTCTAATATATAATAATTTCTAATTATTGCAATAATTTATAATATAGATTATAACTATAAATTATGATGGCACTGTCTTGTTCTCTCGTTGTTCATCGATTTGCTCAAGCGGGCACTAGTAACATCTCACAACAGATTGTGAGACTTGTTACTGTTTTTGGCATATTGAATACGCCATGGGGAGCTTGCCAGGCTCTACTGTGCAGGCGGGATGTTCTTGGTAGCTTGCTGGACTCTTCGAGAGGGACGGAGGAATCGAACCTAGGTCGGCTGCGTGCAAGGCAAACGCCCTACCCGCTGTGCTGTTGCTCCAGCCCAATATAGATTATAACTATAAATTATAAACTTTATATTTATAATATATTGTTTATAATATTATATATTCAAACAAATACAAACACTGCCCTCCCATTGTTCATTGATTTGCTCGAGCGGGCCCAGTAACGTCTCCATTTTGAGACTTGTTGTTACTGTGTTTGGCATATGGAATAAGGTAGCGGTCCAGGCTTTGCCCTGAGGGCGAAATACTCCTGGTAGCTTGCTGGGCTCTCTGAGGGGGTGTGGAGGAGTTGAACCCGGCTCAGCCGCGCTGGCTGCCGCATGCAAGGCAAACGCCCTTCCGCTGTGTAATGTTATTATTATTATTACTGTTACTATTTTTTGTATTTGGTCCACACTCAGTGCTTGGGGCTTGTTACTCCAGGCAGTCCTCTGCGGACTATATAGTGCTGGAAAGTGAACCCGGACTTCCTTCATGCAGAATGTTTCTCTGGCCCCTCCTTTTTATCCTCTTGTCAGTCTTAGAAACCAAATTGATCCACTCAAAAATACGCACACAAGAGAAAAAAGAATTAAAAATAGATGAGGAAGCCATCCACTTCTCCAGGTCAGACCTTGCTTTCCCAAGAAATTAGCAATTGGAAGCTGTTTTTTATTTTTTTTATTTTAATTTTTTTTATTTTTGGGTCACACCCGGCAATGCACAGGGGTTTCTCCTGATTCTGCGCTCAGGAATTACCCCTGGCGGTGCTCAGGGCACCATATGGGATGCTGGGAGTCGAACCCGGGTCAGCTGCGAGCAAGGCCAACGCCCTACCCACCGTGCTATTGGAAGCTGTTTTTTAGGCCTCCAAAGTGTATCTGGAGATTTCTTGTGTTTATTATGTCTGTCTTTCCCCAGAGAACACCAACAGGTGAAAATAAGAGTAAATATCATCCGTTTTGCAGACTTGGTTTTCAGTTCTCAGGTCAGATTTAAATCCCCTCGCTGATAGCAAAAGGGGTGGGAATTAGATCCCATCTGGGGTGCACGAATAGAACCCTCCTTCAGCATCAGCATGGGGGAGAGTGTAACTCTGCATTTGTTTACGGTGCAGATCCAAATCCCTGGCATTGTGCTCTGCGTGGGTGATGCTGATGTGCTGGTGGGTGGGCAGTACTGGCCAGACTGCCCGGGCGTGAGGGGAGTCACAGTGGCTACAGCCTCAGAGAGCAACTGGGGTTCTTTTCACTCCTCCAAAACTCCTCCTCTTCCCCTGCCGTTCCCCCACTTCCAGGTTTATCCAAAATGTTATCTGTTGAATCATGAAACTTTTCTATGAAGATTATTTCTAGAGAATGCGAGTGTGTGTGTGTGTGTGTGTGTGTGTGTGTGTGTGTGTGTGTGTATGGGGGGGGCGGGCAGTATTATCTCTGTGTTTCCAGTTGGGAAAAGGAGCATAGTATAAAATAATCAAAACCTCGTACTTGCTCCAGGTTGGTGGCCTCGGCGCTTCATATACTTATTTCTTTGCAGGAGGCTGATGGGGCGTGGTGTTGGGGCCGTACCCAGCAGTGCTCAGGGCCTATTTCTGGTCTTCTCAGGCAGTGCTTGGGGGACTGTGTGTGGTGCTGGGTATTTGAACCAGGAGAGCCCCCACATACTGGGCAACTACTAGGCCTCCTGTATTGTCTCCAGCACTCAGCACTTTTTTCCCCTTTGGTTTTTAGGTCATACCTTGTGGTGCTCAGGACTTTCTCCTGCTCAGGGGACTATTTCAGATGCCAGGGGTCGAACCTGGGTCAGCCACATGCAGTGCAAATGCCTGCCTTCTGGACTGTCATTCTAGCCCTGCACAGCACATGATTTTTTTTTCCTGGTTTGTCATTTTATTATTATTCATTATTTTTTACAAAGTTGTTCATGATGATTCGTTACAGACATTCAGTATTCTAAAACCAGTGCCACCACCATTATTTCCAGTTTTCCCAACCACCCCTTAGCCTGCCCCCAAAGCAGGCCCTCAACAATTTATTTTATATTGCTCATTATAAATAATTTGCTAAAAGAATAATCAAAAAATGTTTACTTAGAAGAAAGTTAGTAGAGATTTTGTTTTATCTCACCCCGGAGAATGGAACCATTAAGCCCTTGTTTAAGAGATCACTAAGATGTTGTTACAGGTAAGGACTTACGTGTTTATTTGTTGTGAGTCAAGATTGGTTGTCTTCTGCGTTACATCCCATCCAATCTGGTGCCCACAGCACATAATTTTGAAAATATCCTTGATCTCCTTGGGATCAGTCTCCTGACAGCTCAGTTTGTAGTACCTGGTAGGTGAAACATTCCTGTATGTCAAAATTGGATGAACTGCATCTGCATATTTCTACATTCTAACCTGTGACCACACTGATGAGGAGCATTGAGATTGCTCTCATATTTCTAACCCAGAGGTTCTAAAACTGTATGTTAATATTAAGCCGCGTCGACTCTGAGCACCTCCTTTCTCATGAGCTGTGTCACTGCATCTCAGTCAGGGTGCCGTTGGCACTCCTTGATTGGTTAGTGAAGACTGTGGTGCACACTGTGGGCTGCTCATTCCCTGTGGCATTAGGTAAACGCCCCATGTGCTCCCCTTACCTCGCTATATTGATGCACGGAAACCCTACCACCCCCATGAACACCCCCGGTATCCTGAAGAGGGTCAGCTCCTCCTACAGCTGAAGATAGCTGGAGTGTGAAATTGATACCAGAATTAAATAAGAAATTGTTCTCAGTAAGACCTTCATGGATAATTTGTTTTTATTTTTTAATTTTTTGACTCTTGGCTTTTGACCACCGCTGGTGATTCTCCGGGACCATGCAGTGCCAGTGATTAACGCCGGCCTCCCACGTGCAAAGCCTTTGCACTAATCCTTTGAACCATCTCCCTAGATGTCCGTCCGTCCGTCCTTCCTTCCTTCCTTCCTTCCTTCCTTCCTTCCTTCCTTCCTTCCTTCCTTCCTTCCTTCCTTCCTTCCTCTCTCTCTCTTTCTTTCTTTCTTTCTTTCTTGGTCTGTTTTAATTTGGTTTCAGTTTGTTGGTTTGGAGCCACACCTGCAGTGCGCAGGGGTTACTTCTGACTCTGTGATCAGGGATCACCCCTGGCAGTTTTGGGGGACTCTGAGGAGTGCTGGGGATCAAGCTAGTATCAGCCACATACAAGGCAAATGCCCTACCCGCTGTACCGTCACTCCAGCCCCTTAGATGTTCATTTTAATTAAATTTGTTTTAAATAGTTTTTCTAAATGTCCTTGTTGCTGAGTTTTCATGATCCTGCTTTCTCTTGGTCTTTCTTTCATTTCTTCTCAGCCTCATCTAGCTGACTCAGTTTTCCGGACCTTTCTCTTCCTCCCTCCTCCCCCCCTCCCTTTCCCCTTTCCTTCCCTCCCTCCTGGGGTCTCAAATCTCCAAAAGAAATCCAGAATACTGTCCTGATTTGAAGTTCCACATTCACACCCCTAAGTTATTTCCTGTGTCTTTTTTTTTTCAAGTTCTGTCAGTACTCCAAATTTATAATGAGGTGCTCAGAGTCTCAAGCCAGAAATCTAGAAGCTACCCTCCTCCTGGTTTAGCAGAGCTAGGGGCAAGCAGTGTTGCATCCTATGGTCAGGGATGGAGTCAGGCCCTCTGCATGCAGACATGGCAGCTCTCCGGGCTCCCGAGCTGTGGATTCTTGTCAGAGATGCTTGCTTAGCCCTTAGACTTCTTCCTAGCCTTGTGTCTTTCCTCATGGTCTCATCTGAATGGTCACGGTGATCGTTTGTCTCTTTGCCTTTTTGTTTTCATTTGTTTTTGGATCATCTCCAGCAGTACTCAGAGCAGCTACTCCTAGCTTAGTGCTTGGGGTCATCCCCAGCCATGCATGGAGCATGTCTTGTCCGGGATCAAAGCCAGCCCTTTGCACACTCTTTCTGGCCCTTCCTGCCTTCTGTAACGTATCGCTGTGCATTAGTTGTTGTTGCATTTAAAAAATGCAGCTTTTGAAAAAAAATTCAGCTAAAACTTAGCATTTTAACACAGATTATCTTAACCTTTATTATCTCACTATTTGGGGACTCAGGGTTCTGGTAGCAGCTTCACTGGATTGTTTCAACTCTGGGACTTCCAGATTATGGTCAAATTCTTGCCATGTGACTGAGGCTGAAATTCATCTCTGACTTTGAAATCTTTCCGTCTCACCCCCATGAGTGTTGGCTGTCTCATCATTCACAAGTTGCCCTGTCCCATACTGGGGCACCCTTCTCAAGATAGACAGTGTCAGCTGTTAGCTTGCTTTCCTCAGAGGGAGAAGTCTCAAGCAGAAGTCTGGGCTTTATGGTTTAGAAGATGCGAAGCTTCATTCTGGCACAAAGGACCAGTGATTGTGCACCTTGGTGGGAACCTGCGTAGGGCTGTGACTATCAGGAGACTAAGGCTGATTGCTGGGCCCTCAGAGGACGGATCTCATTTGGAAGACTGTGTTGGTGCAGGCTTATGGAAGACGCATGATTCTACTTCTGGGCTGGGGAGATGACTCCGCGGACTGGAATGCCTGCTTTTTTTTGTTTGTTCGTTTTGGGGCCACACTTGGCAGTGCTCAGGGCTCACCCCGACTCCGCACTCAGGAATTACTCTTGGTGGTGCTTAGGGGCACCATATGGAATGCTGGGACTCGAACTTGGGTCAGGGCCAAGTTACATGCAGGGCCAGTGTCTTACCCACTGTACTATCTCCCCAACCTCTGGAACGCATGCTTTGAACCCAGAGTTCTAGCGCCCCCACCATGTCGCTCCCAAGCCCCACTGGGAGTGTTTTTCATCACTCCCCCAAATATTCCTGTTTCTGGGACCAGAGAGATGGCTCAAAGGGCTGGGGCAAATGTGTTATATGCCTTGGGTTTGATTCCTGATACCATATAATTGATTCCCTAAGCACTGCTGAGGATATAAAGTACTCTATTCAGGTCATTAATAAAGAATAGCGTGAGATTACTTGCAGAAGAAGAAAACAGCAGGTCTTTTAGACAGATTGTTCTGGCTTTCTCATTGCCTAAACTGGATAAAGGAAGTTGATAAAGCATTTTATTTAATGGGGCCAGAGCTATCGTTCAGCAGGTAGGGCTCTTGCCTTGCGTGCCGCCAACCTGGGTTCAACTTCGGCATCCCATATGGTCCCCCAAACACTGCAGGAATAATTCCTGAGGGCAGAGCCAGGAGTAAATCCTGAGCATCACTGGGTGTGACCCAAAAAACAACAATAACAACAACAAAAGCATTTTCTTTAAATATCTGAAGGGAACTTATTTTGAATCTACTAGTCTTTTTTTTTTTTTCTTTTTGGGTCACACCCGGTGATGCACAGGGGTTACTCCTGGCTCATGCACCTAGGAATCGCTCCTGGCGGTGCTCGGGGGACCATATGGGATGCTGGGAATCGAACCTGAGTCGGCCGTGTGTAAGGCAAACGCCCTACCCACTGTGCTATCGCTCCAGCCCCCAGAATCTACTAGACTTTACCTAGTCAGCTTTTAAAATTGAAGGCAGGGTGAACCTCCTCCCCTGAGATAGGAAACTAACGTGCCTGGAGCGGAGGGGAGAGAAGACAAATCCTGGAGTCCCCGACAAATACTAGCAGTTGTTTTCCACTCGGCTCTGCTTTTCAGCCCGTTTCGTTCTGTCGAGCTGCAGGAGCGCCATTCTTCTCACTGGCAGTTGAAAATCACTTCCGGTTATGTAAGCAAAATAACCAAGTAGCTATCGCACCGTTAATTGAGTTCAGTGTTCTTAGCTTCGGAATACTTTCATCTCTTCCATCTCCTATTCCTTCTCTCCGTCTCCTTGGAGCCTTGGCAAAGCTCTTCCTCCCTTCCTCTCACCCTCCCCAACTCCCTGATTTATCTGAGCTAGTCCAGTATTTACAAATAACTTTCCTGGGTCTGGGGAGGAAACTCACAGGGCTGATGGGGCACGTGAACGCTCAGGGCTCAGGTACTGAATCACCCTGCTGTCGGTTGAATGTGGAGCCCTGGGCTCCTGAGCGCTACTGGGGTGAAACCTCACAAAGGGTTTCCCTGCCACTGAAGCCTCTTGTTAAGGCATTTTGGTTATGTACGCAAGAAAATGCTCTTGATTTTATTTTGGAGGGTGCCACATGAGAGAACAGAAAAATGTGCAGGGAACACAGCTACATACATCTGTTAATAACTTTTAGAACTGATGTTAAGTGAAAAAATTATTGATAATTTTCATAGAAATTTCAGAAATTATGGTGCATACTGTAAAATTTGCAAAAAAAAAACCAACCAACAACAAATTAAGACTTATTTCTGGGGCTGGAGCAATAGCGTAGTGTGGAGGGCGCTTGGTTTGCATGTGGCCGACCCTGCTTTGATTCCCCAGCATCCCATGTGGTCCCCCGAGCACCTCTGGGTGTGACCCCAAAACAAAATAAAAGACTTGTTTATTTCTAAGGAGGGATTGAAAGGAGTAGAGTTAGGGAGAGCGATATAGAAGCTCTTAAAGAGTAAAATAAATAAATAAATAAAGGCCCTCCCCGTTGTTCATCGATTTGCTCGAGCGGGTCCAGTAACGTCTCCATTGTAAGACTTGTTGTTACTGTGTTTGGCATATCGAATACGTCAGGGGTGGCTTGCCAGGCTCTACCGTGCGGGCGAGATACTCTCGGTAGCTTGCCGGGCTCTCCGAGAGGGGCGGAGGAATCAAACTTGGGTCGGCCATGTTGGCTGCGTGCAAGGCAAACGCCCTACCGCTGTGCTCTCGCTCCAGCCCAGTTTGAAAATAATATTCCTCAGGTATGTTAGAATATGATCTTCAAAATGTGTGTAAAACTTGGCATGGACTCAAGGATGGAGAGAGTAAAGCCAGTAGAGTGCTTGCCTTGTATGCGGATGACCTGGATTATATCCCTGACACCCCGTAAGGTCCCCTAAGCCCACCAGGAGTAATTGCTGAGTGCAGAGCCAGGAGTAAATCCTGAGCACCACCGGGTGTGCCTCCATCCCCTCCAAAATAGGCTAAGACTCATGGCATAATCTGTTATATGGTGGTGAGTAGCCGTGTTTTAAATAGGAAAGAGAGACTTCTCTGATGCAAAAAATAATAATAATAATAATAATAATAAATAAAACCACAGTAGAGTTAACCTGGAGTTTGAGAATAGAGCTGCAGATTTAGATCTAATTTTACAGTTGAGACTGGTCTACATGGAAGACAGTTTGATTCTTGGATAAAGTTTCTCAGGAAGGCCTCAAGCTAACTGAGATGTGGGTGGTGGAAAATGTGCACTGGTGGAGGATTGGGTGTTCCATTATTGTACGGTTGAATCTCAAATATGAAAGCTTTGTAACTCTGACCTTTCACGGTGATCAAAAAAAAATTAAAAAAAAAATGTAATGTGGATTTCATGCCCAGTTCAATCACTTAATCAATGGCTTGAACAAATTGCAGTGCTCAGTACTCCTACATTGTTTAAAAGAAAAAAGGCCTCGAGCTCCTTTGCCCTTTATCCAGCTGTTCTCGGGCCTTAGGAGACCTCCTGTTTCAGCCCTGCTGGCATGTGACTTCCAGCCCTGGTTTGAGGTGGCAGGGACACCGAGGGAGGTCGGTACTGGGGAGGCATGGACTCTTAATATTACTTTCAGAACATTTTTAAAGAAAGGAGACATAACATTGGCAGTTGAAGTGTAAGTGTTGAAATCAGGAGAGTCACTAATAAGACTTAAATGACAGGTTGGGTTTTTTAAAGGGGCTGGAGAGATCACACCAGTGGCGCTCTGGCTACTCCCAGCTCAGGGCATGGGAACCCTGATTGTCTACATGCCAAGCACGAACTTCAGTTCATTGAGTTATCTCTTGGGCACCTAAATGACTAGTTAAAAAAAAAAGTGGTTTATGTATTTGTATTAAATAATTAAAATTCTGTTTGTCCTTGCACAAGAAACTATGGTAGTTTACTTTGGGAAATGAAATGCTTGTATTACTTAAAATTTGTATAGTAAGTCACAGAACTTTAAGGAGAAAACTGACAAGAAGATAAAAATAGAAACAAATATATGTGTGGGAGTTCTTACAAAGAATGCCTAGGTCTTAGAAGTAGATTCAAGCACTTTTAGTGTGATTGGGCGTGGTTCCTGGAAGCTACTATTACAGAACTTACGGTGAGTTTTGTCTGTGTCCCTGTCTCATTGTTAATATATATTATTTCAATTTTACAGGGATGTTCATGCTGTCTGTCTCTGGGATGATAAAGGCCCAGCAAAAATTCATCAAGCTTTAAAAGAAGATATTCTTGAGTTCATTAAGCAAGCACAGGCAGTAAGTTCTGCATCTTTCTACTAAATTTAAGAATTTAATCAGGAAATACCATGGTTTCTGGTGTTTGAATATAGGTATTCCTGAAGTAATTTTAAAATATTGATTTTTTGACATGTTTGATAAATGCTTTTTAATAAAATAATTACTGCTTTATCCCTTCAGTGACATTTATCAAGAAATAACATTCTCAGTTAAGAAGTCCCATAAAGAGGGCACAGAGAGATCGCACAGCGGGTCGGACACTTGCCTTGCATGTGGCTGACTGGGGTTCGATCCCCGGAATTCCATACAGAAATCAGCTTTTAGTAGATGTTCTAGAAGTCCCCATCATCATTATTTTTTAGTTGCACCAGTTCAAATAAGTCTTTCTTTTATGACTAAAACTTCTTTTGAAGCTGGTAGTAACTTTCTTCAATTCTAGAGACTTCTCCAACTGTGTAGTCTACACTTTGCATCACTGCTGCTGAGCTGACTTTCAGCACTCTTGGTATAATATGTATAAGAGTTTAATATTACAGAGATTAAGGCAAACTTACTTAGTATCGGTCAATCATGTGAGAACTAGTTTTGTCTTTATTACATTCTTTTTTTTTTTTGCTTTTTGGGTCACACCCGGCAGTGCTCAGGGGTTACTCCTGGCTCATGCACTCAGGAATTGCTCCTGGCAGTGCTCAGGGGACCATCTGGGGTGCTGGGAATCAAACCTATGTCAGCCTTGTTGGCTGCATGCAAGGCAAATGCCCTACCCGCTGTGCTATCGCTCCAGCCCCCTTTATTAAGTTCTGACTTTCGGGAAAAATTAATGCAGAGGTAAAGTGTTTTTCCAAGTTAAACTGGTATCATTTTCTACGCCTTCCTACCTCAAAGAAAGATCTAAGGCCAGGAGATTATTTTTCTTTAAAAGAAAGTTGGAAAATTAGAAGATTAAAGTGTGTTTTTTTTTTTTAACCTAAGTTGTCTGTTAGAACTCTTTATTTTACTGTATTTTTTTGTGGGGCTTTGATGCTCATGAGTTGCTCCTGGCTCTACACTTGGGAATCACTCCTGGTGATACTCCGGGGACCTTAGAGTAGGATGCTGGGGATGGAACCTGGGTCAGCTATGAGCAAGGCAAGCGGACACTTTGTACTATTATTCCGGCTCTAGAACTCTTATTCTATAATAACTGCCTAGCAGTTGGAAACTGAAACTTGTTTTTTCTGTGATTGAGTACACAATGAAATAGTATTCAGCCATTAAAAAAAATAGCGTTCAGCCATAAAAATGGCTGATCCAAAGTATGTACCAACACAGACTGTAGCTTTATGAGCCCTGAAAACACTAGAGCCAGATAATTCAATAGTGAGACTATACTCTGACCCTTTCCAAGGAAAGTCTAGTAGAACCAATTGACAAGGAAGCGCTAATTATGTAGACAGTGGTTGTTTAGTGCTGGGGAGAAGGGAGTAGGCAGGGGAGGGTAGGTGGGTGATATTAGGGTTCTCAGGGGGGTGTTTATTTGGAGGATCTCCCAAGCACTGGTTGGCAAGCCCCAGGGGCCATTTTTGGCAACTTGCCCTGCATTACTGGGCCTGGAGGTTTGGTGCTTGAGCCCATTGTGGGGGAACATACAGTGCTGGGGGTTGGGACCTGGGCCGTGTACTCCAGTCTTCGAACTCTCTTCCCAGCCTCTCTTGATTTTGTCTTTTGAGACATAACTGACATGTACCCTGCATTCCTGCAGTAATGCTAGGTGTACGGCATAATAATGCCTGTGTTTACAGAAATGATCACACATCAGTGAACGCTTAATTTTCACTTGATCATAGTGTGTTTGTATAATAAGGTATTTTAGATTCATGGCGTGAATATTATCATTTAAGTCATTGTTATTACTATTTAAAAAACGTATGGATTTAAAAGTTGTTTGGATTCTTTTTTTTTCCCCAGCGAGTACTGAGCCATCAAGATGATACAGCTTTGCTAAAAGCATATATTGTTGAGTGGCGAAAATTCTTTACGCAGTGTGACATTTTACCGAAGCCTTTTTGTCAACTAGAGATTACTTTAATGGGTAAACAGGGCAGTAACAAAAAGTCAAATGTAGAAGACAGTATTGTTCGAAAGGTAAGTCTGTTTTTACCCTACCATTGGGCCAGTGGAGGGTTATTTGAAGACTTTTCAAAGTCGCTTAACCTTAGTGGACTTCTCTACTTAGTACATAAGTATTTTTTCAATCCTCGCTGTTCTGTTGTTCTTTGTTAGTTTACTTGTTTGTTTTGGGCCTCAACCAATAGTGTGCTCAGAGATCACTACTGGTATTGCTGGGAGACCCTAGTGGTTGCGGAGATTGGGAATTGAGCCACGTTCAGATGCATGCATGGGGAGCACCTTAACCTTGTTATCACTCCAACCGCTCTGGCTGTTTTTATTTGTATATTTGATTTTGTTTGGGGTCACACCTGGCCAGTAGTGGGTGTTACTCCTGATTCACAGGTCGCTCCAGTGATGCCTAGGGGACTCTGTGGTGTCAGATATTCAACTTGGTTCTCTTATACATAAATTGTGTGTATTAGCCCCTTGAGCCATCCCCCAGGCCTCAGCATTTGGTATTGTTATTGAAAGATATGTTAAGGGTATTTTGGGGTTTTGTTGTTGTTGTTGTCTATACCCAGCATTGCTCCTGCCTTTGCGCATTGGGTGCCAGAGATCGAACCTGGATTGGTCATGTGCAAAGCGAGCGTCTACCTGCTGTCCTATCGTTCAGTTTTTCCTTTCACCTACTTAAGCTTCAGTTCTCTTTCATGACTTAAGCTGTAGATCTTTGTCTTCAAATATTACCTCCTTTGCTTTTTTCCCTTAGATTTTTCTTTGTTGTTGTGTCACACCTGGCAGTACTAAGGGCTACTCTCAACTCTGTGCTGGGATGAGGGATGGGGGTGGTACTGGTGGTGAGCAGAGGACCATGTGATGTAGGGGTCAAGCCTGGGCTTCCAGCCTGCAAAGCATGCTAAGTTAATTACGCTAGCCTCTGATCCCTATTTTTTCCTTAGTTTTGTCTTCAGTATTTTATTCCTTCTTTTCTTGTACTTTTTACCTTCATATAAATTAAATTTTTTCTCTTCCAAAAATCTCATCTTTGGGGCTAGAGAGAGATAGTACAGGGGTAAAGTGCTTTCCTTGGCATGCAGCTAAACCTTTGTTTGAATCTCTGGCACCCCATACAATCCTCCAACACCACCAGTAGTGATCCTTGGGCACGAAGCCAGGAGTAAGTCCTGCGTAATGCTGAGAGAACCCCACCCCCCTCCCCCCAAAAAAATTCCACAAGAAAGAATTCATCATTTAACAGAAAGAACCCAGCTCTGTCTGAAAGTTTCAGTGTTCACTTTTAACTCTTTAATCAACATTGACCTAGATCCTTCTCACTTATTTTATATTACATACATACTTTTATATATGTGTATAAAATCATGAGAATCTTAGGGAACTATGGATTCGAAAAGTGAAAAAATGCCGTTTGAACTTTAAATAATTCATTACTTGCTGTACGGTTTTAGCGGCAAGCTTCAGCAGGTAGTGCTCTGGCATCACTGACCTCTGCCAGTCACAAAATTCATGCTGCTGTTGATGGCAGTACTGGACATTTAGATCTCGAAAGGTTCCTCAGTGATAGGCATAACTATAATATGAGAGATGGTTACCTCCTTCAAAAATTTTTTTCTAGATGCCTTTTCATTTGCACTTAAATTATTTTTGTATTCTCTTATTTTTTGGTTAACCAAAAAAAATTTTTTTAATTAAAAAATTTTTAAAATTAAATTTCCCATTCCCTAATGTTTTACCGTTTCCTAGTCAGTCAGCATCATTTAATGAGAATCACTTAATTTTGTATTCTTTCCTTTTCTCTCTTTTTCTTTCCTTTTTGATGGTTTTTGGGCTACATCTGGCTGGCTCAGGGCTTACTCCTGGCTCTGTGCTCAGGAATCACTTCTGGTGAGACTTGGGGGACCATATCGGGTGCTGGGCACAAAACCCTGGTCCGCTGCTCCCAAACAAGCACCTTACTTTCCATGCTGTCTCTCCACCCCGAATTCTCTATTAGTAGCATAAGTTCTGGGCCCACAGTTGCTAGATTTGAGTTTCAGTGTTGCCACTAACAAGCTAATCAAATGTGAAAAAGTTGCTTTCTTTGTGCCCTGTATTTAGATTGTGAGGATTAAATGAGTTGTATGTGGACAGTTGTGCGTGGATAGAGTGGTTTTAGTATGTAGCAAACATTTTTATTTATTTTTTATTTATTTTTGCTTTTTTGGGGGGTCACATCCGGCAATGCCCAGGGGTTACTCCTGGTTCATGAACTCAGGAATTACTCCTGGCGGTGCTTAGGGGACCATATGGGATGCTGGGGATCGAACCTGGGTCGGCTGCGTGCAAGGCAAACGCCCTACCCGCTGTGTTACCGCTCCAGCCCCATAACAAACATTATTGATGCTGCTTTGCTCCATACTTCCTGGTTCTGATAGTTACTTCTTGTGATGAATACTCAAAAATACATGTAGACCGTTTTCCATCATTTCAGTGACCTTATGGGACCAGGGAGATAGTTACATGGGTTTTGTCACGTACCTTGCATATGTCCCTGCCCAGTTCAATCTTCAGCACCATATGGCCCCCCGAGTCCCACTGAGTCTTCTGAACTCTGCCGGATTTGGCCCTGAAGACCCCTGAGCACAGCTAGGGTGGCTCTGGATATCCCCAGTATCGCATTGTCGAAGCAGCCCCTCGTCCTGAGACCCTCTCACATTTGCCTGTCAGGCCTGGCTGACCACAAATTGCTGGGAGGGGTTCTGGGCTGGCAGTGCTATTTGGGAAATGTCCCCAAATAATGGACAAATAAATAATTGAGTTTATGTATATTTTAAACAAAATGTGGTTGATTCTTTTTGTAATCTATAAATACAAGTTCCTGTTTTGTTTGTTTTTGAGCCACACCTGGAGGCACTTGGGGCTGACTACTGGTTCTGTGCTCCAGGATCACTCCTGGCAAAGCCTAGGGGACCAAATAGGATGGTGGGGATCGAACCCAGATTGGCTGCATGCAAGGAGAATGCTCTGGCTCTTTAAATAGTATTTTGATACTGTTAGAACAGACATGCATTTGAGCATTCTGATCACACACCCATGTTTCTGAAATTTATCTTCGCCAAGAACATTTTCCATATTCCATTTTTAATTTTTACAGTAATCACTCAAAATTTGTACTATTTTCTTTACATAACAGATGCCAAAACAAGCAGTAAATAGCAGCTGGAATTCAAACCCAACTGTCTGATAAGCAGAAACCCATGTTCTTTATCATTTTTACCACTTATTTACAAAATTTAAATTCACTGCTTCCCAAGTGAAGTCAGGCCAAAATTTGGTTGTTTTATTGTTTGTACTCAAGAATTTTGAAGGGACAGAGAGATAATACAGGAGGTCAAGTGCTTACCTTGCAGCTGGCTGACCCAAATTCAATCCTGGCACTGCGTATGGTCTCCCAAGCACTGCCAGGGGTAATCCAAGCACAGACTCCCACTGTCACTGTCACTGTCCTCCCGTTGTTCATCGATTTGCTCGAGCGGGCCCATTAACGTCTCCATTGTGACAGTTGTTACTGTGTTTGGCGTATCGAATAGGTCACGGGTAGCTTGCCAGGCTTTACTGTGCGGGTGAGTTACTCTCGGTAGCTTGCTGGGATCTCTGAGGGGGCGGAGGAATAGAACTCGGGTCGGCTATGTTGGCTGCTTGCAAGGCAAATGTCCTACCCACTGTGCAATCGCTCCAGCCCGTGACTCCCAAACGTATTAAAAATTATTTTCTGTGTATGTGGTACTGGTTATAATCATCATTAAAATAATTGCCTATTTTGTCCCTTTTTTCCCCCCCTAGCTCATGCTTGATACATGGAATGAGTCGATCTTCTCAAATATTAAAAACAGACTCCAAGATAGCGCAATGAAGCTAGTACATGCTGAGAGATTGGGAGAAGCTTTTGATTCTCAGTTGGTCATTGGAGTGAGAGAGTCCTATGGTATGTTTGAAACTGTAAAGAAGTAATTTTTACAAAAATTTTGTGACATTTTTAATGTAATGTTTATTGGCACATAGTCACATGTAGTTTTAGAACCAGCTACCTTTCAGAGAAAAAAAAGAGGGGGCTTAATTCAGTTTTTTTTTTATTTGGCTTTTGTTTTAGGGCCACACCTGGCTATGCCCAGGGATCACTCCTGGTGGGGTACTCCTGGGGGGACCCCGTGTGGTGCTGGAGATTGAACCTGGGCTGGCTACAGGAAAGGCAAGTGCCCTGTCCATTGTACCACCACACTGCCCCTTTAGTTTGGTTTTAAGGGGCTGGAGAGCGCATACAACAGTTATGGTCCTTGCCTTGCATGCAGCCAATCCTGGTTCAGTTCTCGCCACAGCATATGGTCTCCCAAGTTGTGCCCGGGGTTACTCCTGAGTACAGAACCAGGACTAGCCCCTGAGCACTGTGGGTATAGCCCAACATCCTCTCATCCCCCTAAAATAATTCAGATTTAAGTAAACCTACAAAAGTTCTTACCTTCTCTGGAGCACAGGCATGGCATGAGGAAGCCGGGGTTTGATCTTGGCACTGCTCTGTCTCCCAGGTACCCCTGGAGTAACCCAAAACAAAATACAGATTCATGTATGTGTTCATATTTATTTTCACCATCTCTTTATTGACCTAAATTTGAGAATGGTAGATTTTAATCTGTAGATCGTAAAATGTTTCCTATTTGTGTTTTCACAAAATTAATTCTGTTCATACTTTCTTCTCCTTTTTAGTTTCTGACAATGATATTCTCATTTGTTCTCTCAATTGGATACATCCTTTCCTTTAAGCCAGATATTCTTCCTTTTTCTTTTCTGGGACATCCTCATTCCTCCTGGAAGATTTCCTCTGATTACATTCAGTCATTTCACTTAGTTCTTCGTAATGTCTTGATAATATATTATTATTATTATTATTATTATTATTATTATTATTGCTTTTTGGGTCACACCCGGCAATGCACAGGGGTTACTCCTGTCTCTGCACTCAGGAATCACCCCTGGCGGTGCTCAGGGGACCTTATGGGATGCTGGGAATCGAACCCAGGTGGGCTGCGTGCAAGGCAAACGCCCTACCCGCTGTGCTGTCGCTCAGCCCCTATGATAATATTTTAATTTAATTAACTGGGATGTCGGAATGCTCGCTTATTGGGGTTTGGGGACAGACATCTGGCAGTATTCAGGGGCTCCTCCTCCTGACCTGGTGTTAGGAGTTACTCCTGGGAGTGCACAGGGAACGCCACGGAGCCCAGAAGCCCAGAATGAATCCCTGGCCTTCTGCACACACAGCTTGTGCTCGGCTTACTGAGCTTCTCTGAGTCCCAAAACTGTTGAGCCTAGGTGGCTTGGTCCACAGTAACCGTCCCTAAGAGTTTTTATTATTGATGACCCTTTCGCCGTTTTGATTGACACTGCCCCTGAGAGGTATTGCTTTGTGTCCCAGGTGCTACCAGTTTGTACCTCTTTAAATCCTGATTCCTTTACTTCTCATTTGGGGGCCACACCCAGCGATGCTTCCCGGTTACTCCTGGCTCTGCACTCAGGAATGACTCCTGGCAGGGCTTGGGATACCCCATAGGATCCGGGAGTTGAACTCCATCGGCCCTAGGCAAGGCAGGCGCCCTACCTGCTCTACTAGCTCTCTGGCCTCTGTTTTTTGTGTGTTTTTTTTTTAAGTGATGCAAGACAGTTTTTATTGAAAGAAATTTACTTAGATGTGAGGGGAGAAAAGGAACGGAATATGTGTTCAAGAGAGAACACGGGCTTGACAGAGCCTAAATTATGATTCCTTTTTTTTTTTTTTTCTTTTTGGGTCACACCCAGAGATGCTCAGGGGTTACTCCTGGCTCATGCACTCAGGAATCGCTCCTGGCGGTGCTCGGGGGACCATATGGGATGCTGGGAATCGAACCTCTGTCGGCCATGTTGGCTGCGTGCAAGGCAAACGCCCTACCCGCTGTGCTATCGCTCCAGCCCCTAAATTATGATTCTTGACTTTTACAATGGTCTTCATTTTCGGGGTGGGGTGAACAGGTCTCTCAAGAGTAGCTCAGGAGGCCCGGGGGCCCCTCAGTGGTTCCCAGGCAACCAGACCAGTAGTTCAGGAGGGCCTCAAGGATGCTATGCTACGGGTGTGGGGATTGCCAGGGCTGCGGTGGTGATGGTCAAGACCACGTGGTACCTGGAATTGCACTTGGGGCAACTCCTTAGCCCTGGCACTGGCCCTCCTGGAACATTCTCATCGCTCTCTTCCTACTCTGATTGCTCACTGTCCCCTTCTTCCTGCTGTCATTATTCCGTCTTCTGGTCACCTGACTAGTGCCACTGTCATATTTGGCCGACAGAACGCACAGCCACACACCACCAGCACAGCCCCTGAAATGGCTGTTTGAAGGGCATGTTTCTTCCCTCCTCAGTGGTGCACTGCGCTGAGCCTGAGGTGGGAGGCTTCCCACAGCCACTCCTGACTGCCCATGAAGCTAATCTTCTGTGAACAGTCCCCTCAGCAGTCTAGTCACTTGGTCTTGCGCTTTTATACTTCTGAATATCTCCTTTTCTTCTCTCTGTCTGTATAAACTAAGTTAAAAGTCCATCCTCCATTCCCTAGTCCTCGTCACCACCCCTCCCCGCCCTCCGACCATGGACCGGTTTAGGAAAAGGCCTGCCATAGAACTAACTTTGTAAAAGCTTGGGGTGCGGCATTTTCTGCCTTGGAAATTCATCTGCATCACAACCTGAAATATGTTTGCTTGACTCTCTCTGTCTCTGCCTCTCTCCTCAAGTTTCTCTAAATCTGTTTCACTTGACTGAAAACTTCTGTGAATGGTTTCTTAAGATTCTTTAGGTTAGAAGCCAAATTATTGAGATATGTATGCTGTCCTGTTGAATATAAAGTAATCTGTGATACCATTGATCTGTTTACTGCTTTGTGTTTTTACCATTTTGTGTTCTTTTGGAGGAATCTAACATGATTTTCTGTTCCCTTGAGTACTGCTTAGTCCTTTCCTCCTAGTGACCCTCTGTATTTTCATTAGCACTTTTTTTTTTGTGCTCGAAATACTGCATTGAACCGCAATGAAAGTGAAATTTCATTTTCTGTTTTCCAGTTAACCTTTGTTCTAATCCTGAGGATAAGCTTCAGATTTATCGGGACAATTTTGAGAAGGCGTACTTGGATTCAACAGAGAGATTTTATAGAACGCAGGCACCTTCTTACTTACAGCAGAATGGTGTGCAGAATTACATGAAATATGTAAGTCGGAGCTTTGAACATGTGATAGTTTGAGCTTTTCTTTCGATACTCTTCAAGTGATTGCTATTTTACTTCTGCACAGGCAGATGCTAAACTAAAAGAAGAAGAAAAACGAGCACTCCGTTATTTAGAAACGAGAAGAGAATGTAACTCTGTGGAAGCGGTAAGTAATTCTGTGTGTTATGTGAGGGGCCAGCTCAGGGATGGCACGTCCGTGGCACACATCACTGTTGCATTCTTTCTCTGGTCTCTGAGCAGTGTCACTGAGTGCAGGTCAGTCCCCCCAGGGTGCTGGAGCACAGCCTCCAGAGCCCCTTGTCTTCCTGCAGAGCTTGTCCGCAGTGAAATCTGTTTGCCCTTCCAGCTGCGAACTTTGCCCTGTGCACTCAGTTTTTATTTTGTAACTTTCATTTCTAAAATTTTGTTTGTTTGTTTTGGGGAACCATGCTGCAGTGGTGCTCAGAGCTCCTAGAAGTGCTCAGGGGACCCTGTGAGGTGCAGGGGACTGAACCCAGGTTGGCTGCATGCAAAGCAAGCTCTTTCCCCACTTAATTAGTCAGGCCCCTATGCTTAATTTTGAATCATTTTAAAAAATTTTAATCATTTAATCACTGTGCTTAATCTCAGGCTCCTATACTTAAGGTTTTTTTTTTTTTTTTCATTTTGGGTCACACCCAGCGATGCTCAGGGGTTATTCTTGGCTCTGCACTAAGGAATCACTCCTGAAGGTGCTTGGGGGATCATATGGGATACCAGGGTTTGAACCCAGGTCGGCCTGTGCAAGGCAAACACCCTACCCGTTGTGCTATCGCTCCAGCCCCACCTATACTTAATTTTTAATCATCTTTTTTGTTTGTTTGTTTTTGGGGGGGGTCACACCCAGCGATGCACAGGGGTTACTCCTGGTTCTGCACTCAGGTATTACTCCTGGCGGTGCTCAGGGGACCATATGGGATGCTGGGAATCGAACCCAGGTCAGCCGCAAGGTAAACGCCCTACCCGCTGTGCTATTGCTCCAGCCCCATCTTTTTTTTTTTTTTTTAATTTTTCTTTTCTCTCTTTATTTATTTATTTTTATTTTTGGGTCACACCCGGTGATCCTCAGGGATTACTTCTGGCTCTGCACTCAAGAATTACTCCTGGCAGTGCTTGGGTGGGATGCTGGGAATCGAACCTGGGTTGGCTGCATGCAAGCCCTCCCCACTGTACTATCACTCCAGCCCCTTTAATCATCCTTTATTATGTTTTATGCCTATATAAATGTAGTCACTTTAGTGGCTAGTATAGTGCAGTGTGCTTCCTGAAGATAAAGCTGATTATCATTTTTCAAGGTAACTTGTGTTCAGTAAAGTAGCTGCAAAATCACGGATTAGACCTGAACCACATCTCTTAGGGGCTGTAATGTTCAAACATGGTATTTTAAGATAAAATATTAGTTATCTGATATGAGGAGATTATTATATAGAAAAAAATCAGAGGACCTAGGGATGTTGCTTATCAGTAATCAGTGATAGAATATGTGCCTTGCATTCATGAAACCTGGGTTTGATCCCTGACGTTGCAAAGATACAACAAAACCAGTCAGACATAGTAGCCATGCTACCATTTTCATGCTGGGTGTTTTCTTACACATGAAGAATGATCTTAATGTGTTTTAGCAAACAAAATAAGTTGGAGAGCAAAATATTTTCTCCATTTTATCTTTAGTTTTTGGAGACTAAAAACTAAATGTAGATTTACATCCAAAGACGAAACATTCACTTGGCCTTTCTTTGAACATCTTTTAACCATTGGGTTTTTTTTTTTTTAAACTTCTCACTTTTCTCTAGCTTCCTTTATCTTGAATAATAGTTCTGTTTATTCTTTGTTTAGAAATCAGACTGTGTTGGATCTTTTTTCCCTTGGTTTTTGTTTGTTTGTTTGTTTGCTTGTTTTTTATAACACCGTGTTTCCCCTTACTGGTTAAATAAATTTGATATGAGCCAGAAAAGACGGCTAAGTTAGTGATTGTTTTATAGGAGCTCTCGGTAGAAATTTAAACCCAGGCTTTTGCTTCATTCAAGAAGGCATGAAAGACTATTGAGTAATGTTTTAGGTGAGTGTATTATATTTAGAATTCACCCTCAGGAATAGTAGTGAAACAATTAAAGATGAGTTGCAGTGGAGGAAGAGCTAGAAATGAAAAGGGGGGGGGGGACTTCTGCAATCACTTAGGCCAAGTATATGGACTAACAAGCAGGGGTGTAGATTTGGGAATGAGAAAGAGGGAGAGAGTGGGAGCTTCCCTAGTAGAACACATGTTGGAGGGAATGGGAGTTAGATGCCAGAGGTAATGGTCAGGGATGTATCTGAGGTTTGGGCTTGGGGGAATTGTGCTACTCCAGGGAGATCTGGTCTAAATAAGTCTTAATAATAGGAGGAAATATTATCCCACTAGGAAATGAAACTTTAAGATACGAATTTGCTCTTCCACAGCTTAAAAATGCTAGCAACCTCCAAACGGAATTATTCTGGAGTTTAAAGATAATTTGTTTTATATCAAATAAAACCCTAAGTGCATACATCAGGTTTCCAGAGTACTTTGTGGAGGAATAGATGGAATAGATCTGTATATTTGGTTAGTTTTCCTTTCAGTTTTCTGCTTACTTAAACTTTTTTTGATTGCAATGTAGTATTACTATAGAAAAACACACCAAAACTTCAAGTATATGTTATGAAATGAACATGTGAAGTAGCCAGAAAGATGATTACCAGCTATTCAGAATCTTTGCATTATGCCTCCCTCCAAATTATTATCACCTTCTTGTTTGTCAAGCTTGTAACTTTCCTACTTTTGGTGGTTTGGGGGCCATACCCAGAAGCCCAGGGCCTGCTTCTGGCTATCTGGACAGGGGTCCTGTGGGAGTGGGGAAAGGAATGTATGATGCCTGCGAGCAAACTGGGGTCTGTCACGTAGGAGGCAAGCGTTTTCACCCCTCTATGCTTTTCTTGGCCCACTCTTCTAACTTGGAACAACAAAATAACTGACCTTTATGCAGTTTGTTTATCAAAATTTGGTACGGAGGCCATATCAAGCTCTAAAATCTTTAGAATTATTACATGGGGAAGTTAAGGCTTGGACAGATTCACTTACAGACATAACTAAGCAGCTTGTTTTTGGGACACACCTGGTTGCTGGTGCTGCTCGGGACAGTCTGCGGTACCAGTCTCAAAGGGCTGAGCACACACTTTGCATGCAGGAGACCTAGGTTCAACCTCCAGTGCCATACCAGTTGATCTCAGCTTTGCCAGATGGGGGACAATCCACTCCCCTGCAACAAAAGACCGTATATATTCAGTCAGGGAAGCTGACCGAATTAGTTTCTCCTTGGAGTCTGATGTTCCTCCTCAGGAGTGTCCGACCCGTTGTCTGTTGGGGTTGTGCTGCGGGACTCTGGAGACAGCCCTTCCTGATGCACGTTCACCTGTGCTCTCCCCGTCCCCAGGCCTCTAGGCTCATTTTAGTGATACTGGGAGATGGGCTCCAAGTCCTGCCAAGTACAACAGTGTGATCTTAGCAATCAGAGACTTGAAATACCAGCTAACGCAGTGTGCGTGGGCTTGCAGGTAGGGAATCGTAGAGAGGAAAGGGCTATTTGTGGAGAATAGTTCATAAGGCCTGTAGTTAGTATTGTAAAAATACAATTTTCCTGGTTTGGCTAGTTGTACTCCGGTTGCATAATACTCTGCTATGTGTTGCAACTTTTCTGTAATACTAAAGTAAAAGTAAACTGTTGGGCTAGAGTGATAGTACAGCTGGTAGGGCGCTTGCCTTGGACGTAGCTAACCTGGATTGACCCAGGAGTAAGCCTTGATCACGGCGCAGGAGGCTCAAAAATCTAAAAATAAAATAAAGAATAAGGGGGCCCGAGGACGTGGCTCAGTATTTTAGTATTTTAAAGCATTGTCCAAAAAAGTTGTCAGTCTTATTCACCATTGCTCTGTATGGAGTTATTTGTATAACTTATTTTAGCAATGAAGCAAATACTATTGGGAAAAATGACAGAAGAGGAAACCTTAGCTAGAAAGGCCAAGAAAAGATGAATTTGGAGAATAGCTTGCTACACAGAGAACAAATTGATTTTTTTTTTTTGGTTGGGGGGCACAGGGGTACTCAGGGGTTTACTTCTGGCTCTGTGCTCAGGGATCACTCCTGGCCGTGCTCAGGGGACCATATGGGACGCTGGAGATCAAACCCAGGTTGACTGCATACAAAGCAAACGCCCTACGTCCCGTACTACTACTTTGACCGCACAAATTCATTCTTAATATTATATAGATTTTTCTTGTATGGCTAAACACCTGATGATCTTGATAGAGTTGTAAAGTGTAGAAACGTAGCTCAACTTTCGTTTTACAACTGAGACAAAGTGAATTATTAACTTACACAGAGTTGTATGATAGAAGTCAGAACTGGTCTTGTTGCGTCTCACTAAATTTTCGTGAAGCGGTAATGCAGCCTGAACACCACAAAGGATTATCTGTTGCTCCATCACTGCGCCTGCCTGGCCTGTGCTCCATCCTCACAGACCTAGACACACGTTTGTTCAGCAAGTACCAGGTGCCTCAGTGCAGTCTGGCAGGCATCATCTTCGATGCATTTATATAGTCTTGCTGTAGAGGAAGGTAAAACATGAAGCACATTGATAGTTAAAGTGTTTCACCTTGCAGACCTCTGGGGACAAATTGCTATGGATTTAGAAGTTGCTCATCTCAGGCAAATTGATGGCATATGGCAAAAAGGTTTTTTCTTCACGGAAGCTAGCGAAAGGAGACAGAAAGGGGAGAACACAAGGTGAGAGACATGGTTCATCACTATCCTTTCCATTCGAGATGTCTCTTTCAATCACAGACCGATATATTTAGAGTTTCCTGTGCATGTAGTACTTTGGTCAAAGACGGGGAGAAATAGAGGCGAGTAGTACACGCTTTCTTCAAGGACCTGCTCTCTTGTTCAGACAGAACTCCCAAAATAAGAGAAGAATGCTCAGGAAATTCAGGAAATCTTCTCTGCTTCATAAAATAGTTTTCTAAACAACCGTTTTATGCAGAGGTCTGTACTGTAATTATTCTCCTTTTTTTAAAAAAAAAAGGTTTTATTAGGGAATTTTTACAAAAGTAGAGAAAAGTACAGAAAAAAAAATAGAAAGTACAGGCCGTTTCCGCCCCCCCCCCCCCCCCCATCTAGAACTCAGATTCAATAATAATCCGTTTTTAAAAATCCATACTTCTTGGCCAATCTGTTTTTTCCCTTTTTGCCCTCACAGTTTTTCTTTCTATGCTCTAACATGTTAGGGAAAATAGTTAACTTCATTTTTTTTTTTATAAGTAAACACTTATGTATTGTTGGGCTGGAGCGATAGCACAGCGGGTAGGGTGTTTGCCTTGCACGCAGCCAACATGGCCCACCCGAGTTCGATTCCTCCACCCCTCTCGGAGAGCCCGGCACGCTACCGAGGGTATCTCGCCCCACTGCAGAGCCTGGCAAGCTCCCCGTGACGTACTCGATATGCCAAACACGGTAACAACAAGTCTCATGATGGAGACGTTACTGGGCCCGCTCGAGCAAATCGATGAACAATGGGAGAACCGAACTCTGTATTGTTAACCTTGTTTTTAAGCCTGTGTGTATATCACATCATACATATGTTCTATAATCTGCTTAATGAATCCTTACAATGAACATTTTCAGTATTATATTGTTATTATTATTATTACACTTTTTACAAATAGTACTTTCTGGGGCTCCAGCAACACACACATAAATGACTACAGAAAAACTTACCTCTAATCCCTAGCCAATTCTGCTGTCTATTTCAATTTCCTTGTAAATGTAACCTCATTCGCTGTCACTGAATGGTAAAATAAAAAAAATTATATTGTGATGTAGTGTGTGCTATGTTTATTTGCATATATCTGAAACAAAGGTTTTTCTGTAGTCATTTATGTGTTTGTGTTGCTGGAGCCTCAGCCTATGGCTTCATGCATGTGTGGGCTTTAACATTGGGCCACATCACTGCTCCAACAAAAATTATTTTTTCTATAAGATGATGGGCTAGAGCGATAGCACAGCGGGTAGGGCATTTGCCTTTCACGCGGCTGACCCGGGTTCGATTTCTCCGTCCCTCTTGGAGAGCCCAGCAAGCTACCTACAGTATCCCGCCCGCCCAGCATAGCCTGGCAAGCTCCCCGTGGCGTCTTTGATATGCCAAAAACAGTAACAAGTCTCACAACCAAGATGTTACTGGTGCCCGCTTGAGCAAATCGATGAACAACAGGAGGACAGTGCTGCAGTGCTTTATAAGATGATGATGTTCTTTGTTGATAGAACCAATGCAGTCAGACTATTTTTTCTGTTCTGTGTTCCCTTTTAAAAAGCTGGTTACAGTTATGAATATTATTAATCATATTAAACATGATTTCAGGGCTGGAGAGGAAGTGCAGGAGTTAAGGCACTTGCCTTACATATGGCCAATCCCAGTTTGGTCCCTTGCACTATGTATGGTCCCTTGAGTATACCAGTTACCCCTGAGCACCACTGGATGTGGGCACAACCCCCACCTTCTGAAAAGTGAAAGCAAAAACTAATTTTACAATAAAAAACTTATTTTTGGTTTGGGGGCCAGACCCAGGGAGCACACCATGGCTCTGTGCTCAAGGATCACTCCTGGCAGCACTTGGAGACCATATAGGATCCCAGGAATTGAACCTGGACTATATATGTATATATGCATACACATGTAAAGAGAAAGAGAGAATACATTTTAAAAGCTAGGAAGAGTAGCAGTATGCTTCTGCATTACCTAAATTCAGCTTCAGTAATACTCACCAGCAGTATATTTCATGTCTGGTGTTGGAGAGGTAGAGCAGCAGATAAGGCGCTTGTGTTGTATTGAGGACCCAGCAGGGAGATCCTGGAACACAACTTGGCCTCAAAACCAAAAGCAAAAGCAAAAGCAGCCAGTATTGTAATTCCTTGAGGAAGTTTTCAAACTTTAAAAATATCCAGTTTCCTTTCTTTTTTTTTTTTATTAGTGAAACACCATGAAGTACATTTGTAGACTTACAAATTTTTGTGCTTGGGTTTCAGTTATACAATGATCGAGTGCCCATCCCTCCACCAGTGCCCATTCTCCACCCCCACCAATCCTAGCATCCCTCCCACCCACCCCTATCCACCCATCCCACCCTGCCTCTGTGGCAGGGCACTCCCTTTTGTTGTCTCTCTCCTTTTGGGTGCTGTGGTTTGCAAAAGAGACATTGGGTGGCAGTCATGTTCGGTCTATAGTCTACTTTCAGCATGCATCTCCCATCCTGGGCGGATCTTCCCAGCACCCTTTATTTCCTTTCTTAATAAGCCTATTTTTTTTTAAATTGTGTGTGTATTGGGTTGGGGGAATGGGGGGTTGTTTCACACATGGTGATGCTCAGGGGTTACTCCTGGCTGAGGTCTGTTGTGAAAAAAGATAAACTCAGCGTTAAAGTGAGGCCCTTGCCTCACCACTCCTATTGAAGTCATGACTACAGAGGACTAAATCTGCATGACACCAGGATCCAGGACAGATGAGGAGATGTTCCGGAGGGCGTCCCGGAACACCTGGTTCTTGGCATTTTGCCTGGACCTGTGCCTCCCTACCACCACTCCACGTTCCCTGCCTTGCAACACTGATCTGACATTTAAAAATGACGTGGGGTGGACAAGAATTCATCCTCTGTCTAAAGCCTTCCTTTCTTCCTTTCCTACTTACCGAGAGGCTGAAATACCAAACTGTAGATTTTCATTCTAATTGGATTCTAGTCTACCTCTCTAGCTTTCTCTTCCACGCTTTTTTCCCTACCAGATTTTCCTTCTTATTTATTCATTTATTTTGAGGAGGGGCCTACCCAGCAGTGCTCAGGACTCTTACTTCTGGCTCCTCTCACAGTGATCACTCGAAAGAATTGAGTAGAGTGCTGGAGAGAGCGTACAGCGGGGAGGTGCTTGCCTTGTACACAGCTGACTTGGGCTCGACCCCCAGCACTCACGTACCAGCCCTCTGCTTGTTTCTTTCTAGAATACTTTCCTTTTTTTCAGCTTCATTTTCGAGACCATCTTGTGGATGGCCACCCAAGAAAGAAATTCTTGTTTTTGTTGGTTGGAGGGGGATATTTGTATGGGTATATATTTTGCTATTTGGCTATGTTAAATTTATCAGTTTTTTTTTTTTTTTTGTCTACCAGTACCCTCTCCTCCAAAGTTGGGGCTAGTTCTGTACCCTTTCTTTCTTACCTGCTTCCTTGGTGCCCAGTGACAGTTGAATAAACGTACTTGTACATTTAGGGTCGTAGGGCCAATTCTGAACAGGTTTTCTCCAGAGATGAAAAGTTTAGTTTTTTTCAATTTTGCATATTTTTTTTTCTTCCTATCCTGGGAGATTTTTATTAAAATTTCTAAAGATAACCTATGTTCTGCAGTTTTTTTCTTATGTGGGAATTTGTATGAATTTTCAATAATCCTGTAGTAAAGGTAAGTAAAATTACTTTCTGCATACTTCGTTTTTAAGTTGTTACTGAACAATATGATTTTATGATTTTATAGAGCCATAAAACAAAAGGGCATAGAATAAATTTGTGCTTAGAGTAGCCTTAACCAGTTTTTTTTTAAATGTGTTTCAGCTCATGGAATGCTGTGTTAATGCCTTGGTGACATCCTTTAAAGAAACTATCTTAGCAGAATGCCAAGGCATGATCAAGCGAAATGAAACTGAAAGTAGGTAAAACATCGCCTAAAGATATCATGTATCAAGGGGGTATCCTGGGAGCCGATCACTTGATAAATTGCTGTTGGATAATTTTTATATAGAGATGTATTTATTACACCGAACCATAAATAAGCAAATGCTTTGTACGGTTGAAAGCGCTCTTTTGGGGTTGGGGAAGGGCATACACAGCAGTGCTCAGGGGTTACTCCTGGCTGTGCGCTCAGGAATCTCACCTTGCAGTGCTCTGAGGACCTTACGTGGTGCTACAGCTTGAACCCAGGTTTGCTTCGTGTACGGCAAGTGCCCTACCCACAGTCATGGAGCTTTGGCCCTGGAAGCACTTGGGTTCATAAACTTATGTTAAGCATTTTGTACATTAAGATATTTGTGCGTTAAGTATTTCAGCATGTTCTTTTTTTGCGGGGTGGGGGGGGGGGAACCACATCCAGTTGTGTTTGAGCACTGCTCCCAGCTCTATGCTCAGCGTCATTCCTGGCGGTGTTCAGGACATCATGCCCTCACAGATCACACCTGTGTCTCCCACACACGGAGCCTGCGCACAGCCCATTTATCTTTCTCCAGAGTTTGTTCCTCAGAGTAGCGAGGGATCTGGGGCTAGAGGCCCAAGGGTGAGCCCCACACTTCCTGGTCCCCTGAGCACCCCAGCCCTAAAATAAAAACCCTCTCTCCTCTCCATCCTTTTCTCTTCCATCCTTTCTTTCCTTTTCTCCCCTCTCTTCTCTTGCCTTTTTCTCCCCTCTACTTTTCTCATACCAAGGATAGCACACAGGCCTCACATGTGAGGCGTGCACTTTACCGCCAAAACATATCCCCGCCCTGAAGTTCCTGTTTTTGTTTTTGTGCTGCTGGAGATCAGACCCAAGTAGCATGCACTTTGCCACTGAGCACAGCCCTAGTTCTTCCCGAGTTTCTTTAAAAAAAAAATATATATATATATATATATATAAAGATTTCTATATATATAGAGATTTATATATATATAAATTACATATAAAGATTTATATATATAAAAATTTATATATATGGAAAGATTTTTTTAAAAAATTGTTTTTTGGGGAGGGGTCACACCCGGCAATGCACAGGGGTTACTCCTGGCCTTGCATTCATGAATCAATCCTGGCGGTGCTCAGGGGACCGTATGTGATATTGGGAATCGAACCCGGGTCGCCGCATGCAAGGCAAGTGCCCTGCCTGCTGTGCTATCGCTCAAGCCCCAGAAAGATAGTTTTCCTCAAAAGAAATTTACTTACGTCATAAGTAAGTGAAGGGAGAGGAGGAGAGGAATACATATTTAAGAGAGAACATGGACTTGTAAAAAAAAAAGCTGAAAACGATTTTCATGGGCCAGGGTACAGCAGGTAGGGCATTTGCCTTGCAACAGTCCAATTGGGATTCAGTCCCCATCACCACATAGAGTTCCCCACGCGCTTCCGGGAGTGATCCCTGAGTACTGCCAGGCATGGCCCCCAAACCAAAGCAATCATAGTGTTTGAGGAGGCTCAGGAGATAAAATCGGGGTTAGAGTGTATATGCGTACCAGCATGTCCTGAACCTGGGTGTGATCCATGGTATCGCATGCCCACCTGAACAGTACTGGGTATCTACAGGCTGGAGGACCAAGGAAATAGCTCGTGGACTCGCACGCACTTACACCCACCCGGTGTAGTCCAGAAACCGAAACAAATCATTTTTGATGAACCACTAAGTTGTAAGAAAGGGTCAAGTTTGCCTTTTGCTGCAATATGAATGAAATTGTTAAGTAAAAAAAAAAAATCAAAGGGGAAAGGACAAATTACCAGATACTCTCACTTCTGTGTGGGATATTAAGGCAAGGGAGCAGACAGTACCTGAAACAACGAACACGAGGGCTTCACGGAATTGAGACTCCCAAGTGCTTAGACAGGACTGTGCTGGAGGGTCTTGGGCACCTCAGTGGTGATGAGAATGTAGTGATTGTGCATTGAAAAGAGATAGTAACACTATTAGAACCTTTTCCCTCAATTGCAGTTCATAATAGTTTTTGTAGAACTGAGATGGTGGATTAAAAAATTGCAGTACTTATGGTAACTCCTAAACTGATGACTTTTTCCTTTGTTTTTGGGCCACACGTGGTGGTGCTCAGGGATGCCTCCTGGCTCTGCTCAGGGACCACTCCTGGCAAGGCTTGGGGACTATATGGGATGCGAGGGATGGAACCTGGGTCAGCCACGTGCAAGGCGAATGCCCTACCCACTGCGCTATCGCTCCGGCCCCATGAGAAAATACATCCTATTGGATGAATGCCATAGTTACATGAGTGTGTTTTCTCCTTACAGAATTACATCTGATGTTTTCGTTGATGGATAAAGTCCCTAATGGGATAGAGCCAATGCTGAAGGACCTGGAGGAGCACATCATTAGTGCAGGCCTGGCGGATATGGTAGCAGCTGCTGAAACTATTACTACTGTGAGTGTTCCTCCCTGCAATGGCAGCCGTGTATTACTGTTACTTTTTATTTATTTTCTTAAGTTTTGTAGGGTAGAATTTTTTTTTTCACTAAAGCAACATGAGTTACAAAGTAATTCATACACTGTTCCATCATTATTCCCACCACCAGTGTCATTGTTACTTTTTAAATGCAGAACTGAATATTTTGGAGTGTAATGGCAAGGTAGTAATATTGACACATTTTTAAATACTAAAACCCCCAGATTTTAAAGCTATAGTGCTATGTTAAACTTAGGCTTGTATTTTCTCGAAAGTATTTTTACGAGCTCAATTGACAGAAATCCGTTTGTTTATAGGACTCAGAGAAATACGTTGAACAGTTACTTACACTATTTAATAGATTTAGTAAACTCGTCAAAGAAGCTTTTCAAGATGATCCTCGATTTCTCACTGCAAGAGATAAGGTATATGTTCCTCTATATTCACACTCGTTATAATTCATATTTTTATTATAGTTGGTTCCCAGTGGGGCTTGGGGACCACCCACTGTACCGAAGATTTCTGGGGGGGCGAGGTGGGGTTTGGTATGCCGAGGATGGAACGCAGCACCTTCTCATGCAAGGCTCTACCACAGAGTCTCACCCCAGCACCTGTAATTCACTTTTAATGAGAAACTTGGAATCATTGTGCCTAAGAATTCAACATATTTTTTTTTTTTCTGTATTAATTGGGGACAGTTACTAGGACAGTTACTAGATTTGGCGTGGTGCAGGTTTTTGTAAGGCTGTAAGACTTGGGTATTTCATGAACTGCAGTGTAATTAGAAAGATGCTCTCCTTCATTTTCCTCAGAATGTTGTCCTGCTTTGTATATTATTAACTATTAATTATTATTAATCTCTGTCATTGTCCAGTGTGACCCAACTCTAAGTACAAATCTCCTGGGATCCCTGTGATAGCCCGCCCCTCCCACACCCTGTCCTGAGCTGATTTTGTTCTTCTGCCCACTCGTCCTTCATAGAGTTCCTGGAAGGATTTTGTTTGCGTCTTCCCTCTTCCTAGCGTCACACGTGTGGGACATCCCTTCATCAGTATTCTCCAGAGAGCTTTTTATTTTGTTTTGTTTGATCTTGGTGTTTGGGCCACATCCAGCAGGGCTCGGTGACCGCAGGGTGGTGTTTACAGGGTCATGTGATGTGGGGTATCAGACCCAGGCCTTCTGCATTCATACAGTGCACACTAACCCTTTGAGTCCTCTCATTGATCTTTTAAATGTCAGAAACCAAGGGGTTGGGGCCATAGTCCAGCAGGCAGGGCATTTGCCTCGCATACAGTCAACCAGGATTGGATTCCTGGCACCACATATCGTCCCCTGACCCTTTGAGGAGAGAACCCGAGTGTAGAGCCAAAAATAATCGCAGAGCGCTGCCAGGAGTGGCCCCAGAACCAAATTTAAAAAAAAAAAAAAAGCGTAATACAACGGGTAGGGCACTAGCTTTGCCTGCAGCCAACCCTGATTCAATACCCTGAACTCCATATGGTTCTACTGAACCATGAGTGATTCCTGAGTGTGGGGCCTGGAGTAACCCCTGAGCACTACTGTGTGTGGCCCAAAAACTTAAAAAAAATTTAAAAGTTTTTTTTAAAAGAAATCCATATGCCTATCACTAGAAATGGTCTTATTCCGCCCCCCCCCCCCCCACTTTCAAATCCTGTTTGTTGCTACCCAGTATAATTTTTCTGTGATCCTAGCAGGATTATCAACCTTCTCTGGTAGACTCTTTTTTCTCACTTTATTTTAAAATGGATAAAGAAGAGAGGAATTAAGAGTATGGAGGCAGTAAGGTGGTTTGAAATATTAAGTGGAGTGGCTTTGCAAAGGCATCTTCGGGGTAGCATTGGAATCGAGATTGAAGGGGATGAAGAAGGACGTTTTGTGGCTCTCTTGAGGGAAGAATATTCTAGCCAGAAGAATGAAAGTTACAAAGACTAAGGCATGAATATGCCAGTTTTGTTCCAGAAACAGAGAAGATGTTTATTATAGCCATAGTGGACTTGGGCCTGGGGATGGAGGGTTAGAGCGATAGGAAATGAAGTCAAATATGTCATGACTTGACAGAGAACTTGCTAAAGTCATTGACTTGAAAATTCTCTTTAGGCCAGAAAAAATATTGAAAACAAATAATGAATAAAGCTAATTTCCCTCCCCCTCCCTCTCTCCCTGTCTCCCACTCTCCCTCTTTTCTTCCACTCTCCTTCTCTCCCCCCCCACTTCCCCTTACACACACACGCGCGCGCACACACACACACACACACCCTCTGCAATATTGAGGACACACCCTCCCTCCCTCCCTCTGCAATATTGAGGGCCTACTCCCAGCTCTGTGCTTGGGAGTTGCTCCTGGTACAACTTGATGGGACCATATGGGATCAAACCTGAGTCTCCCCCATGCAGAGCGTGCTCGGCCTCTATGGGCCAAATTTATTTTTAAAATGTATTCTTAGAATTGTAACAATTTAATTGTTTTAATTACTAGAAGTGATGTTCATATTTTACTTAAAATTTTATTTGCAGGCATATAAAGCAGTTGTTAATGATGCTACTATATTTAAACTTGAATTACCTTTGAAGCAAAAAGGGTAAGTTTTTAAAATATGTATTTAAAAATCTTAAAAATTCTTGAAGTTTGTTTTGTTGCTGGTTATGTAAGATGTTCTTTACCATGATCCTAGTAGATTTGGCTGTGTGCAAGGCTGTCTCTCCCATTCTTCCATGCCTTTCACATGTTGAAATGATTATTTTCTTTTTCTTTTTATGTGATGGAATACAGTCTTGGAAAAGAAATGTTATTCAGGACTGGAGAGATAGTTCAAGAGGCTGAGCACAAAAATAAAAGCAATTTCTTCAGTATTGAATTCTTGGGATAGAGTCTTTTGGGGGGGCGGGGGAGGGGGCACACCTGACGATGCTCAGGGGGTTGTCCCTGACTCTGCACTGAGGATTCACTCCTGGCTGTGCTCTGGGGACCATTGGTAAAGCTGGGAATTGAACTCTGGTTGTCTGCGTATAAGGCAAGTGCCTTCCCCTTGCTGGACTGTCTCTCTGACCCCCAATAGATTCTCTTTTTCTTCTTGAGTCAGTGCTCAGGGGTTCCTCCTGGCTCTGCACCCAGGAATTACTCCTGGTGGTGCTCAGAGGGACCATATGGGATGCCAGGGATTGAACCCGGGTCAACCATATGCAAGGCAAACACCCTACCTGCTATACTGTCACTCCAGCCCCTGCCCCCCTCCCCCAGTAGATTCTTAATTGGTCAGATGTATTTGTAAACTATTAGACTCAGTTCACAGACGTTAAATTTATTTGTATTGATGAAAAGTATGTCTCTAGCTTTTTGGTTTTGGCCTTTCATAGGTCGGGGGGGGGGTTGTTCTTTTTTTGTAATATTGTGGGGATTTTTGTTTTTGTGGGCTTTTCTGTTTTCTTTTGGGGCCACATCTAGTAGTGCTCAGTGCTTACTCCTGGCTCTGCACTCAGATTATTCCTAGTAGGGTTCTGGAGACCATATGGGGTGCCGAGATTTGAACCCGGGCTCACTATGCAAGGCAAGCTCTCTACCCACTGTATTGTCTTTCTGGCCCTAAAGTTTTTTTGCTACCAGGATTATGCTTGCAACATAAAAAGTATTGGGTGTAACCCTTGAGCATTGCCAAATATGGGGTGCCCCCCAAAAAAAACCAGTATTAGGAGGTATTTGTAACTTTTATAACTTCTGATGAATTATTGGGGCCAGAGAAGTAGTATAGAAGGCTAGGTGCTTGCCTTGCATACAATTCCTGGAACTCTCCCCGATTCAATCTCTGACAGTGAAATGGCCCCATGAGCACTGCCCACGGCCACTCCCAGTAGAGTTAGGAATGGCCACCTGTGTGTTTGGCCCACCTTCTCCCCCCCTTTGCAAAAACCTTTAAAAACAAAACAGAATGTAAGTTGCTGTTATTTTTTCCTTCAGTGTGTGGTAGAATTCAGTAGCAAAACACTCTGGGCATGGGTTTTTCTTCTGGGCGTGAGCACTGGACCGTGTCCATTGGTGCTCCAGGGACTATGAATTCCTTGCTCAGCCTGAGTGCCTGGGCCATGCTCATACAGGGCACCGTGTGTGGGACTGGGTCTCTGGCCACCACCGCCACATCCAAGCCTTGCCCTGTGTCATCTGCTTGGCCTCTGGGAAGGCAGTTTTCTTTATGGGAAGTTTGTTTTTTGTTTTGGTTTTTTAATCATAAGTTCAGTTTCACAAGAACAAAGGAACACTAGCAAATAACCACTTGGAGCAAGGGGAAGAGCACAAAGCATCAGTTATTTCAGCAGTTACGGGAGCTCAGCATGGGCAGTGGGAATAGATTGGGGCTGAGCTAGACCCCGGGAAGTGATCCAGTCTTCAGTCTCACTCTGACCTCTGTCTGCCTCAGCCGACAAAAGAGGTCGCTCCCACTAATGTGGGGATTAGTGCCTTCCAGGAAAACCGTTGTGAATCTCAACTTCCTTGTCCATCTACTCTTTTTTTAAGACTGAGCCCTCTGCTGGCAGGATAGGCTTTCTGCCTCTTAGCTACTCTTCACTGAGATGAGCTAAGAAAGGCTTATTACCCTTTCTCAGTTCTTCTAAGACATGTTATCTTGGAATATGAAAAGCTTCCAAGTTGCATAAGAAATGAGTTTTATTTGCGTATTGATGCTGATTTCACTGTATCACTGTCATCCCTTTAATGGTCGAATTACTTGAGTGGGCGCCAGTAACGTCTCTATTCCTCCCAGCCCTGAGATTTCAGCAGCTTCTTCTTACTCATCTTTTCCCAACGATCGGAGGCTCTTTCAGGGTCAGGGGAATGAAACCTGTCGTCGTTACTGTATTTGGCATATCGAATACATCACAGGGAGCTTGCCAGGCTCTGCCCGTGCGGACGGGATACTCTTGGTAGCTTGCCGGGCTCTCTGAAGGCATATATTTATATATTTCTCTCTAGATGCTTATGCTGATTTCCAGAAAACTAATTTTTGTTGTTGTTGGATTTATATTTGTTTTTGAGCCACATCTGGTATACTCAGGGATTATTTCTGGCTCTACACTCAGTGATCACCGCTGGTGGTGGTGCCCAGGGGACCATAAAGGATGCCAGGGATTGAACCCCAGTCGGCCACGTATAAGGCAAGCTTCCTACCTGCTGTACTATCTCTCCGGCCCAGAAAATTTTTTTCTAATAACTAGGTATCAGATTCTTTTAAGACTCAATTTTTTTTTTTTTTTTTGGCTTTTTGGGTCACACCTGGCGATGCACAGGGGTTACTCCTGGCTCTGCTCTCAGGAATTACCCCTGGCGGTGCTCAGGGGACCATATGGGATGCTGGGAATTGAACCCAGGTTGACCCGGGTCGGCAGCGTGCAAGGCGAACGCCCTACCCGCTGTGCTATCACTCCAGCCCCTCAAATGGTTTTTGATTCTTCACTTTTGATGCCCAAAATCCGATGCGTAATTAAAACTTTGTTTATATTAGTATGTTGTCGTTGTTTTCGTGGTGAAGCAAGGTAGTTTCTATTGAATGATACTTTCTTAGAATGATGTGAGGGGAGATAGAGAGGGGGAAGTTCAAGAGAGAGCATAGGCTTCTCCAGAGTGGAAAACATAAACATGTGAAGAGACAGAGAGACAAGCAAGTGAGCTACATGTTCAAGGGGAGCATGGGTTCGGAGAGCGAGCCTGAAATAGTCCGGACTTTCAAGAAACAACTCAGGAAGGTCTTAACAAGAAAAAGTACCTTCTGAGGAGTTTCGTCCATCTTCTTATTTGAATAAGAACATTCAGTGGGGGGGGGGGGGGGAAGAGCATATTTTATAAAAATTGAGTAGACAGAGATAGAAAACTCAGCTGGTAGGGCATTTGCCTTGCACGTGGCCATCCCGGGTTTGATCCCCAGCATCCTGGCTGGTTCCCCAAGCCCTGCCAGGATTAATTCCTGAGCGCAAAGCCCGAAGTTCGCCCTCGAGAGCATCATGGAGTGGCTGCTTAAAACAAGCAAAAACCGCGAAGTCTCCCCTCCATTCGCTTTCCCCAAAAGTCCAAAACTAAAACAACAGCTAAGAGCTGAACATGGATATGATAAAATTTTACATGTGCCTATATTTTGAATGCACACCACATAGTTGTGTGCTTATGCACTTTGGATGTCTAATTACTAGAAAATAGCATGAAAAGCATCTGTCAAGCCTGAAAGCATTCAAATATAGCACCCTGTATTTGGGGGTGGGAGATAGAGCCAGAGGGCCACCTTGCCTGTCTGGGTTGCGGTCTTGGCGTCGGTCTTCACGTCTGCCCCCAGCACCTCTGGGTGTGGCCCCAAAGGCCTTCAGTACCTCTGGCCCCAGCAGCATTGCCCTGCCTGGCCTGAGTATCGAACCCTTCAGCCCGCTGTCTGAGCACCATCGGGAGTAACCCCCTCCCCGGCAAAGAAATACATAGTGCACTGGTTTAGATCTCTATCAGGAAAGTGACGAGAAGATGCAAGTTCGTTCTTCATTGTTTAAGAAGAATTTATGAGAGAGACAGAGATCCAGTACCACTGAGAGCAACCTCTGAGCACTGTGGGGTGTGCCCCCCCAAAAAGGAAAAGTTTGTGAGTGGCCAGAGAGATAGCATATCAGGTGAGGTGCTTGCCTTGCATGCAACCAACATGAGTTCGATACCTGGTATCCCATATGGTCCCCTGAACACCACCAGAAGTCATCCCTAAGTGCAGGGCCAGAAATAATCTGTGATCGCTGGGCGTGACCCCCAAAACCAAAATAAAATGCAAGTTTTTATGCTGTTACTTATTTCTGTTGGAATTGAACCAAGAACCTTATCCATGCCATACATACACTCTTCTATGTCCACAGTCTTTATTTCTGCATGCGTTTGTTGTTGATAACCAGGACCTGTGGTACTCGTGACCATGTGGTATCAGGGATCTAATACCGGCTCTGCCACATGCCAGGCCTATACTTTACCATAAGCTGCGTTGTGTCCCTGGCCCACTGTTTTTTCCTGGTGTGGCATTCATCAGATCACTATGAATAAAGATACATTTTGGGGGGGCATCACCCAGGAGTGCTGGGGCCTGCTCCTCTACATATTACATACCCGGGGATTGAACATGCAAAACACTCAATGTCCTGCTCCAGCCTTTCGAGCTGCCTTCTAGGGCACAAAGTAAGTTTCATCTTACTATATTAATAACAGCAAATTTTCACTGACTTATAAGTATGTAAGAATGTACATAATTTTTACAAGTATTCAGCACGTATCTGAAGGTTTGGGTTCTTTTGGGAGGGAAGGGAGGGAGGGTGGGTGGGTTATTTTTTGTTCTGGGGAGCAAACCTGGCTTGCTTAGTGCTTACTCCCGGCTCTGTGCTTAGGGGTCCCTCAGTCCATGTGCTCGGGGGAGTGAGGCAGTGCTAGGGGTGAACCAGGGATGACTGTGTGCAAGGCAGATGCTCTTCCCCTTGTACTGTCTCTCCAGCCCAAGTATCTGAAGAGAATATTTCAAGATCCTTGGCAAGGCCACCATTCGAGTCAGCCGTAGAGGAGGACTGGGGGTGCAGCCTTCCCTGCAGGAGCACTTTGGGGAGCACCCCGGAGTGGGAGCTCCCTCCCTTCTGCACCCTGGGAGGTGTCCTGCTCACCTAAGGCCTGTTCCTCGGCCTAGAAGAAATTTGTGGGAAATTTTCTCTTGAACAAAACATTGGTAGGAACTGGAGAGAGAGTTCAGCAGGTAGGGTGCTTGCCTGGCACATAACCGAGGTTCCATCCACGGTACCGCGTATGGTCCCCTGAGCATTGCTGGGTGTGGTTCAAAAAACAAAAAAAAAAAAAGAAAAAAACCATTTTTTAACTACCAATTGTTTTTCATCAACTGCTTTTAATTTTTTTTTTTTAGGGTAGGATTAAAAACTCAGCCAGAATCAAAATGCCCCGAGCTTCTCGCCAATTACTGTGATATGTTGCTAAGAAAAACACCATTAAGCAAAAAACTAACTTCTGAAGAGATTGAAGCAAAGCTAAAGGAAGTGGTACATGCATTTTTTTATTTCAAGTTACCAAATTTCTTTGTATTTGTGTTCTGCCCATAAAACTTTCCAAGATACCATCCATTTTTGTATGTATGTATGTATGTATGTATCTGTGCATATATATATAATATAAAAACACTAATACGAAATTGTGTAGTACAGGATTCTCTACAGGGGAGTTATTTTTATTTCTGAATTTTTTAATTTGTTAACTGAAAGAACAGTAGCATTTAATTCTTCTCTTTTCTTGATTCTTTTTAGCCAGTTAATTTCTAGCTACTAGTAAAGGACCAGATAGGATGGGAGAGTGAGCTCTAAGGTATCTGAATGGCAGTTAATATTCTGGGAGGGTTTTTTTGGTTTGTTTTATAAAATGCAAAGTAGATAGTGCTGATTGTGTGTAGGTGAGGTGCTGGTTGTTTTCATTTTCACTTTTCTTCTGTTACGTATACTGCAAGCTCAGGAAAGCAAAGCGATTTAAGGAAGAAAGCCTTGAGAGAAGTCAGATCAAAGTAAAGAACCGTGATTTTCACATAAAAGCTTTTTCACGTAAAATCTGAAAAATGGATGATACAACTAAAAGTTATCTGGTTACTGTCTCAAATTTGCTGACTTTTGCAGTATCAGGAACAGTCGTTTCTCAGCAGCGGCAGTTTAGTGGCTCTCTGTCCCTACTGTATATAAATTCCAGAATTTTGACAGTTAGGGGATAAGGCAAGATTTAAATGAGAGTTGGCTAAAAGATCATATGAGAGTTGAAAGTAACTTTTTCCTCCCCTCTACAGCTCTTGGTACTTAAATATGTACAAAACAAAGATGTTTTCATGCGATATCACAAAGCTCATTTGACACGACGTCTTATATTAGACATCTCTGCCGATAGTGAAATTGAAGAGAATATGGTAGAATGGCTCCGAGTAAGTAATCTCTTTTTTTTAAATACTTGGTTCTGTGCTGGGGTAGAGCACAGGCTTCCTCCAAACAGAGCATGATTCCAGCACACTGCCTTTTCTCTGGCCCTGATGTGTTATTTGTGTCGTCGTTTGTGGGTTTAGAAGCTAGAAGTGAAGGCAGTACCTCAAACATGACCCAACTGATGGCAGTGAATGGAAATTAAGGGGTACCGTTGGGGGATTGCTGTCTAACTGAACGGAATAAGTGAAATTCCTCTATATTGGAATCTGTAAAGAAAGCCAGAATTGCTTTACTGTCTTATTTAAGAATAAGAATGTTTTTAAGAATAAAGTTAATGAATATAGACTATAAACATTCTAATAAAAGAATGCTTGGGGCTGGAGAGATAGTCCAGTGAGGAGGGCACTCGCCTTGCATGCATTCTACCAGGGTTCAATTCCAGCACACCCTGAGTGATTCCTGAGTGCGGAGCCAGGAGTAAGCCCTGAGCATCACAGGGTATGACCCCAAATCAAACAAAAAATAAATTTTTAAGTATTTAACACTTCCTTGACGACTAAGTTGTTTTCTGGATTAGGTGAAAGTTTTTTCTTAGCTTTCTCTGTCTTTGGTTTCATAGGAGGTTGGGATGCCTGCAGATTATGTGAACAAGCTCGCTAGAATGTTTCAGGACATAAAAGTGTCTGAAGATTTGAATCAAGCATTTAAGGAAATGCACAAAAATAATAAATTGGCCTTACCAGGTATTATTTTGTGATTTTGTGTGTATGTATATGTATATATTTAAGCCCTTTTTTTAAAAATAAAGAATATCTTTGTTTTCTAGTCAGTAAAAATTAAACTTTATGTTGGTTCAATCTGGCACCACCAAAGAAAGAAATAAATAAATAGAACGGGATACAAAGATGTTGCAAAATCCACATTCCTTAAAGCCATCAGGCAAAGTAGAACATTTGTTACATTTGTTTGTTGGTTTGTGTGATTTATTTATTCAGAGTTTTGTTTTTGTTTATTTTGCAGGGAGGGGGTGGACAGATGGTCGTGGGGTGGTGAGGGAAGTTGGGAGATAGCAGACACTTTGCGACTGTGCTGGGGGTCCAGGGACATCCCTGGTGAGGTGGTGGACCAGCACGTTCCCCTCAGAGTGCTGCGGGATGGGTGGGCATGCCTGGGCACGCGGCCCAGAGCCTGGTACAGGCTGACATGTGTTCCACCGCTGAATTACCTCAGTATCCCAAAAGGACACTTTCTCCGAAATCTTTAGAGTCTTGTTTATTTTTATTTTATACTGTGTTTACTGTATTGTTGTTTGATTAAAATTTCATCCATTGCCAAGGTATTTTTTGTTTTTGTTTTTGCTGCATTTCATATTTTCTGATATTCTTACCTATAGCTGATTCAGTTAATATAAAAATTCTGAATGCTGGTGCCTGGTCAAGAAGCTCTGAGAAGGTCTTCGTCTCACTTCCTACTGAACTGGAGGATTTGATACCTGAAGTAGAAGAATTTTACAAAAAAAATCATAGTGGTAGAAAATTACATTGGCATCATCTTATGTCAAATGGAATTGTAAGTAGATGATGTATTCGCTTAGGTGCTGACTCAGCTGCAAGTAGCCGCCTCAAAGGGAGAGTTGCTGGCCATTTGCTCCCTCACAGGCACTGTGGCTCTTGGCAGCATGTACTGAGTCGGGAGGCTTGGGACTTGGGCATTGACCTTCAGAACAGGGCAACAGGAAAGGAAAGATAAGGTATAGCTAGCTACTCTTAAGGGCAATTTCTAGAAGTTTCCCGATGATTTCCATTCATATCTTACTGGGCACAACTCAGTGACATAACCACATTTTGTTCCAGGGAAAACTGGAAGATGATCCTTTATTTTGGGTCATTTAAGGTTTGCTAAATATTTTGTTACTTTTTTTTTTTCATAATTTTATTATTTTTTCTTATATTTATTTATTGAATCACTGTGGGAAAAGTTACTAAGCTTTCAGGTTTAAGTCTCGGTCACACAATGATCAAACACCTCTCCCTTCACCAGTACTCATTTTTCACCACCAAGAACCCCAATATACCCCCCCTCCCACCCCTCCCAGTACCTGTGAGGCAGATGATTTCCACTGAACTCTTCTCTACATTGATTACATTCATTATTTCGACAAAAGATGCACCATTATTGTTTAGAATTCCCCCCCCCCCCAACAATCAGAATTGCTGAAAAGGCATTGTGAAATACTTTGTTTTCTATAACTGGTTATGAGACTCATATAATGATTTTGGATTTCTGCAAAGAGCCAGATAATTACGAGATTGGTTTCTGTGCATCTGGTGTTATGGCTGTGCTGGAGAGCCGCCCGTGGGGGGCAACTCGTGACCTCAGTAGGGCGTGAAGGACGAGCCGGTACTGCCCCCCTTCCCATGAGACTGCAGTTGCCTCGTCACCGCCGGCTCATACCTGGCTTTCCAATAAGCTCTGAGGCGGCGGCCACCTTGCTACCAGCGGGGGGGAAAGGCGGAAATGAGCAACACCCTTTCCCTCCCAGGGAGGCATGTCACCATAGTTTAACGAATGGTCCGTTCACTTTTCTGCCGCAAGCTGCCGGGTTCTGGATTAAGTCCTTTTGCCTCTGGAGCCATGGTTGTACCGGAGAGCCGCTAATGGGGAGCAACTCGTGACCTTGGTAGGGCGTGAAGGATGAGCCGGTACTGTCCCTCTTCCCATGAGACTGCAGTTGCCCCGTTACTGCCGGCTCATACCTGGCTTTCCAAGAAGCTCCGAGGCAGCGGCCACCTTGTATGCGGTCCAGATGCATTTCTGCCAAAAACTGCTGGGTTTCGAGATTTGTTTCAGAGTCTCTGGGATCATGGCCATTAATTAGCTTGATCAGGAGCCAGAGAGGCCGTTTGTAGGTGGCGACTTGGGGTCTCGCTGGGATGGGGAGGAAAGGGCTGGTTCCACCCCAGTCTGGTGAGGCCCCGCGTGTCTTGTCACTGCAGGCCCAAACCTCTGGAGGATGAAGGTCACCGGGCCGCCAAGGGGAGCAGGCCAAGGCATGAAACCTGTTCCCACCTGGATTGGCCCAGTGCCAGTAACCTACTGCAGGAACAGGACGCATTTCTGCCAAAAGCCTTTGGGTTCCAAGATTCGTTTCTGAGTCTCTGGGTTCATGGCCATTAAGCAGTTCGATCAGGAACCAGAGAGGCCATGCCTCCAATTCTACAGCTGAGCCGGAGGTGGTTTGTGGGTGTGTCTCCCACATACCTAACTTTTGGCCTTTTACTTTCTTGATAAACTTTGCCCCAAGTTCTTGGGGTCTGGCCAAAGGCACAGCAGCGATTTTGGGGTATCTGAAAACCTGACAGTGCCATCAGGATGCCGATGCACTCGCCTCACAGGTACAAATTGACCTGCTGGTGGCACCAAACCCCCATATTACTGTTTTAAGAAAATACAAATGGAGGGACCAGAGAGATAGTACAGTGGGGAGGCACTTGCCTTGGATGCAGGTGTCCTGGGTTCAACCCCCCACATCCCAGATGGTCCCCTGAGCCCCAACAGGAGTGATCGCTTGAGGGCAGAGCCAGGTGTAAGCCCTGAGCACTGCCAGGTGTTACCCCAGAAATAAAACCAAAAAAAACCGAAGTACAAGTGGATATTGAAAGATAACTAATACACTAAAATTGGAACGACAAAGAGATTGGCATCAGCCCTGTAGGAGGGTGACAGACATGCGAGCTAGTGAAGCATTTCATATTTTTATTAAAATCTTAGACAAAAAGTGTTTCCTGTATGTCATATAATAAATAAAGATGATAGTCACCTGGAAATACTCTTTTTATCTGTTCTAGATAACATTTAAGAATGAAGTAGGTCAGTATGATTTGGAAGTAACGACGTTTCAGCTGGCTGTGTTGTTTGCATGGAACCAAAGACCCAGAGAGAAGATCAGCTTTGAAAATTTGAAACTTGCAACGGAGCTCCCTGATGCGGAGCTTAGGAGGACGCTATGGGTTGGTTTTCATACGATACTTTTTGTTTTGAAAATTGGGTCCTTTCTAGCAAAAAGTACGTTCCCATTATGTATAATACAAACAAACAAACACTGTCCTCCCGTTGATCGTCGATTTGCTCAAGCGGGCCCAGTAACGTCTCCATTGGAGACTTTGTTGTTACTGTGTCTGGCATATCGAATACGTCACGGGGAGCTTGCCAGGCTCTGCCGTGTATGTATAATAATTATACCAATTATTCAAAATGGCTTTGACCAAGAAAAATACAGCTAATCAGGGAGTTAGGAAAATAAGGAAGATGAGTGAAAAAGGAGAAAAGCCAAAAAGAATAGGGAAAAGATTCAACTAGTAGTGATTGATTGTGGGCCCACACTTGATGTTGCTTGACCCAGGGCCTCACACATGCACGCTTGGTGCCTGTTTTACCACGTGAGCTGCATCTCCAAGTCCTGAGTTGGTTCTTAAATTTCACCTGTGAGGAATGGGATCTTTTTTGACTTGGGGGGTGGGGGGGTGGGGCGGGGACGAAGAGAAGTTGTCAGACTACTCTTGTCTGTGCTCAGGACTTCCTTCTGGCTTGACCATAAGGTTTATACCGAGAATGTGTTCAACGACTTAACAACCAGAATGTAAGAATTGTAAACCTTTTGGTCTTTTTGGGGTTTGTAAAATGTACAGTGCTCATAACTACATTTTATCTATATTTCATAGACAGCTTAAATTGAAAGTTCCAAAATAGGGTCCGGAGCTCACTCAGAGTACATGCTTTGAAAGCAGGAGACCAGGATTTGTCCCAGGCACCTCCTATTCCAAGGAGCACCACTGGCTGTCAATTTAAAAGAAAACAAAGGAAAATCTCAAAAACAATCCCCACATATGGTCCTCCTGAGCACTGCCAAGTGTAGCACAAAAACAAAATAAACAAAAAATTCAAAATAAACAGTTACCTAGAGAGGAATGCTGGCATGTCACTAACAAGTGGTGGTTGCTGTGGTCATGTGGGACCGGTGTGATGTGAATCGAGCATGTGTTGCTTCCTCAGACCAGCTTTCTCCTCATTCTCTCTTTCATTGCCGTGCTTGCACTGTTAGATCAAAAGAGGTAGCACGTAGAAGCACAAGTTCTGCGTTTGTCCTGAGAGCCCCTTCTCGAGAAGCCTGCACTGCGTATCCCTTACTCTTGGTGATGCTAATTATTTTCTACTCTTTAGTCTTTAGTGGCTTTCCCGAAGCTCAAACGGCAAGTTTTGTTGTATGAACCTCAAGTCAATTCACCCAAAGACTTCGCAGAAGGTACCCTCTTCTCAGTGAACCAGGAGTTCAGTTTGATGTAAGGGTTATGTCAGTTCATTTAAAATTTATATGTCTTACGTGAATTTTAGTTCTTTATTTATAGCAAAATAATTTTTCCTGCAGGTGATTTAAGGTGTCTGCATAGTGTCTTCACTTTAGAGTCATGCTGTTTATTTATATGAACAGTAGTGAATTTATAGTGTTTGAAATTTTTTCATAGATACATTTTTGGTATTGCTGTACTTCTTTTTGTCTTAAAGTCATATCCGTTGGCCGATCACTTTCATAGCAGTACAAATTAGATTGATTTTGTTACTAGTGTGGTCACTCATTTTATTAACAATATTCATCTTGTTTGAGAAATATTCATAGATGTTTATTTTAAATGAAGCTATATGTATGTTTTCCCTTTAAATAGTCTTGATAGGAATTTCCTTTAAGTATTCTTGATATGAATTTTTACAGTATTTCTAAACCTTTTCTCAGACATTATTGTTACTATAGTATTTGAAAAGCTTTTTACTATAAAATATTTGATTTAATGTTTTTATAGAAAAAATGCAAAAGTTCAGAAAAGGGGTAAAATCAACTTGATTGGACGCTTGCAGCTTACAACGGAAAGAATGAGAGAAGAAGAAAATGAAGGAATAGTCCAGCTAAGGATACTCAGAACCCAGGTCTGTCATGTTAAGACACTGTAGCACTGTCCTCCCGTTGTTCGTCGATTTGCTCGAGCGGGCCCAGTAACGTCTCCAATGTGAGACTTCTTGTTACTGTGTTTGGCATATGAGTAAGTCACAGGCAGCCTGCCAGGCTTTGCCGTGTGGGCGAGATACTCCCAGTAGCTTGCCGGGCTCTCCGAGAGGGGCGGAGGAATCGAACCTGGCTTGGTCGGCCAGCCGTGCGCAAGGGAAATGCCCTACCGCTGTGCTATTGCTCCAGCCCTTGTTAAGACAGAATGTCTAAATTTTGTTTGACATTTGTTTTTGTTTTTTGGTTTCTGTTTTAATTTCAAGCATATAAGTATTGTTTTACCAGAATATACGAATCCTATTAGTGGCTGGGCCAGAGTGATAGTACAGTGGGTAGGGCACTTCCCTTATATGCAGCCAACCTGGATTTGATCACCAGCATCCCATACGTCCCCCGAGCTCCGCCAGGAGTGATCCCTGAGTGCAGAGCTAAGAGTGATACCTGGAGGGCCAACAGGTAGGGCGTTTGCCTTGCATGCTGCAGACCCAGGTTCTATTTCTGGCATCCCATATGTCCTCCAAGCACTGCCAGGAGTAATTCCTGAGTGCAGAGCCATGATTATACTCCGAGTATAGCCGGTTGTGACCCAAAAAGGTGGGGGTGGTGTGGGAGGAGTAACCCCTGAGCATCACTGAGTGTGGTCCCCGAAAACAAAAATAAAAGAAAATCTATTAGTGGCATTCTCTTCAGAGTTGGACAAAGTGTATATATGGCCTCTGGTAGAGCCTTAATTGACCATGTTTGAATAAAAGTTTCAGCAACAAGTTAGAGTTCTAGGAATAAAATATTTAAAATTTTAATTGTAAAATCTGATTCTATTGGAAAACAATATTAGAGAATATTTATTAGAACATTAAAGAGGTGGGACTGGAGAGATAGCACAGCCGGTAAGGCATTTGCCTTTCATGCGACTGACTCGGGTTCGATTCCCAGCATCCCATATAGTCCCCTGAGCACTGCCAGGAGTAACTCCTGAGTGCAGAGCCAGGAGTAATCCCTGTGCATCACCAGGTGTGACCCAAAAAGCAAAAACAAAACAAAACAAACAAAAAAAACATTAAAGAGTGGGGGCTGGAGCGATAGCACAGTGGGGAGGGCATTTGCCTTGCACGTGGCCAACCTGGGTTTGATCCCCGGCATCCCATACAGTCCCCCAAGCACCACCAGGAGTGATTCCTGAGTGCAGAGCCAGGAGTGACCCCTGAGCATTGCTGGGTGTGACCCAAAAAGCGAAAGCAAAAACACACAAACATTAAAGAGGGGTCTGGAGTGATAGTTTTGATAGGTAGACTGTTTACATTGCATACAGCTGGTTTGATCTCAGGCACTACATACAGTACCCTGGGCAATGCCAGGTGTGGTCCCAAAACAAAACAAACAGAAAAGACTTATCTGCTAGTGATTGTCAATCATTTGGTTGTATGTTACAAATGGTGAAGAACGTGGCTTTTCATTTTGTTCTGTTTAAAATAACTTGAACTATTAATCTTATTCCACTTTTTTTTTTTAGGAAGCCATTATACAAATAATGAAGATGAGAAAGAAAATCAGTAATGCTCAGCTTCAGACTGAACTAGTAGAAATTTTGAAAAACATGTTCTTGCCACAGAAGAAAATGATCAAAGAGCAAATAGAATGGCTAATAGAGCACAAGTACATCCGAAGGGACGAGTCGGATATCAACACTTTCATTTACATGGCGTAACTTTGAATATCACGGACAATACTCAGAACCAGATTGTAGAGTGCTTGGGCAGTGAGTTGTACCAGTCTGTGCTGGAGGAAGGTTCATTTGGACTTTGATTACATAAATATTCGAATCTCTGCCTTACCTGACAAAGCAATGGTCTTTTGCCACCCCATTAGTCGGCATGCTGGCGCTCCCTTCATGTTGCACTCTTTCACAGCATGCTGTTTTGTGGAGAAACTTGCGTTCATGAAGAGCCCATTAGGAACTTTGAAAAGTCGGTTTGATTTACACCCGCTAGAAGAAAGCCGGTTGGGAAGGTTGAGAGCGGGCAGAATTCTAGATGCGTTCGTTCTCTCTCTCTGTCTCTCCCCCCAACCCCACACGGAAATGTACTTGCACATGGACGGATCTTCGGATGTTTGTGCACTGAAAAATGCTGTTATGGTTTTTTTAAATGCAATTAAAGCTAGATGTAGCACTGTTGGTTTCTTTTGATCAAAAGAGTGGGCTTCTCTGCACAGCTCGGGGGAGGGCAGGCGTAGCGAGGACTGACAGGTGGAGGGTTCCTGCTCTGCCGTGTAATAATCTGGATTTGATGGGGACTTCGGAATGGTAGAACATTTTTCCAGCTACGAACATTGGCTTTCTTCAAGCAGGAGACTGCTGTTTTGATTGGTTGTTTTATGATAAAGATTTTTTTTATGTCTTACATGGCTAGAGAATTTGTTTTGAAAAAATGAAGCTTCTATTGTGGTTTCAGTTGTTGAAAAATAAGGTAAGGAAATATAGGTCATGCGATCACAGGGGCGTAATTGGAAAACCAGTATATGAAGTGTGTTTATTTACATACTTTATAGACCTAATATTTATCATACCATGTACATTTATTAAAGACATGGCAGATGTCCCCTGCTCTGATACGAGGCAATTGTACACGTGATCTCTTAATTTGCAGCATAAAAATATTTTGATATTTTAAAGTTTCATTATTAGGGATTTATCACCTGAGGTTTCTAAAAGGGAAGACATTCTGTTTTAAACGTGAAGTAACAAGCATTAGCCACCCAAGAGGAAGACAGAAATCCAACAGCGCAAGACATGAGTAACAGCTAGGGACATGCACAGCGGTAAAACACTTCCTTGCCTTGCATGTGTGAGGTCTGGGTTCGATTCCCAGCACCTCCCAGAAATTAAGGAGGGAGCAAAGACCGGAGGAACGGAAGCAAAATGGTTGCATTCTTGAGATGAGCAGTAAACTTGCCAAATATATGTACATATATATTTATATATTTTAGAAATTAACATTTTTAAAAGGTGTAGAAGGCAACATTTGTTCCTTTCAGTCAATCCAAAGTAGCAACTTATTTGTTGCTGACAACTGAAGGCCCAGAATAGTGGAGATTTTAGGATTTAAGAACCTGACTTAGAAAAACGTATTCCCCATTGGGAAAGACTGGCTCAGTGTGGATCGGTATTCATTATGGTGCATGTTTCAAATTTTCTTGCAAATTATTTTGTATCTTGTTTGATATTAAGTGATATTTTCAGTGTATGATTTCAAAGGTGGTAGGAAGTAAGAGCTGGAGTCTGACCACGCACAGTCTTACTAGCTGCGTGCTTCTGAAAGTGTTCCACGGAGCCTGCCCCACCCCAAGAGGTGAGCTGCCTGCTGAAAGGAGAGCAGATTGAAAACGTTTTAGATTGTGCTAGTTAGGGCCGGAGAGACAGTACAGCAGGGAGGGCACTTGCCTTGTACACGGCCAATTTCAGCTCAGTCTCCAGCATCCCATATGATCCCCGTGAATGATCCCTCCATGCAGAGGGAGTTACCCAGGAGTGGCCCCTGAGCACAATCCAGGAGTTACCCCTGAGCACTGCCAGGTGTGGCCCCCAGACAAATACAGACAAAAAGATTGCACCAGTTCTGCTCAAATAAATGCCTGTTCTGAAACTCGTAGGTAATTGAGATTTTGTTTCTGACTTACATCTTAGACATGAGCTCTAAGTATATGGTGATATTAGACCGAGCATATTGTGAAGTATTAAACTACAAGTAGTGCTGTACTCTTAATTAGATGACTGCTCACGAGATAGATTTGAAATTGAGAAAGTAAATTCTGTAATAATTATGGCCCTTATGGTTAGCAGTTTGGTATTGGTATATTTGCTTACGGAATGCAACAATGCCAAAGGAAGAAACCATAGCAGGAAAAATATAGGCCATTTTTTAAAGTTTAGATTACTTGCTTTAAACTGTACTTGCAGTTTTTTGCAATTTCTAATCTTTTTCATCCTTTAATTTAAGAATGAGAGCCATGATGTTTTGATTTATAAAGGCAAATTTAATGCACGTGGGTAACTAAATCCATAGCAAAGTTTTCTATTAAATTTTATAAAATTTTTAATAGCTAATTATGTCCTTACTCTATTTTGGAGAATTGAACAACAGCAAATACTGTAGACTTACTTAACGGTTTACTTCGTCATTTATGTTACGAATATAAGACCTATTCATTGGTGTTTCTGAAAACCATTTAGTTGTTAAGGTGCCTCTACCATTGACTTTTCTTTAAACCTCTTTTGACATTAGATTTGCAAATTTTAAAAGGAATCTGAAAAGCAGATTTACCAGCAGTTTGCTAAGGTACAGGATCAGTGTTCTTTTGTAGGTTCCTTTTCTCATAAAACAAGTGCTGAACAGGGATGAAATCTGACATACTTAAGAGGAAAAGAATCTAGGCTAAAAAATAGAGATGCATATTTTTCATACGTATTATGGCAATAAAGGTTAATTTAAGGTTAAGTCCGAGGTTAATTTCAATCTCAAATAGTCACCTTCTACCTTAAAGATGGAACCTTCTGGAAAACATCAACCTTTGTACCATCCTCACTGCCAGAGTAAGTACACACATCCACACAACTTAGAAGGTAAAAGTAACAAGTTCGAATGTTGTCACAATGAGACCAATAGTAGAACATTCACTGTTCAGTGATTTAATGAAGATCTTGAAGTGAATTCTGAAGTCTTCCAATTTTTACACTTATTGGAGGTGTCCCTGCAATCTGTCAGCCTGTTTAAGTTTCTTATTTTGTGCCTCAGTGTTCACGAATTTCCAAAAATGTAACGCTAGCTTTCTTATTTTTACTCTTTATTAAATTTAATACAAGATGTGACTGGAGTAGTTGAAAAGTTTTTTTTGCATTATTTGCAGTAGGGAGGGGGTCATTCACCCTCTGCAAAGGGCAGATTTTGAAAATTCAATTTGGGTGAAAGATTTGCTAGTTTTTGAGAAAGATTTGCTATCTTAAACTCAACCTGGTTTTTCTACTTTCATGTAAATGACTGGGATGCTACCTTATAAACTCTTCCAAGGTCATGTTTGTGAAATAAACATTACATGAGAGCTTTCCTGTCATCCATACCATATGTGTCGTCCGGGAGTGTTGAACAAATTGAGTTCCTAAATCGTAATCTCTTCGTCTGGTATAGACAATTTTGAATGTGTGCTACTACATACTGAGATGATGATGCTGTGTACAATTTTAATGGTAGCAGTTTCTGTATGCAGTAGGCTGAACTATTTTGATGAACTGCTTAATTTTTTGGATTTTATTTTTTAAGTTGTATAATTTATTTTCTTGCAAAATAAAAATGTGATATAAAAGCTTTCACTTATTCAGAAAGTGTTGATGTTCTAGTTCCTGGGTTTAATTAAAATTTTTGTAATAGACATTGTGAAATGGTAAATCTCAGCCAGCCTTGGGAATGAGAAGTAGGTAAAAAGAACTCCCTTGTTTTTAGTTTTCAGATTTTAGTTCCCAAAAGGAGACGAGCTTTCTTTCATCATCAGGACCTAGTTACAGGTTAGTGAATCTTTTGGGGGTTTTTTGGGTCACACCCGGTGACGCTCAGGGGTTACTCCTTACTCTGCAGTCAGGAATCACTCCTGGCAGTGCTTGGCTTTGGAGTGTGGGAGAAGCTGCCCCACTCTGTGATTGCCTGGGAGGTCCATGTGCTTGGACATGGACCATGCCCAAGAGATTTTTGCAGCTAGTTTTATATCTTTCGAAATTTATTTATGAATCTTTGGAACAGGGCAGGTAAAGGAGTTTAGACAGCGGTAGTTCCTTGAAATACCTTTTTTTCAGCCAATAATAATATGTGGGGCTGGAGCAATAGCACAGTGGGTAAGGCATTTGCCTTGCACACAGCCGACCCAGGTTCAATTCCCAGTAACCCCTGTGCATTTCTGGGTGTGATGCAAAAAGCAATAAAACCAAAAGAAAAAAATATATATATATGTTTTATATATGTAGTGGGTTTTTAAATTGAATCACCATGAAATGCACAGTTACAAGGTTGTTCATACAGTGTTTCAGTCATACAATGTTCTAGTACCCATCCCTTCACCAGTGTAAATTAATTTCCCATCAAGAACATCCCATTTCCCTCCTGACATCCTCCCCACCTGCCCTGCCCTCTCCTGTCTCTGATACCTCTCCCTCCCCCCACCCCCGATAGCACAGCAGGTAGGGCGTTCGCTTTACAAGCGGCCAACATGGCCGACCCAAGCTCGATTCCTCCGCCCCTCTCGGAGAGCCCGGCAAGCTACCGAGAGTATTCGATATGCCAGACACAGTAACAACAAAGTCTCCAATGGAGACGTTACTGGGCCCGCTCGAGCAAATCGACGATCAACGGGAGGGCCTTTACCTTCCCGGGAATTAATGGTTTGCAAAACATGTACATATATATATATATATTTTTAAACCTTTCAATACCCAGTTCTTATCCAGAGTGATTAATTCCATGAAACACACACACACACACACATATGTGTGTGTGTATATATATATATATGTATATAGGGGGGTCATACTTGGCTCAGGAATTACTCCTGGTGGTGCTCAGGGGACCATATGGGATGCTGGGAATCGAACCCAGGTCGGCTGCATGCAAGGCAAACGCCCTATCCACTGTGCTATCACTCCAGCCCTGAAATATATTTTTAAACCCAAATAATGTAAATCAAGGTAAAGGTAAAGGCCCTCCCGTTGATCATCGATTTGCTCGAGCGGGCCCAGTAACGTCTCCATTGGAGACTTTGTTGTTACTGTGTCTGGCATATCGAATACTCTCGGTAGCTTGCCGGGCTCTCCGAGAGGGGCGGAGGAATCGAACTCGGGTCGGCCATGTTGGCCACTTGTAAGGCGAACGCCCTACCGCTGTGCTATCGCTCCAGCCCTATGTAAATCAAAGAAACAACATTAATTTTTATAGAAAAAAATATTTTGGAGAAAATTTTAACATTCCCAGGTGCTCCCCCCTCCCCCCAAATAATCACCAGATCATTCACGTGACACAACACAGCCTAAAATAACAGTAAAGGCACAGATAATCAGCTGCACAGCTTGTCTAAAGCAGGGCCTAGGAGGGACTTGGGCCTAGCCACTCACTCCCAATGCCACCACTTTGCAGTTCTCTCAGTGAGGACTGCTGCTTCCTGTAGGCCAAAACAAAATGGAGCGAGGTGGAGATGGGATGTCCCTCAGCCTTCTGAAGGAGACCCAAGTCTGGACTGCCATTACCTTGGGGCTTGGAGAGATTTTTAATGTGCCTCCCCCCCACCCCCCAAACCTTTCTATCAATGTCCACAGAGAATAGATGGTGCTGGGGTGGGGGACTTGGTGCTTCCGGAGCAGAACATCCTTCCTGCAGGATTCTGGGCAGGGACCAGCTGAGCTCAGAGGGGGATCGAGCACAAACCAGCATCATTCCTATTAGCCCTGTGAGTTGGGACCATTGTGCCACACAAACAGGGTAGCTGGAAATCAGGTGGTTGCCTGAGAGGCAAATTGTATGAAATCTAGATATTGGTAGATGGAGAGTTAGAACCTTCTAGATAAGTGGTCTTCCATCGCTTGTGCTGGAAAATGTTGAAAGGTTGGAAACGGATGCAAGGGCAATGGTACACGCCATTGGCCTCGCGTGCAGGTAACTCAGGCTCAATCCATGGCACCCTGCACGGTCCTCCAAGCCCACAGGGGCTGATTCCTAAACATAGAGCCAGGAGTAATTCCCGAGCAGAGCTGGGGGTGGCCCAAGAACAAAGGTTGCAAACCACTGCCCTAGCTCCTCAGGGAGAGGCCAGGCCAGGCTTCTCTGCTAGCTCCTGGTGAAGCATGGAAATCCTCAGTGTTTGTTATCACTATGTTTCCATTTGGGAAGGAAGCTTTGGGGCCACATCCAGAGGTATTCAGGGTTACCCGCTGTGCTGTGATCAGAACATGGCCAACTGCATGCAGGGCACACGTCTTCACCTCTGCACCCTCCAGCCCTGAGTTTCCTGGTTAGAGGGTGTGTCAAGCATTTCATCTCGATGTCTGTGTCCTCTCTTGTAAGGACAGCAGTTAAGGTCCTCCCCAGCCCAGTATATCTCATCTGAATTGAACTTGATCTGCAAAAACATTTTCTAATAATGTCATACACAGGAACAGAGTTAAGGGACTTTTGGCAACATTGATCAGTCTGTGAAGAATCCCAAACATCCTTTTTGGGTCCCACTGTCTAAACAAACCAGGCCAAAATATGCAACCAAATTTGCATTTGCGCGTTTTTTTATTTTATTGTGGGTTTTTTTTTTTTTTTTTTTTGGTGGAGGATGTTCACACCGGCAATGCTATGTTATTCCTGGCTCTGCACTCAGGAATTATTCCTGGCAATTCCAGGGGACCATGTAGGGTGCTGGGGACTGATCCCGGGAGGGCGATGTGCAAGACAAGTATTGTACTATCACTCTGGCCCCTGCATCTGTGGTTTTACCCACATTTCCCCTGACCTTTTTCTTTTCCACTTTCCGAATTGTTATCTGCAGTGAAAATACTGTTCTAAAACGTTTGTTTATGGAAACCAGCCTGGGGCTACTAAAGACTAGGGGCCAGGAGTTTCCTTTCCAAAGTGCTATTATTACTTTTAGCCACTCGATGGAGCTATTGACTTGCCACTCTCTTAAGAAATGTTGTGAGCAGGAGGGGTTGGGGGTGGGGGGTGGGGTGAATGAGCCTGCAGGTCATTTGGTACCCTTGAGGCAAGTGCATCAGCAGCCTGATGGTGCCTTCAGGCTTCCTGATACCCCCAAATCACCATCGTGCCTCTGGCCGGACCCCAACAACTCGGGACCAAGTTTCCTGAGGAATTAAACCGTCGATAGTTTGATAGATATGTGGGAGTCATGCCCACACACCACCTCTTAACTCAGCCGTACAAGCTCATTTATCAGCCTTGCTTCAGAGACCCATTAATAAATCTCGAAAGAAATCAAAACCCGTGGTTAATCTCAGACCCACAGGAGGCTGAACAGACTGGGATAAATTGGAGTTGGGGGTGGGGAGGGGGTAGGGAGGGCAGGTCAGCCTGGTGCCCGCCCAAGCAGAGCCCCTGGCAGTCACTTGCTTCCACAATCCAAAATTGCCTCCATGTTTTTGGCCAGACTGCTGAAAATGCAGGTATGCGGGTTTGTGACTGAAATCTCCAGGCTGTCTTGGGGTCCGGATGGACTACCTCCCCACACCTTTCTGCTTCTGGAGTCCTCAGCCGTCACATCCATACCCCAAAGCTGATACCAGGTTTTTAAACCTCCAGCCTTACCTTCCCGATAAAAATCCTGAATGCTTGGGGCTGGAGCAATAGCACAGCAGGTAGGGCGTTTGCCTTGCACGCGGCCAACCTGGGTTCGATTCCCAGCATCCCATATGGTCCCGTGAGCACCGCCAGGGATAATTCTTGAGTGCAGAGCTAGGAGTAACCCCTGTGCATTGCCAGGTGTGACCCAAAAAGCCAAAAAAAAAAATCCTGAATGCCCTGAACAAACATGACCTCTTAGTACTTGTAGTGCATAAAAGGAAAAGGAGAGAGAAAGAGAAAGAATAAAAGTGCCTGCCATAGAGGCAGGCTGGGGGTGGGGTGTTGGGGGATGGTGGAGGGAAACGGGGAGCATTGGTGTGGAAAATGTACGCTGGTGGAGGGATGAGTGTTGGATCATTGTATGACAGAAACCCAACCATGGGCAGCTTTGTAATGGTCTACTTCATTGATATTCAATAAAATAAATTTTTTTTAAAAAGTAATGAGTTCATGCCTTCGCCTCTCTCCGAGAGCCTGGCAAACTACCGAGAGTATTGCCCACACGGCAAAGCCTGGCAAGCTCCCCGTGGTGTATTCGATATGCCAAACACAGTAACAATTGTCACAATGGAGACGTTACTGGGCCCGCTCGAGCAAATCGATGAAGAATGGGAGGACAGTGACAGTGAGTTCATACCTGCTTCAGTCAGCTTAATCAGTGGCTGTATGTATAGCTGTACATTAAAAAAAAAGTGGTTGATTTTTTTTTTTTTTTTGGCTCTTTGGGTCACACCCGGTGATGCACAGGGGTTACTCCTGGCTTTGCACTTAGGAACTACTCCTGGCAGTGCTCGGGGGACCATATAGGATGCTGGGGATCGAACCCGGGTCCGCCACATACAAGGCAAATACCCTACCCTCTGTACTATCACTCCACCCCCCAAATGTGGTTGATCTGATATCTCAGACACACTCCCTCCCCTCCCCACCAGGGCCTTTTCACCTTTTCTAGCTGCGTTTCAGCTGGGACATCCCTCATGTCAGGGTACCAGGCATAGTCTCTCTCTGGATTGGAGGGACGGTGTAGGAACCCCTACCTCTGGCGGAAGAAGAAAGTAAGCATCAGTGTCTTTGAAAGAAGAGTGTAGGGCTCTGATGACTCTTACATAGCAGAGCAGTTGTGGCCAACATTAGCCCTTACGGCTGCCCCAAAGCCAGCACAGCAATGGTGAGGGGATGATGTGGGTTTGCCCTGGGGTAAGTTGAGGGGGGGCGGGGTAGGTGCTTACGTCCAGTCCAGTAGTTTTCAGGGCCTCTGTTCAGGGATTGCTCCAGGAGGCCCTGTGTGACCATATTTGGTGCTAGAGATTGAACCAGGATTTGCTCCCTACAAGGCAAATTCTTAACCCCATAGCTCTAGCTCTTTTTCTAATGTAGTGACAAGGTTACTGCAGTGTTAATGTAGTTCTGATGTACAAAGGCACTGCACTGTCACCACCACCAATGTCCAGGACCGTTGAACATTGTCTTCCTGTCACTTCTGGCCCAGCTCTTCTTTTCTCTCTCTCTCCTCTTCCCCCCACCTCTTATAATCTGTTTTGTAATCCAAGGCTCAAGGATTTGTTATCATTTGACATTGTCTCTTTCCTTATTTTGTTTCAGATCAGGGAGATCAGACCTGCCCTTTGTTCTCCCTCTGACTTAGTTTAACATGATGCCCTTCAGTTCCATCAATGTTGTAAGATTTGTAAGAAACGTAAGGTTTCATCTGCATTGTATTTCAGTGTTACCCACCTCTGTTTGGACATTTGTGTGTTTTTAGTATCCTGGCTGTAGTTAGTGAACATAGGTTTTCATACATCTTTTCAAGTCAATGTTTTGTAGGCTTGTAGATACCAAGAAGTGGAATCACTGGATCATATGGAAGCTCTGCTCTTAGGGTTTTTTGGTTTTTGTTTTTGCATTTTTTGGGGTCGCATCCGGCAATACACAGGAGTTACTCCTGGTTCATACACTCAGGAATCACTCCTGGCGGTGCTCAGGGGACTATATGGGATGATGGGAATCGAACCTGGGCCGGCTGTGTGCAAGGCAAACGCCCTACCTGCTGTGCTATTGCTCCAGCCCCCCTGCTCTTAGTTTTTTGACAGATTGCCATCTTGTTTTTCATAGAGGCTAAATCAAACAACATTCTCAACAGCAGTGAAAGTGGGTTCCTTTCTCACTACACTGCTGCTGGCACAAATCTTCCAGTCTTTTTGATAAATGCCATTCTCACTGGTGCCACTCTTTTTTTCTTCCACATGACAATCAACATAAAATGCTGTAGCAAAGTCATTTGTTTCCAGCTGAAGATCCACAGTTCCCAAAGGGTTCTTAAAATGTGAAAAGAGTCAAATAACATACAGAGGGCCAGAGTGATGGTACAGTGGGTAGAACACTTGCTTTGCATGGGACTGACATGAGTTTGATCCCAGGTACTGCGTATGGTCCCCTGAGTCCTGTCAGGGGAAGCCCTAGGCACAGTCAGGTGGAGCCCAAAAACCAGAAAAAAACTATATAAAACAAACCTGTAGGTTTTTGGAGAAAGAGTACAGGAAAGAAATTCAATTTAGGATCACTTCAGGGCAGATATGGACAAAATGTTTTTGTACTTATTTAAGGGTGGAGTGGAATAATATAATTTACGGTTTGGCTAAGGTTAATAGAATGCATTTAAATTGGTAAAGATAGCTATTAATGTGATCCTATCTTCTTCCTTATTGCAAGACTATCTCAAACTGCAAAATTGCAAAATTATCTCAAACTAAAGCTAACAGAACTGCTTTAAAATATTTCTATAGGAAAGGGTCGCAGAGATAGTACCGCCGTGGGTAGGGTGTTTGCCTTGCACTCAGTGCTCTGGGTTCGATCTCCTGCACCCCATATAGTGGTCCCAGAGTCCTGCCAGGAGTGATCCTTGATCACAGAGTCAGGAGTAAGTCCTGAGTACCGCAAGTTTTGGCCCCCCCCCCCAACTAGATTTTTAAAAAAATAGGTACAGACAGGGTAGATCATTTAAAAGGGTTGGCATGCACGGTTTGCATTCCAGAGGTCTCTGGGCTATGGTTCCCAGCACCTCCTGATCCCTTGAGCTCTGGCTGGGAGCAGCCCCTGGACATTGCGCGATGTGCCTCCTCCCCTACATATATATTTATATATATTCTTTGGGGAGGAGTTTTCGTTTCCTGCTTTACGGTTGGCGAGAGAAGCAAGCTCAGAGAGGGGAAACAAGGCTCAAGGTTACGGTTACGCCTAACCCACGACCTCGAAGGTCGGGGACGTTGGAAACCTGAACTTCTGGCGTGTCAGGTGCCTGTTGGCTCCCGTGCCAGCGCCCCAAGACTTGTCAGAAGTTTGCCAACCTTGTCCCGGGCCCCGACCGCTGGCTCGGGCGTCCGGGTGTCAAGCCTCCGCCCCGCCTCCCTGGCCGCGGGCCAATAGCCGCGGGCCGCCGAGCTCCGGGCCTGCCATTGGAGGAGGCGGGAAGCGCAGGCCTCCGCCCCTCGGCCCCGGGCCAATGGCAGCGCGTCCCGCCGCCCGCGCGGCCATTGGCGGAGGCGCGCGGGGGCGGGGCCGGGCGCGGGGCGGGCGGCTGCGCGGGCGCTGCGCACTCGGGCCGCTCTCCGCCCTTGAAGCCCCCGCTCGGCGCCCCGGGACCATGGCGGTGCCCGCGGCCCTCCTGCGCGGCGGCGCCCGTGGGCGCGGTGCCCTGCTTCGGAGACTGATGCAGGTGAGGAGCGCGGGACCCGGCCACCGCGGGACTCGGCGCCGCAGGGCGCCCCGCGCGTCCACCCCACGGGGCGCGCCCCAGGCCCTGCGCGTCCGCCGCGATCGGGATGGGGCTGGGCCGGGCCGCGCTCCTGGGGGGCCCTGGACCCCCTGGGGGGGCAGCCGCGAGGCTCCGGACTTCTCCCGGGGGGCCGCTGGGAGGCCCTGGACCTGTCCCGGGCAACCCAGAGGTCCCGGTCCGCTCCCGGGGCCGCTGGGAGGCCCCGGTCCTCTCCCGGGACAGCTGGATGGCCCTGGACCTCCCCGGGGCAGCCGCGAGACCCCGGACTTCTCCCCGGACAGCTGGGAGGCCCTGGACTTCTCCCGGGGCTGTTGGGGAGCCCTGGATCTCTCCCGGGCAACCGCGAGGCCCCGGGCCTCTCTCACGGGACACGTGGGAGGCTCCGGACTTGTTCCGGGGCAGCCCGGAGGTCCTGGACTCCCCCCCTGGTCAGCTGCGAGACCCCGGTTCCGTCTCCGGGCAGCCTCTTGAGAAGAGCGTTTGCCCATCTCGTTTGTTTCCGCGGGTAAACTTGGGATTCGAGGCGCCTTGCAAAGACCCGGTGCCCCTCCCCTGGAGTGATTTGAACCATCCCCACCGTCTGTCTCGCCGCTCTCGCCCTGGGATACTTAGTTGCCACCTGAAAGATACTTGATAGGGTCCAGCGTCCCCTTTCCCGGCTTCCGGAGGCGAGTTTTCCCCTTCTGGTTTGAGCTGATTTGAGGGGTGGGTGGGGCACAGGAGCCTTTGAGGGGCGAAAGTGCATTTCCATGTGTCAGAGTAAGGAAGCCTGCTGAGCCCACTCGGAGCCGGGCAGAACCCAAGAGAAAGTGGGTGGGTGGGTGGAGGGGCCCACGGAGCCGGGAATGCGAGCCCAAGGCCCGCTTCAACTTCTGCTGCCACCTGGCCCCCATCCAGCGGCCAGGTGTGGCCAGGGGCCTGCGTCATCTGTGGGCCTTTTACACCTGCTGGCCGCCAGAGTGGCCCTCTGAGCCAGTGGGAACCCGGACAGCAAAGCAAGTGGAGGTTCTCAGCCCTGCACAACGTTGTAGCCCCGAGCTGGAGCACTTGAAGAAAGAGAGAAAAAAAAAAGTACAAAGTCGGTGGAGAACTCAGCAGTGTGGTAGACGTGCCTGGACTTTCCAGTCTGGCCAATCAACTCGGCCTTCCAGTGTGGTGGGAAGTCCAGTTGTATGGAGCTCCTTGGATTTCGGGGTTTTGTCTTGGAGGCCTGAAGTGTGCAGCGAACTGCTGTCCACGGGTGCTGAAAATGGAGGCGGAAGGAGCATCCCAGCAAGAAACAGGGTGTCTGTCCAGTAGGAAGTGATGACAGCCCAGAGCTCATGTTGGGTGGTCGAGAAAATGGAAAATCAGGAGTAGGTTTAGGAAAGGTGGGGCTCCCCAGGGGCATGTGCTGCTGGGGTTTGAACCCCCATGGGCATAGAAAGCTTGAGCCTCTGACCCTCCTGCCATCTGCCCTGCCTTCAGCCATGTTTCCTGGTTGTTTTTTTTTTTTGGGGGGGGTGGGGGGGTCTTTGGGGCTATACCTAGCTCTGGGATTGGCTGTAGGGAAGAGCTTGAAGCCCTGACTCTTCCCCCCCCCCCAGTTCTCCATTGTTTAGTTTTGTTTGCTTTTTTGGGGGGTCACACCCAGCAATGCACAGGGGTTACTCCTGGCTTTACACTCAGGAATTACTCCTGGCAGTGCTTGCGGGATCATATGGGATGCTGGTAATCCAACCCCGGGTTGGCCGTGTGCAAGGCAAACACACTACCCGCTGTGCTATCACCCCAGCCCTCATTTTTGTTTTCTTAGGTTATTTTCGGTTTCCAGTAGGTCAATATTGACCTTTCTGTTTTCTTGCTTGGATCCCAAATTATTGTCTCTTTAAATATTCAGACTTTAAAAAAAAAAGTGCTGGGCAGAGCAACCACATCTTGGCTGTCGCCCAGTTCTCTGTATTGTGGAAGGCAGAACGTGTCGGTGCCCTGGACCCAGCTCCTAATCTGCTGCAGTGGGTGTCAGCTGGAGACCCCCTTCCCCCCACCCTCCCGTCCAACTGCCGCTCATGTGTGCTGGTGCCCTTTGGTTCATTCTGCAGGGTGGCCCTGAGCCCTGGCTCTGGTGACCCCACTGGCTGCGTCCGTCTGTCCCCGTGCCTGGTGTGCTGGTACTGTCCATGCCAAATGCACCTCACCTCCAGGTGCGCCCTGGGTGCTGGATTCCCTGTGCCCCCTCTGTCTGTCCCTGCTAGAAGGGGCTTGGTGGGCCTCGTTGAGCCACATGGCCCTGGCTCGGTTTCCGCTCCTCTCGATGCCTTTGATCCTGTGGGTGTGTGGCCTGCGGCGCTGTGGCCTTGAGCCAGCAGGACACACTGGGCTCAGCTGGAGGCTGTGGACCGCGTGCCTGGGGGTGAGACGGCTCTGCCTGTGGGAGCCCTGGCCTGGCCCCGGGCCCCAGTAGAAAGTAGGATGGTGGGGGGCTTAGGGGGCTGACCTGCCGTGGGGTCAGGGCTCTCACTAGGGAAGACACCGGGAGAGGGTGCTGGTTGGGGTCCTGGCTTGCGCTTGGAGTTGTGGCTGCAGGCAGGGGCTCAGCTCCGGGTGCTCACCCAGCCAGCAGGGGAGAGGGGGGGATGCCAGGCCAGAGTGGGGAGGCAGCTGCGTGGGGCGGGTGACCTCCGAGAGGCGGGGGGGTCCTCTGTGGGATGCAGCATGCCCCAGAGAGGCTGGAGAATGGCCTGGGCCTAGCTAAGATGCACGTGGGGCCAGTTCATCAGCTCCCGGCACCGAGGCCTGACTGGGCGGGACGGGGCGAGACTGGCCGGGGCAGGACTCTGGGGCCCTTCCTGGCCTCTCAGGCCTTTGGCGAGTGCTCTGGTTTTTGGGGCTGCTGCAGTTGCCCCTTGCTTGAGGTGCTCCTGGCTTCCCGGGAAGGGATGTGGCTTGTGCGGAGGGGGTCAGGGGGGTCCACTTGCTGACCTCAGGGTAACTGCCTCTGGGAAGCCCCACTCAGAAATAAAGTTACTGAAAGGTCCCCGGGGTGAAGACTTGCTTTGGGGGAGACATACCTCGGCCCATAATGGTGCACTCAGCAATGAAAAACTTCAGTTTAGTAAGAGGGGACAGGACTGAGAGTCCAATGGGCAGGGCACCTGCCTCACGTGTGGCTGATCTGGGTTCAGTCACCAGCACCCCATTTGGTACCCCAGGACTACCTGATGAAGCCCAAATAATGTCCTCCCCACACTAAACAAACAGACAAAAAAAAGCTTGTGTTTGTTTCTGTTTGTTTCTGAGTCATACTTAGCAGCACCTCGGGCTACTCCAGAGCTGGACTCAGGGGACAGTCTTGTCCCAGCCAGGTACACTTTGCACCTCCCAGAGTCTCACTGAGGCCTTGAGGAGTGAAGCGTCAGGGTCAGCAAATATCTGGGAAGAGGCAGAAACTTTGCAAAGAGTCCGGGCACATTTGTTTATTTGTTTGTTTGTTTGTGGGCTGTACCCAGGTCATTGTGCTCAGAGCTTACTCCTGGCCTGGGATCATTCCTGGCAGGACTCAGGGGACCATATCGGGTGACAAGACCAAGCCCCCTGCACTGTCACTCTGGCCACATGGGTGGGGGGCTCCCAGGTGGTTCTCACACAGCCTGGGACCTGTTCCAGGGGCCAGAGTGGTTCCGAGCCAGAGGGAGGGTGCGATGCTGGGGACTGTGGAGACTCACTTTTTTGTGCCGTTCGGGGGACCACACGTGGCATCAGGGACTGATCTGGGTTGGCATGTGCAAGGCAAGTGCCTTAGCTCCTACCTATACTATGTCCCCGGCCCCAGGAGTGGCCCTGTTGGGAGTGGCAAAGCCTCGAGTGGCCTGTTGGCCCTGTGCTTCCTTCTCTGGCAGCTCCCCGGGTCTCCTGCTTCCACTCCGCTTTTTATATTTAGCGTCAGCCACTCTGTCCCGGCCCACAAGTCCTCCCCCTGGTTCCCGAGTGCTCTTTCCTGGCCTCCACCCCAGGCTGATGCTTCCTGGCCTGACCAGCTGCCTCTCTGCACATCCGCACTATTTTGCTCACTTCCCGGTGTGTTTACTCTCCCTGAAAGGTGTCCACGGTTTCATGGACAAATATTTGTTCAGTGTCTCCTGCCGCCACAGGATGGTAAGCAAATACTGCCCGTCTCTTCTTGGAACCTCCAGTGTGGCGAGCACCTGGACCACTGAAGGTTGCACCATGCTGGGCTTCCCCCCAACTGCCCGGGGCCTGGCTCGTTGCCTTCCTGTGCTCACAACCCCCTCCCTGCAGTGGCCAGTGTGTGGGGGTTGTCCCAAGCCTCCCCTCCCTCCCGGAGCTCATGGAGGGTCGGGGGGGCACCTTGCCAGCTGATTGCCCTTCTCCGCCCAGGGATGACTCAAAGGCCAGAGTTTGCTTTGCATGAGGGAGCCCTAGTGTGGTCCCTGGCACCAGGGGGATAATTGAGCACCAAGCCGGGAGTAGCCCCCAAGCGTCGTTGGGTATGCCCCTCTGCCCTCAAATACACACCTCCCTGTTTCTGTGGGTGATGGGGTTTGCGGGAACTGGGCTTGCTGGTGTAAGAGGCCGACCTTAAGCAGGGTGTGCTGGGGGTCCTCCTGGTGGCTCACAGGAGCTGAGGTCCTGGGCTGGCGGTGGCCCCTGGAGGCCCTGGCAGCTAAGGGGGAGTCTGGCTGCACCTCCAAGGGACGGCCACATTGAGCTGTGTGTGCCGTCAGGCCACCCCCGCGCCCTTGCTGGGGGCTGCAGGATGTTGAGGAAGCAAGTAGCATGTGGCAGGGCAGGGCAGGGCTGGGCCTGGCTGGTTGTGAAGCCTGGTGGTCTGTGCCTCTGGGCTGCTCCAGCCTTTCTGCCCTGCAAGCCGGCCCGGCGCCATGGGCCTGAGCCCTTGCTGTGTCGTTCCATATGGGGGGAGACTGCTGCTGGGAGTGGGCAGTGAAAATCCTGGTTTGGATGGTGGGTGGAGGTGGCCACGCTGGCCAGCTGGAATCTCAGGGAGTGGCCACGGGCCCCCTGAGCACTGCTGGGAACCCCCCAGCCCAGCCCTATCGAGGGAAGTCGTGACTTGGCTGTGGGGCTGGAGGCCCGTTCGGAGGCTGAGCTGGGCGGAGACGCGGACTCAGCATTGGGGCCATGGGGCCCACCCACAGGGCAGCCTAAGGGACAGTGACAGCTGTGATTGGCCACTGGTCCCTGAGAGTGTGGAACTGAGCTCGAGCTTGCGGGTGGTCCAGCCTGGAGGGAGGAAGGGAACCCCTAGTTCCCTGTGAGGAGGGGCCCCCTACGGTGCTTTCCCGAGGCCTCACCTTGTTCTCACACTAGCCCACCAAGAGGGGGGAACTGACGGGTCACTTGGGAGCAGCCCCTGGGGGACCCAGGCACTTGGCCCCACCTGAGTTCCCCGGGCGCCAGACCATGCAGGCCACGCTAGAGGTGTGGGGGGGGGAATGGGCTCCCCCTCCCCTCCCTTGTACAGGTCACCTTGCTCAGCACCATGGTGCCAAGAGAAAGGAGGATCTGTGAGGGAGGCCAGATCCCCCCCCCCCCCCCAGGACAGGAAAGCAGCGTGCTGTCCTCGGGGGTCCCCGTGGGAGCCCCAGCCCACTCTCCCCTCATTTCTCTGAGTCGTGTCCTGGCGCCCACTTCTGCTGCCTCGCGTTCTTGCCAGGCACTCCACTTTCTTGGCACAGGTTATGCACCCTCATGCCCTTGCAGTTAGGCGCCCGCCCGTGTCCTGTTGCCTGGCCTCTTGAGGGCGCCGGCTTGGCCCAGGTCCATTATCTTCCTGGCCTGCAGCTTGGCCACTGGGAGGAGGGGAGGCGCCTGGGAGCGTCTGGGCTGCCCCGCTGAGTGGCTCTGAGAAGCACCGCCCCTGCCCCTGTTCCCGGCGCACAGGTCCCTGCAGGGCTGATGCCAGCGTCACCCGCGCCAGGCCTGTGGCGGCAAATGTCCACTGGGTGCTGGGGAGTAAAGCCAAGCCTTGCTGGACTGGCGGCTTCCAAGGGGCTGAACGGGAAGACAGAGCCCCTCAGGGTTGGTGCGAGCCAGCGGAGGGAGACGCGATCGTATCCATCGCAGCGTGTGAAGCTGAACCGGGCGTTGTCGGGCATTCCAGTGGAACTCCCGATTTGCTCCACGTCTTGTAACTTTCTCTCGAACCCTTCAGATGGCTTGAGGGTTGAGGGGGAGAGTCTGGGTCATACCTGGCAGTGCTCAGGGATCAAAGGTGATTTTGATATGGTCCTTTTTTGGGGGGGTGGAGGTAGGGGAGCCAGGGGTTACTCACTTTTTTTGAAGTTTTTATTATTATTATTATTTAAAAAATTTATTTTCATAAGGTTGCTTACATTGATTATATTCAATAGTTTAACACCATCCATTACACCTTCCTACCACCATTATTTCGAATTTTCCCACTGCCATTCAAGCCTGCCTGCCAGGGGCAGATGCGAGGTAATTTACTATTGCCTATCACGAGAGGTCATGCGGCCGCTCACTTATGGATTCTAACATCGTAAATGGTTGGGGTCCAGAGACATCTCTGTAGGGTGCTACTCCATTTTGAGATTCATTTGGGAGTCTCGGGATCAAGGCCACTGATGCGCTGAGATGGCGCCTGGAGGCTGATTGTGGGTGTGACAGCCGGAACTGCAAGCAGGTGGGGAGACGGGAAGGGCCAGCCCATCTCCTCTGCCACCACTCAGGGGTTGCTCTTGGCTCTGCACTCAGAAATTACTCCTAGTGATGCTGGGGGGACCACATGGGATGCCGGAGATTGAACTCAACCCTGGGCAAGACTGGTACCCTCCCCGCTGTAGTGAGGGTGCTGGCACTCCACTATTGACTGGCTGTTTGATTGCCAAGGCAGTGTTACCACGGGGTTATCTGTCTTGGTAGTAGAGTGATTTCAAAACAGTCACCATAGTCTGCATCTTTGGTTTGTCCTTGCTGGTAAATCTTTCTTGCAAGAGAAATTCTCTGGGGGCCAAAGCAATAGAATAGTGGGTAGGGCATTTGCCTTGCACGTGGCCAATCCAGGTTCTATCTCCAGCATCCCATATGGTCCCCTGAGCACTGCCAGGAGTAATTCCTGAGCATTGCTGAGTGTGACCCAAAAAGCCAAAAAAAAAAATTATCCGGCTATTTCGGCCATATTTATAATGTTAGCTTGAAATAAACCAGTCTAAGGATTTAGCATTGTCCCAGGAGAGAGTGATTATGGTAGAAGCCTGGCATGCACCTGACCTGGGTTCCATTGCCAGCATCAAGTGGTCCGAAGTGTTGGTGGGTTCAGCTGTGTGCTTTGATCCCCAGGACCCCTGGCACTCCAGGGCTGGCAGCACTGAGCCGCTGGCCCAGTTGGCTGAGAATTGCCATCGGGAGCCTTGGACTCTGGAGCACCACGTGGGAGAAACCCCTGCCCCAAAGTTTAATCTAAAAACTTTCTAGGTGCTGGACTCAGGGTACAGCAGGAGGGCACTTGCCTTGCATGCGTCTGGCCTGGGCTCAATCTCCAGCACCTTGCATGGTCCCCTCACCAGGAGTGATTCCTGAGCACAGCCAGGAGAGTGTGGCGCCAAAGAAAACAAAATTTTCTCTAAGCAATAAGGGTATTTTTTTTACCTTGTAAGGCCACAATTCAATCTTGAAGACAGTGAACGTGGGCCCGAGCGAGCGTGGCGTGTGGGAGCGTTGCCTGCAGAGGGCCCGAGGCCTGGTGCTTAGTCACATGTGCCTCTGCTGTCAGGAGAGGCCCTGAGCACTGTGGGCGTGCGCGAGAGGATTTTCTGGGAATTAAACCCGGGACCTAGGAGGCATGTACTCTTGTCGCTGAGCTGCATCCGCCCTGAAACATACATTTCCTCTTTTTTTGGTTTTTGGGGTCACACCCTGTGATGTTCAGGGGTTACTTCCTGCCTCTGCACTCAGAAATTGCTCCTGGTGGCGCATGGGGGACCATATGGGATGCTGGGGATCGAACCCGGGTCAGCTGCATGTAAGGCAAATGCCCTACCGCGGTACTATCTCAGTTGAACTATCTGCCGGGGTTCCAACCTGGGTTGGCTGTGAGCGAGGCTAACACCAACTGTAACTATCTCTCCAGCCCTTCTTTTGTTATTGGGGGAGGGGGGCGGGCACACTCGGATAGCGCTCAGGGGTTACTTTACTCCTGGCTCTGCACACAGGCATTCCAGGACTGAACCTGGATTAGCCATGTCCAAGGCACGTGTCCTACCCACCATACTCCCCAGCCCCAGAATATCCATTTCTACAGTTAATCAGAGCTTGCGCACCACTGGCTGTGGTCCTGTCACTGCTGGGCCGAGCACTGAGCCAACCTGCCTGGATGGGCAGGTATCAGGTGCGGCCCCCCGCACTGCTCAGGAGACCCTGCCCCAAAGAGAACAGGGGGCAGGGCTGCTGCCTGGTGATAATGCACCGGACTCGCACACGTGAGGCTCTGGGTTCATCCCTGGCACCACCCGCAAAAGAAAGCGAATTACCACCGAAACTCGCTTGCTGTGCTTTGATTTCTGTGCTGGAGCCGGCAGGTTCAGGGCACATGGTGTCAGAGAAGGAAGGCCTGTCTGCACATGTGCTTGGGGGCTTCTCCCTGGCCCCATACGTAATATATGTTATGGAAAACTTGGAAATGGAAATATTAACTAGCAGGGAAAAAAATCATTACTCTACCAGGAAGTATTAAGATGGTATCAGCAATTTTTTACATTCTAACAATATATGTTTCTCTTACAGGAAATAAGACATGTAGAGCGAAGTTATGTTTCAAAACCCACTTTGAATGTAAGTATAAATTGTGCTTTATAGGTTGTATTTGTGTGGGTCCCTTCAGGATTAGGAATAGCTGGTTGTACACAGCCAACAGGGTTTGATCCCTGGCATGCCATATGGTCCCCTGAGCCCCGCCAGGCGTGATTCCTGACTGCAGCCAGGAGTGCCCCTCCCCCCCCCCCAAACAAAAGGAGTCTCTTCCTTGGCCTGATTCCTGCTTCTTTCCCAGAATCCAGTGCTAAAATGACCTAATCTCTAGATCAGTTTCTTAACTCTGCAGGGGGCTGGCTGGAGCCGGGCTGGGGCCTGGACAGGAAGGAGTGTTAGGTGATTGCCGAATGCTGAGTGGGCCTCACGGCTTTAATAGGTCACGTGAGAGGACTTCACGGTAGAGCCCAGAGCCCGGGGGAATGCTGCTTCCCCCAGCATAGCAGAATGGGAACAAGGGCAGCCCTTGCCACTCTAGGTGCCCCTGACGCCGGAGGAGCTGATTGCAGCTCTGCCGTGGCCCCTCCACACGCACAGGGCCCCGGGTGAGCTCTTGCGAAGTTCTCATGAGTAAAAGTATCAACCATTTCTTTTTCTTTGCTTTTTGGGTCACACCTGGCGATGCACAGGGGTTACTCCTGGCGCCGTACTCAGGAACCCTGGTGGTGCTCGGGGGACCATATGGGATGCTGGGAATCGAACCCGGGTTCAATTCCCGGCAAATGCCCTATCCGCTGTGCTATTGCTCCCAGCCCCAACAACCATTTCTTAAATTTCAAATTGATTCCTTAGATCAAAATTTCCATTTCAAACCTCCTTTATTTTATTTATTTTTTGGTTTTTGGGTCACACCTGGCATTGCACAGGGGTTACTCCTGGCTTTGCATTCAGAAATTACTCCTGCAGTGCTCAGGAGACCATATGGGATGCTGAGAATCGAACCTGGCTTGGCCGCGTGCAAGGCACATGCCCTACCGGCTGTGCTATTGCTCCAGCCCTCAAAGCTCCTTTAGAGAACCAGGAAAGATTCAGGCATGTTTTTCCTAGAGTAGTCATTCTTCACTCATTACGCACCAAGTTTGAGTGGGTTCATTTCCCGTCCTAAGATTATTTTCATCTTCGATGTATAAAGCTATTTGTACAAATCTTCCTTAGTCAACATAGCCACGAGTTAACTTTTATTGAATGAAAGAAGATTTTGAGTAAATTCTTCAACCTCATTGTTTTGCCACCCTCCGCCGTGACAGGAAGTGGTCATAGTAAGTGCCACCAGGACCCCCATCGGCTCCTTCCTAGGCAGCCTCGCCTCTGTGCCAGCCACCAAGCTGGGCTCCATCGCGGTGAAGGCGGCCATTGAAAAGGCAGGTGAGTAGGGCAGTGGCTCAGGGGACCAGCGCTTCTTTGGGACTTCGGCCGACGTGCTGTGTAGCATGTAGCTAATTGGGTAACCAATAATCTGTAGCACTGTAGCACTGTCCTCCCATTGTTCATCGATTTGCTCAAGCGGGCCCAGTAACGTCTCCATCATGAAACTTGTTGTTACTGTGTTTGGCATATCGAGTACGTCACGGGTAGCTTGTCAGGCTTTGCCGTGTGGGCAAGATACTCTTGGTAGCTTGCCGGGCTCTCCGAGAGGGGCGGAGGAATCGAACTCGGGTCGGTCACATGGGCCACGTGCAAGGCAAACGCCCTACCGCTGTGCTATCGCTCCAGCCCTCATGACAGTGAATAAAAATGTCTTCTCGCTTTCTTCAAAATAGGGATTCCAAAGGAGGAGGTTAAGGAGGCCTACATGGGGAATGTCATACAAGGAGGCGAAGGCCAGGCCCCCACCCGGCAAGCCGTGCTGGGAGCAGGTACACATTCCAGACTGACGTAGGGGTGGAGGGGCATGGAGGGGCACTGGGATTCACCCCAGCCTGCAGGGGGGTGGCTGAAAAAGGGGAAAAGTCGACATGGTCGCTGGAGGCCGCTTTCGCTTAAAGACAATGTTAAGGGGCTTCAGCAATGGCACAACAGGTAGGGCGTTTGCCTTGCATGAGGCCGACCCCGGTTCGATCCCCAGCATCCCATATGGTCCCCTGAGCACCGCCAGGAGTAATTCCTGAGTGCAGAGCCAGGAGCAACCCCTGTGCATTGCCGGGTGTGACCGGCAAAAAACAAAAAAACAAAACAAAACAAAAAATGACAATGTTAAGAGTCTGGGCATAGCTCAGTGGCAAAGTGCATAAGACTTAGGTCTAACCTACGCTAGACCCTGGCACTGCCCACCTCCCACCTCAATTAAATCTCTACTTAGCATTCATGGGTCCTTATTGGCTGAAAAAAAAATTTTTTTTCCTTTTGGGTCACACCCAGCGATGCTCAGGGGTTACTCCTGGCTCTGCACTCAGGAATTACTCCTCACTGTGCTAGGGGACCGTATGGGATGCTGGGGATCGAACCGGGGTCGGCCTCATGCAAGACAAACGCCCTACCTGCTGTGCTTTCGCTCCAGCCCCTGAAAAAAAATTTTGAACACTTGTTTGATGAACTATTCATTTTCGGTTGTCTCTAAAAGTTAGTGCATTTGTTTTTAAAGTCTGCCCAATTTCTGTTGGTTTTAGGTTTGCCCATTTCTACTCCTTGCACAACCATCAATAAAGTCTGTGCCTCTGGGATGAAGGCCATTATGATGGCCTCTCAGAATCTCATGTGTGGGCATCAGGTGAGTGATTGGTCCCTTTCCAGGGGTTAAAATACCCAGCGCACAAAGACCATGTTCAGAGTGAAATTTACACAGTGCAGGGTCTGTTTTAGGCACTCAGCCTAAAACAGTGTGTTTGCTGATCCCATTTAAACTTATATTAGCATAAATGTTTAAAAGTTTGCAGTTGGGTTTGTGTTGCCCTTGGCTGACCCAGGCTCAACCTCCCAACACCCCACTACGACCCCCAGATCACTCCGCCAGGAGTGATCCCAAAACAAGAAGAAAAGTTGACAGCTGGCTTCGCATGCTGGGTCTTATCGTCAGAGTAGTCCACAAAAGTTTGCAGCCAGGAAATTTTAGGTTACAGACAACCTTTTTACCTTAAGTCTCAGACTGTATTTGCCAGAAAGAAAGAGGATTTCAGTATAATGTGTGTGTTGCATCACTGGGCCCAGAGCCAGTGACGAATATGCCCAGTTGTGCTGGCTTCCTGCTGGCCTCTGCCTAAGATCAAGCAAACTAGGCCTGTTGACAGACCGAGACTCTGAGCTAAGTGCTGATCCGCTCCAAGCCATCTCTCTGCTTGTGATCTCCACAAGGTTATAGCGGGGACTGGCCTGGGTTTCATCCGTAGCATCAGATACAGTTCCAGGAGTAAGCCTTAAGCCCCACCGGCCATGTCCTCCACCCCCCAAAAGCTATGAACAGAAATGACGAGGTGAACTGTGGTGAAAATTGAAAAAGCATAGAAAATACAATTGAACTGTTTGTGTCCAGTTCACAGCACTGGGTAAGTTCCAGGCGTGCCTGTACATGTCCCCTGCTCCTCTCCCAAAACACTTGTTCTGTTGCAGAGTCTTTGGTTTTTTCCCCCTTTTGTTTCATTTATTCTACTATTGAAATAAATACTGAGAACCTCCACTTTTCTAGAGTTCGATTTTCTGGGTTCCTCTGGCGTAGGACTTCTGTTTTGAGTGAAGGGCTGTGAGAAAATATTGATTCTTCTTTTTTTTTTTTTGCCTTGTAAAGTGAAAACAGATCCTGGAATAATACTAATGAAAACATCTATGAAAACATGTATGTAGGGGCTGGAGAGATAGCACAGCGGGTAGGGCGTTTGCTGTGCACACAGCCGACCCAGATTTGATTCCCAGCACCCCATATGGTCCCCTGAGCACCGCCAGGAGTAACTGCTGAGTGCAGAGCCAGGAGTTACCCCTGTGCATTGCCGGGTGTGACCCAAAAAGCAAAAAAAAACAAAAACAAAAACAAAAAACATGTATGTAAACACGAGGCACCAGCTACATGAAAAATAGCGTCAGAGCAATGTCATAGTCTGTTTTAACAGAAGCATAATGGGGGACCAGGTGGGAAATGAGATGTCGGTCATCTGAGTCTAATGCTGCTACATTCATCTTTTTACCCAGGAAAGAGCATTTGTATGTTTCCTGGGAATAAATGTTTCAAACAAAGCGTTCGCAGCTCCTACTTGGCTGACTCTGGCTTCTGTGTCACGCAGGACGTGATGGTGGCAGGGGGTATGGAGAGCATGTCCAACGTGCCCTATGTCATGAGCAGAGGAGCGACGCCATACGGAGGGGTCAAGCTGGAAGATCTGATCGTGAAAGATGGCCTCACTGATGTCTACAATAAGATCCATATGGTAAGGCGGCTTTTAATGGAGAAACGCCCTCTACTGTGTAGTACTGCTTGATTTTCTTTACTCTGTATTTTAGAAGCGACCGAAGGCTGGGCATTAGAAATGCTGAGCTTATTTATTGTAGGGTCGGGAAGAATGCTGGGATTCAACTCAGAGTCTCATTCATACATGGAAATATTTTCTCCATGACTGAACAGCAGCCTCTTGCAATCAGTTTAGCTCAGAGATTCAGTAACCATTTCATCCTTTGCCTTTAACATGACGACTTTTGGACTAAGGCAAAATTCACTGCACACTACAGTATTATGATACACATGGTAATTAAAAAAATCCTACCCACCTTTTTATCAGGGCAACTGTGCTGAGAACACTGCAAAGAAAATGAACATTGCACGCGAGGAACAGGATGCCTACGCCATTAACTCCTACACCAGAAGTAAAAAAGCGTGGGAGGCGGGAAAATTTGCGGATGAAGTTACTCCTGTCACAATTACAACCAAAGGTGGAGGAAAGATGGTTTTTGTTTTCATAGCTATAGAGATTGTTACTTTGTTTTTTTGGGGGGGAGGAGGGTCACACCTGGTGATGCTCAGGGGACCATATCGGATGCAGGTGATGGAACCTGGGTCAGCCACATGCCCCATCCACTGTCCTATCTCCCGGCCCACCCGCATGCTATACTGTTACTTATTTATTGAGTCACCATGAGATACAGAGTTCCAAAGCTGTTTATGATCCAGTTTCAATCATACAATGTTCCAACACCATCCCTTCACAAGTGTACGTTTCCCACCACAGTGACCCTGCCCCCCCCTGCCCCCAGCCTGTTTTCTCTCCTTCTCCTCCTCCTCCTCCTCCTCCTCCTCCTCCTCCTCTCCTCTTGGGCATTATGGTTTGCAATGCAGATACTGAGGTTGTTTGTTCCTTTTTGCCTGCCGTACTCTTTAGGCAACCCCACACCCCCTGCCTGAACTTTTCATGTTTAAGTTTTAAACACGAAACATTAACCTAAGTGCTGTTTTCTCTATTTTGATGAATGCATTATGTATTAAGACTAATAGAGGGCCAGAGAGAGCCCAGCTGTATAATGTCCAGCCCAAGTTCAATCTCTGTGCACAGTCGGGTGAGGTCCCCCAACAGGAAAGATTCTAATAGAAATGACACGCAATAAACTAGCTTATCTGGAAAGGGATTTAAAAGTGAATATGCTTGGGTCTGGAGCAACAACACAGCAGGTAGGGCGTTTGCCTTGCACGCGGCCTACCCGGGTTCGATTCCCAGCATCCCATCTGGTCCCCTGAGCACTGGCAGAAGTAATTCCTGAGTGCAGAGCCAGGAGTAAACCCTGTGCATCGCCAGGTGTGACCCAAAAAGCAAAAAAATAAAAATCAAAAATAAAAAGGCTATATAATAAAAATGAATAGACCCCCCCACCCCCACCTCCACAGATGTGCCTCCTTATTAAAGGGTCTGTGAGAATGATTCTAGAACTGGGTCAGGACACACTTTTCTTGGCTTCTCACTGCTGCTGCCTCCATCTCAAGGGAAACCTCTCCAGGCAGTTTTTCTTGGGACAGGGTGTCAAAGCTGGACATCTGAACAATGTTCAAGCTAACAGACGAAGGCGAGTGATTTTCTTTTTTTAAAATTTTTTTATTAAAAACATTTTTTTTTAAATCACCATGAGATAGTCACAAAGCTTTCCCGTTTGAGTTTCAGTCATACAACGATCGATCACCCATCCCTCCATCAGTGCACATCTTCCACCACCAGGGTCCCCAGTGTCCCCCCACATCCCACTCCTCCCTCTGCCTCTACGGCGGACAATCTCCCCCAGACGCTTTTGTATTGCTTGTTATGAATAGCATAAGATGTTGCGCGCTCCTGGAATTCTAAATGATTTTCTTACTGACTGATTACTAAACATTTTTTTTTCTTTTAGGTAAACCAGATGTAGTAGTAAAAGAAGATGAAGAATATAAACGTGTTGACTTCAGCAAAGTGCCAAAGCTCAAGACAGTCTTCCAGAAAGAAAATGGTGAGTGCCAAGAAGGGACTGTATGCAGGGGCTGGAGAGAGAATACAGTGGGCAAGGTAAGGTTCTGGGCTTACACACGGCTGACCTGTGGTCTCCCGAGCAAGTGTAAACACCAACCCTTCCCCCCTCCCCCCAAAAGGAACAGGCAGTCCTGCTCCAGGTACTTTATTATAAACAACCTTAGAAAATATTTACTTATTATCATATGATCAGACATCTCTGGAGACTGTAGAATATTGTTGGATTTTTTTGGGCGCCACATGGCGATGCTCAGGGTATCATAAGGGATGCCAGGGATTAAAACTGGGTCAGCCACGTGCCACGCAAACTCCCTTAGTACCAGCAGTTCTGTCTCCGGCCTTGTTTTTGAAATCCTTTGAGAAAAGTATTTTACATGTTGAAACTCGTTGTATACCACCAAGCAACAGCCTATGGAGTCTTCCTTAATATTTTTAAAAACTGATGGGAGAAGCATGCTGAAAGTAGACTATAGACCGAACATGATTGCCACTCAATGCCTCTTTTGCAAACCACAGCACCCAAAAGGAGAGAGAGAACAAAAGGGAATGCCCTGCCACAGAGACGGGGTGGGATGGGGGAGATGGGGGGTGGGAGGGATACTGGGATCCGTGGTGGTGGGAAATGGGCACTGGTGGAGGGATGGGTATTTGATCATTGTATAATTGAAACCCAAGCACAAAAATTTGTAAGTCTACAACTGTACCTCATGATGTCTCACTAATAAAAAAAATATTTCTAAAAACTGACAAAGTAGAAGTCAGTTTGAAAGGTACTTAAGGGCCAGAGAGAGTATACAGGGTTAAGGCACTTGCCTTGCATGTGTGAGGCCCAGGGTTCATTCCAAGCCTGGAAAGACGTTCTTTTGGGGTGGGGCGGGGAGGTGTGTCAGAGAGGAAGAAGTGCTAGAAATTGAAACCAGATGCCATACCCCTGTGTACTATTTCGCCACCCGGCAAGGGCACTCGTAGGTCAGTCAGTAGTGCAGCGTCTGATTTTGGACTCCATACTCACGGGCGCCCACAGGTACAGTAACGGCTGCCAATGCCAGCACGCTCAACGACGGAGCCGCCGCCCTGGTTCTGATGACTGCAGATGCCGCCAAGAGGCTCAAGGTCAAGCCACTTGCCAGAGTAGCAGGTAGGAGACGGGGCTGTTCCTAGTGACAGAAGTGCACTGTCACTTGAGGTGGTGGCTGAGTTGTTGACAGATTCATGTTGTGGCGTACCCGCATCCCCTCAAATCCAGTTTTCAGTTGAGATCCAAGCTTGTCCAGTTGTCACTCTGCAGAGTGTAACCGCGCCCTCGCTGTTCACCAGCTGCCGAGACCAGCCCTCCTAGGGAACTGAAGGTTCCCCAATTCGCTGGGTTTACTTCTCAGAAAGAATTTAGCGCCCTCCCATGGGGGGGTAGTATCACCTGCTTAGAGGACCGATAGAAGGTGCGAGCGAATACAGAGGTAAAGGAATTTACACCCCCAAAGCAGTATGGAACAACTCTTAAGACTTGGTCTGGGGGCTTACTGCTGGTGGGGCGCCCCGCCTGCTTGTACTAGCTCTGCAGCTCAGTAGAAAATTGAATGACCTTTTTCTGATAAAGCATTTGCAGATGCTGCTGTAGACCCTATTGATTTTCCGATTGCTCCTGCACATGCTGTGCCAAAGGTAAGGTCGAATGTGGTTTGCTTGTAGCTAAGGTGATGGGTTTCAGATTTTCATTTCTTCCCCATGTCTCCTGGAAACGGCAGTCCAGATTACAACCTAGTACAACTCGTTGAGCCACACCAAAATTTGCCCCAGTTTTTCCAAATTTTTTTTTTTAAATCACTTTTTCATCTTTTTGGGTCACACCCAGCGATGTTAATGGGTTACTCCTGGCTCCGCGCTCAGGAATTACTCCTGGCAGTGGTTGGGGGAATTTTTCCAATTGTAAAGTACATTGTTTGATGGGGTATTTATCTTCCATACAGCTGAGCTGGGTTCGCTTCCCAGCATCCCATATGGTCCCCCGAGCATTACATGGTATGGCCCCAAGAAACAATGACATCTGTCATTTGCTCTTCTGATTCTGCACGTACCTCTCTCTTGTGGTTACCATCCTAGATCTGTAAGCGTAGCAGGGACGAACAGGCATCGGTGAAGGGCCAGATTTGAGAATTCAAAGCTAATGTCCAGTATGAAAAGAAAACATCTCCTCACAGGGAAGTAGAGGAGGTTGTTTTCAAGTAGAACTAGAGAAACGCTACGTACCCCAAAATTGTTTGAATCTCTGTGGAAGGTCCAGTAAGCTGAGAGACAAATCACACAACTGCTGAGCTGAACACACCACATTGGAAAGCAAAGGCAATACAGTTTTGAAGGAAGGAGTGAATTTTCATGTTAATTTTACTACTACTCAAAACCACGTATTTTCGTGTCGCCAAGGACCAAACCCAGTGCCTCATGCTTGCAGGACAAGCACCCCACGGCCCAGCCCTCTTCAAGGGCACTACTTAGGAAAGCCAATACCACAACCACTGGGATTTTCACACCTTCGTAACTGAGCTATTAATCATACTTTAACTCGCAATATAAAACATAATCACGATCACAACCATCCTGTTATTTTGTCGATTGCCTCGAGCAGGCCCCAGTAATGTCTCCTTCATCCTAGCCCTGAGATTATATTCAAGGCTCTTTAGGAGAATGAGACCCATCATTGTTACTGGTATTTGGCATATTGGGTATGCCACGGGGAGTTTGCCAGACTCTGCCGTGTGGGCAGGCTACATTCGGTAGCCTGCCAGTTTGTCCAAAGTAGGAATGAGATAATAAGATGTCTCAAGTCAAGACTCAGAGACTATAAAACATAATAACTATGAAAATCTGTGACTCAAAATCTGTGACCCCATGGCAACTTTTGTTTCGCTTTTTGGGTGACACTGGGCGATGCCCAGGGGTTACTCCTGGCAGTGCTTGGAGGACCATATGGGATGCTGGAGATGGAATTCGGGTTGGTCACATGCAAGGCAAACACAGTACCTGCTGTACTATTACGCCGTTGTGCCACGCCGCAACTTTTATAAACTACAGGGATTCAAGGACATCCAACCCTTAGGTAGATCTCTCCCATTTAGTAAATGCTACCATTTAGTGTTCATTCTTCTGAGGTAGCCAAAAGCCAAGCTGTCTCTCTGAAGTAGGAATATGCACCGTAGCACTGTCCTCCCATTGTTCATCAATTTTGCTCGAGCGGGCACCAGTAACATCTCCATTGTGAGACTTGTTACTGTTTTTGGCATTACGAATATGCCACAGTAGCTTGCCTGGCTCTCTGAGAGGGGCGAAAGGATCGAACCCGGGTCGGCCACGTGCAAGACAAATGCCCTACCCACTGTGCTATCGCTCCAGCCCTAAGTAGGAATATACAGGTCTAAATTAAATGCCAAAATTTGTATTTAAATTTTACAAAGGAAGGGGCTGGAGCGATAGCAGTGGGTAGGGCGTTTGGCGGCTGACCCGGGTTCGATTCCCAGCATCCCATATGGTCCCCTGAGCACCGCCAGGAGTAACTCCTGAGTGCAGAGCCAGGAGTAACCCCTGTGCATCGCTGGGTGTGACCCAAAAAACAAAAAACAAAAAAAAATTTACAAGGGAAATATAAACCAGATTTAAGAAACCAATGTCTATTTGATGTTTTAAAAAGGTTCTTAAAGATGCAGGACTGAAAAAAGAAGATATTGCAATGTGGGAAGTAAATGAAGCTTTCAGCGTGGTTGTATTAGCAAACATCAAAATGCTAGAGATTGACCCTCAAAAAGTGAATATCAACGGAGGAGCCGTTTCTTTGGGACATCCAATTGGGTAGGTAAAATAGTACGAAAACATCTAGCTTAATGCATGCCTCTGTATTTTTGTCTTAAACTTCTTCACAGCAGTCGCTGTTATTAGTAGAATACTTAATTTTCCCACCCTCCTCCATTTCTGATGGTTCTGTCTGCTTCATGTATTAAGCTCGTATTTTAATTTTGGGGTCAAACCAGCCCCTTAATTCTTTTAAGCTGTAAGTGATTGATGAAGTTAAAACTAAACTGTGGTTTTAATTACAGGATGTCGGGAGCCAGGATTGTTGTTCATATGGTTCATGCCCTGAAGAACGGAGAATATGGCCTTGCCAGTATCTGCAATGGAGGAGGAGGTGCTTCTGCCATCCTAATCCAGAAGCTGTAGACCAGGGTACTCTGGCCAGACAGCCCCACTGCAATCTGTGTGTCTGACTGCCCCATCAGCTGATACTCAGAATAATTGGTACTGTTGTTTTTATTATTTTCTAACTTTTTTTTTTAAATCAAATTCCTAAACTTCTTGAGATTACAAATAAACTTTTCTTCTGCTTTGATTTTTTTTTGTTGTTGGTAGCCATTGTTTTGGGATCTGCCATATGCAAGGTACGAGCTCTCTGGCCCTTTGTAGTCATTCTGTTGAATACTAAAGACAATATTAGAGAAGTGCTTAGCAGAGTGGCTAGAAATCACATGGGAAAGACAGAAAAGAAATCTCTCTAAATAAACCAAATGGATGTGAACATTTCACAATAAATAATATTCTCCAAAATATATCATTTGAAACTGATACAGGCAAGTAGGTGATAAAATAGAAAAGATCTGAAACCAGAGCTTATTTTTCCCCCAAGAGAACTCAAAATCAATGAAACCTTGTAACTAAGATCACACAAATGCAAAAGGATACATAGACTGTTATAACAATTATATGCCAATGAGTTAGTAGATTAAATGCCGAGAAACACATACCAACACTAAACTTTCCAAGAAATGAGCAAACCTGTTTCCAATTAAGGAGACTGCATTAGAAATGATGAACTTCCCACCAAAGGTCCAGCCCAGATCACTTCTGGACATGGGAAACTACTCAACCAAATGTTCTATCGATTCCAGTTAGTATTAAAAGATTTTTCTACCACCAAGTGGGATTTCTCCCAATGAAGTAAGTATAGTGTGACATTCCATGTGTAAACTCACACAAGAGGGGGCTCGGCACCCAACTCAGCGGCGGTGGCTCTATCTCTCCCGCCGCCCGCGTTCGGTAGTCTCACCCTTCTCCCACCCCGGAGAGGTCGATGGCGATGGTCAGGCAGAGGAAGGAACGAGGGCCAGGCTGGTAGGTATTAGTCGTAGTTTATTCTGATTCCCTCCTCATCTCTCCTTCTGTCTCTGCCCCCATGCTACTTCATTCTCCTTCTCCATTCCCCTTCATCCTCCTCTTCCTTCTGACCCTCTCTGAACTCTCTTCTTCCTTCTGCTCCAGCCCGCTCCTACAGTACAGTTAAAATCCTCTCTCCATGAGGAATTGGGGAAACAATTACACATAGGTGTGGTCACAATCAATACGGGTGGAGATCAACAGGGGTAGAAATCTTAGCCTCAGGGAAGACCGCTCCTAGGACAGATCCTTCCTCAGCAGGAGGACCCACCTTAGAGCAGAATCCCATGGGCGTGCCACTCCTCTCCTTGTCCGACAAGCGTACAAGAATATAATATAAATCATTTTGTATGGATACAGTAAGAAATATCTTAAACTTATAGAATTGCTCTCCTAGGGCCATCTTGATCTCAGACTACAGTGCTCAGGCCAGATAGTCTTTCCCACCCCTAGCAGGATCCTAGTCTTGTCGTTACCTTGGATCATGACAGCATTTGTCCATGATCAAACTCTTAACTTATAGTTAAGAATCGTGGCACTTTGGCCTGGCCCATTTCGCTGCCAGGGTAGCTCACTGCTTGCCCTGGGTCCATTCAGTCCCTCGTCGGGACCCTGCTTTTGGGGTGTTAGGAACTAAGGGCAACTGAGGCTTAAGTCGAGAAAGATGCCCGGGAGTGAATAATATTCAAGGCCAATCAAATCCTAAGTTACAAAGCATAATGTTAACGGTCTTCCTGTATCTATACAAAAAGGATATTACTTTAAAGTAAACTGTTCATAAGGCATAAGGTGAGGAGAAAGGCAATATTTCACTCATACATATAAAATCATAGATTTCTGGGAAACTGATCTTAGAAATTAACAAAGTCTGATTAAGGGGAAAGCTGATTAACTGGGTGGGAAGGAGAGCATAGGGAAGACTGTTTACATGTTTACATGTAAACACAATGGAAGTGGAAGTGCTTCAGGAGCACCGTGATGGGTGTAACCAGATTGATAGTTGTAACCAGATTAATGGGTGTAACCAGATAAAACCTAAGCTTCTTGAAGGACAAAGCAATGTTACCCAACAATCCCATATTAACACAATGAAGGATAAATACTCAGTGAACTCAGGAAAAGCATTAGACAAAATTCAGCAGCAGTTCCTGGTGAAAACATTATGAAAGATTTTTATTTTAAAAGATCCAGAACAAGGTTGCCCCGTTCTAACTTTTATCCAGCTTAGTGCGAGAAAGAGAAGAGCAGCAGTGCTGGCAGATGCGGCAGAAGCCGGGAAAAGCATTCGCAACACCTGCCTGTCCTTCGCCAACAACAAAACCAAGTGACTGCCCTCCGACTTCCTGATGGATCTATCACATCTTCCAGAAGGGCAATGGAGATTATCCATGACTTCTTCTCGGATCTCTTCAATAGCCACGTCCACCTGCCCACATACCAAATTCCGCAGGATGGATATGTCGTTCCCAACATTCTCCCTTCCGAAATCCGACACGCCATTTCGTTGGTAAAGAAGCGAACAGCACCAGGCCCAGACAAGGTCAGACCCGAACACCTGAAGAACCTGCCTCATCAATACACTGGTTCGGCTCTTCACATGCTACCTGTCTGAATGCAAGGTTCCGTCTCAATGGAAAACCAGCAGGACTGTACTACTGTACAAGAAGGGAGACATCCTGACATTGACAACTATTGCCCAATCTGCCTATTGTCTGTCATCTACAAGCAATTCACTTGAGTCATCCTGAATAGGATTGGCAGAACACTAGATGAAGGACAACCATGCAAGCAAGCTGGGTTCCGCAAAGGATTCATCATGATTAAGCATATCCACACGATAACCAAGCTCATTGAGGTTTCTCGGGAGTTCAAGATGCCGCTCTGTCTAACGTTCATTGATTTAAAGAAGGCCTTGGATTCTGTTGAGACAGAAGCAGTCACTGAAGCCCTAGCCAAACAGGGCACTCAAACTAAATACATCAGGATCCTCCGCGAGCTGTATTGCGGATTCACTACCAGGATCTCACCATTCTACAAAGAAGTGATCGTTGATGTCAAGAGAGGGGTTCGGCAGGGTGATACCATTTCACCAAAACTCTTCAGTACCACCCTCGAGAATGTCATAGACGACTGGAATGGGAAGGAATGGGAGTGAAGATAGACGGTCGGCAACTACACCACCTCCACTTTGCTGATGACATCGTTCTAATAACACCAAACATTAGCCAAGCAGCACAAATGCTGGCTGACTTCGTGAGTGTGGAAAGGTCGGATTACAGCTGAATCTCACGAACACAATGTTTATGAGAAACAGTCTCATTCCTGATGTTCCATTCACTCTCAACGGAACGACCATCTCTGAATGTAACAGTTATGTGTACCTAGGTCGAGAAGTCAACATGACGAATAACCTGGTACCTGAGTTTTGCAGGAGGAAGAGAGCAGCTTGGAACGCCTTCAAGAGCTTCGAAGAAATAGCTAAGAGGACGAAGAACCTCTGGCTCCAGGCACATCTCTTCGATTCCACTATTCTTCCTGCATTAACATATACCTCAGAGACCTGCGCCCTACGAAAACAGGATGAGAACGATATTCGGGTCTCTCAAAGAGGAATTGAAAGAGCTATGCTTAGAGTATCATGCTTCACTCAAATGAGAGATAGAATCTGGAGTTCCGATCTCCGTCAACGCTCAAGAATCAGGGACGCTGTCTCATTTGCCAAGGCATCAAAAATCAAATGGGCTGGACACGTAATGAGGTTTAGAGACGACCGCTGGACTAGAGCCGTTACTGACTGGATTCCACGAGACGTCAAAAGATTGTGTGGACGCCCACCTACAAGATGGTCAGACTTCTTTGTCAAGACCGTGAATGATCGGTTTGAGGCTCTGCATATTTCTAGAACGAGCGGATGCCATTGGGCTATGCTAGCACGCAACAGGGATGAATGGAGACGTTACTGGCGCCCGCTTGAGCAAATTGATGAGTAATGGGATATCAAGTGAAGTGCCAGAAAACCTAATCAGACCCACCATGCACGGAGAACAAAAGACATCCAACTTGGAGAGGGGAGGGCCGAACACCCTACATAAGGCCAGACAATTGCTGTAACTAAGTACTAGTCATTATACAATCAACAAAAAATACTCTGCATTTTAATTCACGAACAACAAACTGAAAGAGAACTAAAACAATCCAATTCAAAAATTCATCACAAAGAACAAACCAAAAGATGCTGATAAAAGTTTGATAGAGATTAGACTGAATCTGCAAGTTGTTTTGGGCAACCTGGACATTTTCACGATTTCCAGTTCACGAGCACAGAATAACTTTTTCTTTCCATTTGTCTTCAGGTTCATCCACCAGTGTCTTGATTATTTTCATTTATAGGAAGACTCTAAAAAGTAAAACTTGAGTAGATAAATGGTGGATGGAATGGAAAGATTGGTAAGAGTCCAAACTAAAAAGATGTCTGATGAGTAAACTGAGGATCCAATCTATGACAACAGTTGATCATACATATTTGTAAAGTTAAAATCTGCCAATCGAATAAAACCAATACTGTCACAAATAAAACCCCTCACATGTTGTCCTGACAGGTGTCATCTCAATTTATAGATTAGAGCACCATGATTCATCTCTTAAGTTTCTAACGCTTTTTTCAATTAAAGGTAAAGGTAAAGGCCCTCCCGTTGATCGTCGATTTGCTCGAGCGGGCCCAGTAACGTCTCCATTGGAGACTTTGTTGTTACTGTGTCTGGCATATCGAATACTCTCGGTAGCTTGCAAGGCAAACGCCCTACCCGCTGTGCTATCGCTCCAGCCAGTAATTCTGAAAAGTAATGATTCTTACACTTCAGACCAGGCACTTAGCCAGTTAATACCACACCAAGCGAAACTATGGGCAATACTCGAGACTAAACTACAGGAGAGTGATCACGACAGGACACATGCAGCGCGAAATAGAGTATGAAACTATGAACCTTTACAAGTAAAATCCTTGTGTTATGCAACTGTACATTTATAGAATTTTAACCTATCAAAATGTTAATTAAGCAAAAGCACGTTTATTCTAATAAATTTGATATACAAAGTGAAAAGTACTCAACTTTCCAAATTTTGATGTCTTAAATTGAAATCAGAACTTTAATTTTAGAAGTTAAACCTATAAAAAAAAGAACTAAGGAAAACAGAATTGAGAAATTAGTGAATCAGAAACCTGATTGTCAAATGTAGGGGATGATCTTGTCAGAAAAGTTGCATCTAAGGGCTGGAGCGATAGCACAGCAGGTAGGGCGTTTGCCTTGCACGCGGCTGACCCGGGTTCGATTCCCAGGATCCCATATGGTCCCCCGAGCACTTCCAGGAGTAATTCCTGAGTGCTTGAGCCAGGAGTCACCCCTGAGCATTGCTGGGTGTGACCCAAAAAGCAAAAAAAAAAAGAAAAGAAAAATCGCATCTAATTTACGGAGAACATAAAGAGAAATGAGTAAAAAGATCTGAAGCAGTAAAAAAAGTCAACAACCTGATTTAAAAAAAAAAATCAGCCCAGAATAGATTTAAGTGAAACCCTGAATTGCTTCTACAATAGATCCCAGGTTTAGATGACTTTCATGAAGTAGGTATTTCCCTACCTACATAAGGTAAAGGTAAAGGTAAAGGCCCTCCCGTTGATCGTCGATTTGCTCGAGCGGGCCCAGTAACGTCTCCATTGGAGACTTTGTTGTTACTGTGTCTGGCATATCGAATACTCTTGGTAGCTTGCCGGGCTCTCCGAGAGGGGCGGAGGAATCGAACTTGGGTCGGCCATGTTGGCCGCTTGTAAGGCAAACGCCCTACCCGCTGTGCTATCGCTCCAAAGTGTTGCAGAATAATAAAACCCGGCACCAGCTAGAATAGCAGCAAGCTGGGGAAGGGGAGGGATTTTGGCTATGCCAGCCTTTGCTTGGGTACCATCAGGGCTAGGGACCCATCAGGGGTCAGCCACACCCAAGGCAACTGCCACTGCCTTAGCCCTGCATTGTCCGTAGGTTCAGTAGCAGTTTGCGTTCTTCTGGGAGGGGAGAGGAGCTGGGACACATCCAGCTGTGTTAAGGCTTACTCCTGGGTCTATGATCAGGGATCACTCCTGCAGGATCTCGGGGGAACTGTATGTGGTGCCAGAATTGAACAGAGGTCAGCTGCATGCAATGCCCTCCCCCTACCCCAATAGCTGGTTTTAAAAGTACACATTGCTTCAAATGGTGACCCAAATGCTTGCATGTTGCTTTACTTAAACATTATGTCAAGGGGCTAGGGACAAAGCACAGTGAGTTAGGAGCCTGCACTGCACAAAGCAGACCCGGCTTGATCCCTGCAATCACATAAGGCCCCCTGAGCACTGCTAGGCATGGCCAACACTTAAAAACAACATTGAAAAAGGCACTATTACTTAAACAGAGGAACTAGGAGATGGAAAGTTTCAAATTCGTTTACAAACTGCCTAAACTTGGGGGTCTGGTGATATACAACAATTAAGGTGCATGCCTGGCATGCACCCAACCTGGGTTCAATTCCCAGCCTTGCTGGATGGAGCTCTGGACACCCTACGAGGCGACTTGGTTTCCCCAGTACAACATTGCACCCTTGGGCCCTTGCAATGAGCCCACGACCCAGACAGCCAACAGACCTCTCTAGATCTCCTGCCACCTCTGACAAAGACGATCTCCCCAAACTACAAAAGCCTGAAATCTATCAACATTTTATTCCAGAGATGACATCAAATTTAGTTACATTTAAACACGAAGATTTTTTTCTTTTTGGCTTTTCGGGTCACACCAAATTATAACACAACAGAGTAGGATTTTAACTCAGTTCTGACAAATTAAAAAATAAATCCTAGAGATCAGTGATGATATAGATGAATATATCTCCGGTAGGGGGATTTTAAATTGGCTAAAGTTTAGAAACAACAGTATCTGAAGTGGAAAAAAGTTTTAGAAAGTTTATTTATAGTTTAAATTCAATATGTATTAAAAAAAATTGAGAAAAGACAATTATCCAAATGGTAACCAAAATTCATAAAGTCTTCTAAAAGAGAAAACATTTGGGGTCACACCTAGTGGTGTTGGCCTGAAACTTGGGGAACTCTGTGACACCAGGGATCAAACCTGGGCTTCCCACATAACAAAACATTCGCTCAGCCCTCTCTGACCCCTAAGGAAATATTCTTAATCTGACTTATTTTCAGCATAGACTATATTAACTACTAAGTAATGTCTCAAAGAGTAGATTCTTAGCAGAGATGTCAAAGTAACCACACATTACAGATGGGACTTTACTTTATGATTTTTGGGCCACACCTGGTGATGCTCAGGGCTTAACTCCTGGCTCTATGCTCAGGGATCACTGGGGTCCCTGGGGGATTGAATTCGGCCACTTTCAAGGCAGGCATTCTGCCCACTGTACTCTCTCCCACCCAGTAAGATGGTACTTTATGTAAAAAATCTCTAGGGGTGGCCAGGGGTGGCCCTGACAGCTCTTCCTTGCCACCTGGGTTCAGGGGGCCTGGGGCCACTCCCCCAGCCGGGACAGCCCGGGCCATAGGACAGATGATGGAAGAAACGAGGGCCAAGCTGGTTGATTGATCAGAGGCCTTTATTCCATTCTCTCCAGGTGCCTGCTCCAGTCTCTCTGAGCCTCCCATTCTAGTCTCACCCTCCCCTCATTCCTGCCTCCTTCTGTCTCTCCCACTCATCTCTCCACTCCATCTTGCCGCCCTGCTCGCTCTCATTCTCCAACTCTCTTCTTCAGCTCCCCAGCACTCTGGGCTGACACTGCACTCAGTCAGGTAGCCAGATCAACATAAGAAAGCCCTTCCGGAGGGCCCACCAAGTTCAAAGGGAACACCACCTAAAGGTATCCCAAAGCCCTTCCTGGTTGTCCCAGGGCAAAATAGCTCCTAAGGTGTTTTTCTCCTTTTCTCAGTCCAAGAACTCTATCAACATCTGAGTATTAGTTATTTTTGTATGGACACAGTAAGAGATAACACTGAGGTTTGTAGGGCAGCTCTCCTGGGAACATCTTGCCACAGACTCAGACTACAGTGCTCGGGCCAGATTATTCATTCCTACCCTTAGCAGGGTTCAAATCTAATTACTACTTTTTGGATCGTGACCGCATTTGTCCATGACCAAGCTTTTAACTTACAGTTTAGTATTATGGCACTGTGGCCAGGCCCATCTCGATGCCAGGGTAGCACATAGCTTACCGCTTGCCCTGGTTCCATCCAGTCCTTCATCAGGACCCTGCTTTTGGGGGCGCTGTGAAGTAAGGGCAGCTGAGGCTCAGGTAAGAACAGATGCCCAGGAGGAAAATATCACTGAGAGTCACATTACAAAAGCATAGCATATACTGTCTTCTTGTATCCATACAAAAAGGGCACTGCTCTGAATAAACTATGCAAAGGACTTAGGGAGAAGAGAAAAACAGTATTTACAAGTCAACAGAGCACAAATAAACATAGAGTAATGGGAGCACTATGATGAGAGCAACCCAATACACCTAAACTACTTGAGACTATGCAGGAAAGACAAAACAGTGAAATGCAGTCATGAGGCATTACTACACTACCACACTCTCTACAAAAATCCATGACACTTGGGCTTATTTAAGTGGCTGGGAGAGTATCTGGAAGAGGGTTGTCAAAGCAAAGAAGTAGGGGGCTCTGTGAGCAACACGCGAGGCTGACGATGCTGGAGCCCAGCTGTGCTCGGGCTGCCGTGAGCACTGGCAATGGAGCCCGAAGGCCCTGAACGCCAGATCTGCTCCAGCCCTCCGAGTCATCACACTGGCTAGACATCGGGCCCTGGGGGTTCTACTGGAGATTACCGCTTTGCTGTTGAACGTAAAAGAGGGTTCCAAGTATAAGCTGCCGCTGAACTGTATTTATAGACTTCTACCTAGCCAGTCAGCCAAGAACCTCAAGTCAATCTTTTGTATGTGAATTCTTAGTATTACTGTGCACAGGAATGACAAGAAAATTGGTTTCAACTATAGAAAACCTAAACAAGAACTTGCAAAGAAACAATAAAACAATAATTGTCGATATAAAGTAACTCAAACTTTTGAAGTCAATGAAAATATTTATTCAAACCTAACTGTAGAGTATCAAGTCGAATTAAATAAACATTAACTATATATTTCTTTAGAAATAAGACTGTTGTCACATCACAAAAATTTGTTACAACACAAATTTCTGCAGTAAGGTCTAGCAATTAAGATGTAATTTTCACATTAAATGCTGAGGGTAGGATGGATTTTGTTTTGAAAGGTCTAGTACAACCCCCCCCCCCAAAAAATATGTTGAGGGAAACAACTCTTAACAATATGTACACTACAGGAAAAAAAACCTTAATATACTGCTATTTAACCAGACAAAAAACACTGAAGAGAACAGACTCGAGGGTCCAGGCACAACCGGTCAGGGACTTACCACATGCCTCTTCCGCTCTCTGAAAGCAGAATATTCATATTTGGCTTGTTTTGGTAAGATGCCTTTTGGGTTTGGGGTTGCTGTAACCACCAATTTACAAGGGGGAAAGTCTGTGTGTTCCCAAATAATCCATCAAACAATACCAAATAAGTTCTACTTCCAGGCAGAGGGGGGAAGCTGTACTAATTTCCGTTCTTCTAAGTTTCAACCAGTTCTTAAACTTGACCCATGTATTTCTAATACAAAGAAGGCACCTCTTTCTCCTTACGGACTTTTTGAGAGTAAATCCTTATATGACACTTCACGGGGGTGGAGAGACAACGTGCTGCATGTACGTAAACAAGTTGTTCAACACAATTCATTTTAGGAAAACGAAATTAAATCATAAAACTATGACTTCATTTTACATCATACGATGGACATGGCTTTCTCAAAGGATTCCAGAAGACGATCCTCCGCACACGCTTTAACAAAGAATACATGATTTAAATTAAATGTGCATTGGTCATACTATGTAAAAATTCTTATGAATTAGTGCAATTCTTTAGAGCCCCAGCGTTAGGGGGGGGTGGGGGGAAGTATATACATAACCATGAAATCTCAACTCTAATATAACCCATCTTTTTATGGCTCAATAGTCTAACACTTAAAGTTCTGTAAAAGATATTCTTTATAATTTATAAACAAAAGTTCAGAACACTCAAATGGTATACAAAAATCTCTCTTTAAAACAAAGAGACCAGAATACACAGTTAAAGTATAAAATTCCAGGAATATAATCTTTACTACAATTATAAAAGGGGTGGAAAAAACCCATACTGTTCATTTCTGATTACTACCAGTTGACGTAGTTACCATTTTTGTTATTATTTAGTGGCTATATCCTTAACTGTCTTGTTGGACAGCTACTGAAGGCAGTTTACAAGGAAAAGCATTTTCCCCACAAAACTGAGAAACTATTTCAAATGACTAAGTCTCAGAACTAGGGATCATGAGTCAAAAACACAGTGTAGAATATTAGGTTAATCTAACCTCTATTTCAAGGAGATTTACACAATATTTACAATATGCAATTTTCACAGCTATACAGTTTTGCAGATTGGCTTTACTTGCATTTCTGCAAATGTTTTTCCAAAATAAAATAGAGCAGGTCAATCTATTTACAAACTAGAAAGCTGCTTTAGAAACAGCATGACTTCGTTATAAAGTGAAATTTCAGAACAATCAAAGTGCAGGTCAGACTTTCAGATTCCGCCGGTATCTCATTCTCTACGCTCAGACTTAGGGAATGAGTCTCACAGCTTCTGCTTCTATGTCCAGAACGTTTTACTCATCATAATGCAATGATAACAAAAATTTGTCCACATCCATTCCAGCCGGAAATGAACTGGGTAGCTTCTTTTTCTGTTAAAAAGAAGAATGAAAAGAAAAATAAAGGCAGAGAAAACACAGGAAAAATAAACTGAAGTAAACACACTGAACTCAATCAAGGCCAAAAACCCTTCTTAGCCAAGTCTAGAGACCCTCTTATCAGGTTCTTCTATATATTAAAACTCTGGCCATATTTTTAGCTCATCTGAGTTTTAGCAAAACTCCAAGATCAATCAAGTATGCTTCAGCGGTACCTTAACATTAGCGTAAAGCAAAACATGCTACACAGAGCCAGAGAGAACGATACTGAACAGACGCAGAACCTGTTTCCTATCAGGTGGTCAGACCTGCAAAATCAAATCCCCAGCAAGTGCTGACAAGTTTTCAAAAGTCTAGGGCACTTTTCAAATTCCTCAGTGCCTGGGGCTGGAGCGATAGTACAGTGGGTAGGGCATTTGCCCGGCATCTCTGGCATCCCATATGGTCCCCTGCATCTGCCACAAGTGATTCTGGAGTGCAGAGCCAGTAGGAAAGCCCCTGAGCACGCAGGTGTGCCCTCCCTCCCCCCTAAAATCCAAATGGTGTCTAGGAGATACTTTACATGCAGTACATTAGTACACAGAACAGTCAGGAAACGTGTGATGAGCCAGAGAGAGGATAGGGCGTGTATGCTGTGCATGGCTGAAACCGGACTTGATCCCCAGCATCCCATATTGTCCCCCTTCAGCACGTTACCGTGAGCACCACTGGGTGTGGTCCCCCCAAAAAATGCAAAAAGAGGCTGCGATTCCCAGAGGCTGAGCTTACCCATGGCCACAGAAGCACTAGGCGGAAAGGCAGGATTCGAACCTGGCTCGGCGTAACCGCTAGGCCAAGAATCCTTCCCTAACACTGCAGCTCCTACGGTAAGCATTTCATTTTTATTCAATTCACTCAGAAAATGGCAAAAAAGATTTAGAGAAAGAGAAGTTTATCAATACTATTAATGTATTGTCTTCGTAAAGATCAGAATGACTGCAAGAGAAAGAAGCAAGGGATTTTCCTGCAGCGCCAACATGTCAACATCTACGAGCCACGGAAGAGATGGCAGGAGATGGGAACACCTGGCATGCCAGGTAGTTCTGTACTTGGTCATTCTGCAGAGTGCTTTCCCTTGCCATTGACTCTTTCATTCTCCCATAAGGATTCAAGGCCCATCGGGACAGAAAGAACAAAACTATCCTTATCCTAAAGGTGTTTGTTAGGGGCCCGAAAGCCAGACCCAGAGCCAGATTGCAGCCATGACAGCCCACAGCTAATGTTAAGTTTTGACTAGGCCCAAGTTTCTGTTCCCCAGAAACTGAACTTGCAATTTCTGCTAAGGAGCTTCTAGATCATCTGACTGGTCACAAGGGGTCACTATGCCCTTTTTTTGGAAGGCCCAGAAACTATTCTCAAATGTTGACTAATCCCTGACAACTGCTGCTTGGTCACTGTTATCATAGCACTGGCTCAACCTTGGAACCTGTATTAACTGCCTGCACTTGGAGGTTGGGGTCGCTATCAAGAGACCACTTTGTGGGTGTTGATAGATGACCCCAGTTAACTGGAATCAAACTCCTCTGCACTTGCATTACTGTCTCTCTGATGAAGTCATTCACGCCGTGACCCGAAAACCTGGGTACAAGAGTGTTCAATACGTCTTAGCAATTGTTAAGTGCTATTTCACTGAGAAACCGTGCGACTGAATCACTGTCAGCCCAAACTCAGCGGTGACTTGGCCATGACAGGATCGATCAGGCAGCGAGCGGCGTGCGCGACTCTGAGCTCTGAGATGAAGACGCTGATACTTACCTTAAACTTCTTCTTTTTCATCGGGATCGACGAATTTGTGAGAGTTTTACTAGAAGCACGGGTGCTTCGGTCACGCTCATCTAATTCCTCAATCTTTCGCTTCTTCGTGCCGCTTCTGGAAGACGCTCTGAACTGCTGCGTGTTGTCCTTGAGAGGAGTGGCGGGGGCCGTCCTGGAGATGGCGGCCCTGGAGAGGATCATGAGTGTGTGCGCTGCCATGTTCACACTGTTCTCACTCCCCGTTTCACTGGCAGGGCTACAGGCAGGCAGCTCCTGGGCACCGGGAGGGGCCAGGACCTTGGCAGGGCCGCTGTCTTCCCCAAAGCGCCGGGCGGAGGGGGCCTTGAGCCCGTCTGCCGGCTCTTCTCTGTGCTTCTCCCCCACCCCCGAGCCAGGCGTCCGGGGTCCAGGCAGCTCGGCACCATCCGTGACCCTGTTTACGGGGCTGTGCCACTGGGCGTCACGGAACGTTTCTGCGGCGTGTTTGGTCAGTGGGTTCATCAAAGAACTGGAAGACTTGGTTTGCTCTTGTTTAAGCTCCTTCCCGGCTGACCCTACGGAAGCAGCACCTTTCCCACTGGAAGACGTGCCTTGTTTTTTGGTTATTTCTTGCAATGAAGCTACAGGTTTCTCATTCCTTAAGCCCCCATTTTGCTGACTACTAGACAGTTTTGGAGTTTCTGGATTCTTCTGCCTTTCCACGTCAGTGCACAATTCATTCTCCTTATTCGCGGTTGTTTTATGAAAAGACTCAAGTATGGTTTCCGCGGGGGCGACTTTCCTTTCTGCCGGAGCTTCTTTGACGCTCGTATGTCGGTGGACCGCAGGTTCCGATTTGGAAAGAATCTTGGGCACAGGTAGCTTCTCTCTTTTGAGAGCACTGCTGGACGGGGGCTTGAGGGTGGAGGGCACAGCATGCGAGTCGGGATTAGGGAAGGTGTCATTCCTGTCCTTGTTTGGGGACGTCGCCTTCTGGCTGGGCCCCTGTGGGCCGGCCAGAGGAGTGCCGCTGTCAAAGCTGAGCACGCGCCTGTAGCTCTCCACTGGCCTCTGAGAGCTTTGAGACGTGCTCTCCCCCGCGACGGGAGATGCGCCTTCTTCCTTTTTATCCCCGAGCTCTGAGACTATAGTCTTGTCAGACCCTTCATTTCTGCAAAAGAATAAAAAATTGCTTTAGTAACATAATTTATTTACTCAGAACGTGCAAATCATCAGTAATAAAAGCGACTCTCAGGTCACAGAGATGGACTTGGGCACTTGTTTTGCACATGGCTGACCTTGGTTCCATCCCCAGCACGGCGACCTCCAAAAGCTCGAGAGTCAGGAGAAACACCAAGCACTGACAGGTATGGCCCCAAACCCAATAAACGCATCACTGTATCACCGTCATCCCGCTGTTCATCGCTTTACTCAAGCAGGCGCCAGTAACGTCTCCATTCAACCCAGCCCCGAGATTTTAGCGGCCTCTCCTTACTCGTCTTTCCCAATGCTGCCGTATTGGAGGCTCTCTCAGGGTCAGGGGAATGAGACCTGTTGTTGTTACTGTTTTTGGCAAATTGCATAAGCCACGGAGAGCTTGTCGGGCTCTGCTGTGCCATATCCGCAGCAGATCTGCAAGGTGAACAGCCTCTGGCATGTTGGAATAAATTCATAAAGCCACAAAACCTAGGCTTACCTCTGTGCATGACATCCAACGACATGACCCGATGAATCCACCAAATTATTTACTTGTTTTCCTGGAATGGGAAATGAATTAATTAGAAAAGAAAGGCCAACTGCTCTGAAAGAGAACACATTCTTTCAGGCTGAATTCTCATGTGCCATAAGAATTAAAAAATAAATAAAAAAATAATTCCCCTTTCTGGGAGATGGCTCAAGGGTTGGGGTCCTGGGCTCTATCCCCAGAACAAGACATCCCCTGAGTACTCAGCCGTGAGTTTCCTGAGCATGACTAGGCATGGCGCAAAAAAACAAAATAAATTAGTATTTCCACACTCAGGCTGTGTGTGTGTGTGTGTGTGTGTGTGTGTGTGTGTGTGTGTGTGTGAGAGAGAGAGAGAGAGAGAGAGAGAGAGAGAGAGAGAGAATGTGTGTGGACTGAAGCTACAACCTCACCAGTACAAGGCGAGTGCCACTGCTTATTCCTGGGCCCCCAAGAAAAGCTTAACAATTGATGGCTAACATACAAATGAAACATACAAATAAAACATTTCCCCAACATGGCTTTACAGGCAGCTTCGGTTCAGGGAGCGGGTGTAAAGGACGGGAGCAACATTCTGCACACAGGGTCCCCAAGCCACCCTGAGCACTGCTGGGTGGAAGTGAAAAAAGAAAATGAAACAGCAGCTTCGCTCAAGGAGACAGCACCAGTGGGCACATGCCTACGAGGGGAAACATCGTGAGTTTGTGCCCCAGTACCACACGGCCTGGTTAACACTGCCAGGCTACCAGGGGCTGGGTCATCCCTCAGGCACGCAGGCCATGCTCTACCAGGAAAGGACCACTCAGGGAGTGGCCTCTACTTAAAACAAACAACAACACCGCCCCCTTTCAAAACAAAAAAAACCCATTGTTACAGACACAAGATTGCCACATATTAATTTTACAGAGGAAACTCAGGCAAATAAGAATTCAATGGCGCACTTAAGAATACAAACTAGAAAGCTCCTTAAAGAAAGCAATCTATATGGGCCAGAGAGAGAGCGTAGAGTGGGTAGGAAGCCTGCCCTGCACACCCTCAAGCTAGGTTTGAGCTCCGGTACCTCATATGGTCCCCAGAATTCTGCCAGGACTGATTCCTGAATGCAGAGCCAGGAATAAGCCCTGAGAACTGCCAGGAGTGGTCCCACCCCCAAAACCACACAGACAGAAAGCAATAAATTTCACTTAAAAATTTTGCCCATTAATCTGGAGTGATAGCACAGTGGGTAGGGCGTTTGCCTTGCATGCGGCCGACCCGGGCTCTATTCCCAGCATCCCTTATGGTCCTCTGAGCACCGCCAGGAGTAATTCCTGAGTGCAGAGCCAGGAGTAACCCCTGAGCATCTCTGGGTGTGACCCAAAAAGGAAAAAAAAAAAAGTTTTGCCCATTTATTATTGTCATGTTTGCAAGTCTATGTGACTCAGAATATGCTTTAGAATTTTAAAAGTCGTATTTTAAATCCAAACAGTTGATGTAGAGCAGGGAGATATGATGCTGGAGAGGAAGGTGAGATCCTGAGCATCCTATGTATTATGCAAAGTCTTTCCCCACTTTTGGAATTTTGGGTCCCACACGGCTCTGGGGTTACTCCTGGCTGTGCACTCAGGAATCACTCCCAGCAGTGCCTGGAGGATCATATGGAATGCCAGGGATTTAACCCAGGTCACCCACATGCAAGGCAAGCGTCCTACCTGCTCTACTGTGTCTCTGGTCCCTGCGCAAAAAAGTTTTAATGAAAATCCTGAGGAGTGTAAAACAGCAAAGACGCATGAAGAGTCACGTGGTTTTTGCTGCTGTTGCTATTGTTGTGGGGTCAAAGGTGCAGGTACTCGAGGGGGTCGTACAGGGTCGGGTATTTGAAATCGGGGACTCTTACAGCCCGCCCTTTTGTGAAATTTCCTTGACACCCCTCCCTATACTGTGTTTCTGGGCCACACCCGGCGGTGCTCAGGGCTTACTCCTGGCTCTGCACTCGGGGACTCCTAGCAGGCTCAGGCCCATTATTTGTACTACTGGTCTTCGGTTTGCACCTGCCTGTCCTTGGGGCTTACTCTTGGTTTTGTGCTCAGGGAAGCATATATGGCGCATCGACTAAACCCAGTCGGCATGTGCAATGGAGGCACCTTACCTGCTGCTGTACAATCTTTCTGACTCCTCTTTATTTTTGTTTTTTAAACAAAACTGGGGCTGGAGGATTGGCTGGAGACGGTCAGGCTTTTGTGCTGCACCTAGCTGGCCAGGGTTCAATCCCTAGCATCCCATATGGTCCCCTGAACCTGCCAGGATTCCTGAGCACAGAGCCAGGTATAAGCCCTGAGTAATGCTGAGTGTAGCCCAAAAACCAAAACCAAACTACCCCCATGAGGCTCGAGGGTTGAATAGTGGGTAGGCCTGCTTGCCTTGTACGTGGCTGACCCAGGATCCACCCCCAGCACCCCATATAGTCCTCGACACACTGCCAGGAGTAAGCCCCGAGCACCACTGGGTGTGGGTCCCGCCCACAACCAGTCTCCTCCAAAAAACCCAACAATAACAACAACAACAAAAAAACACTGCAAAGTTTGGATAAACACCAGTTAGGAAAGGAAGCTATTCCGTATTATAGTGTTTCTAGAAACAAAACGAAACAGATATAAAGATAATAAGCAAAGTGTTACCTGTGGAAGGCTTGTTTCTGGGTCCCTGGGTCTTCTGGGATTTGGGAGGGAGGGGGAGCTGAGAGAGATTTCTATTGCACAGAGGAGCCGTCATCGGCATATGAAAAACCTAGGCGAGAAGAAGCCGTGAGCGACACTGCCTGAAGGTGTCCGCGCTGCACTCCTAGATCCTCAGTCTTACCTGCCGAGGAGGAGCCGAAAAGGTGTTTCCACTCTGTCCAACCACAGACACAGGGATCATCCCCACCATTCCTTGAAGTACAGGCTGCACTGGAGAAGCAATTATGATGGCAGAGCCTAAAAATGATTTCCCATTAATGCTTCTTGACTTCGCAGAAACACAAACAACAAAGAAATCATTAACGTGAAATAAATCCTGCAACGTGCCAAGACAGAGTACAGGAATAAGGTGCCTGCACTGCATCGGCCTGACCCTGGTTAGCTGTTCGGCACTACACGATCTCCCGAGCACTGCCAGCTGCGTCCTGGGTAAGCCTGCGCCTGCGTGGCGAACCAACAGCCAGCTGGTTGCGCGTGTCGGGAAGCAGCTTCACCGATCAACCTTTCCATCCAATCCGCACTAACATTTTAGAAATGACGATCGCGGCCCACAAAATGGAATCTGAACTTTAACTCAAGACACTAAGATAGATGAATAAGCTTAAGATCCCTGAATCAGACTCTGAAACTCGATTCCTATAAACCGGGAGTGGGGAGGACCTGGCGAACCAGGGGTTCTGGTTCTGGTTCTGCTGTGTGACATACACCTTGCTTTGCACTGGCTGCCCCGACCTTCACAGCGTGTTCATAGCCAGATGGCTCTGGCTTAAAGAAAAGGTTCCTGACCCTGCTCTCAAAAAAATAGGAAATGAGAAAATGAGGGGAGGGGGTGATCTGTTACAGAGACAGCACAGCGGGAAGGGCACCGGCCGTGGACAACATGAGCTCTATGCCTGGCACCCCAAGTACTGCCAGGTGTAAGCCCTGAGCCCAGAGCCAGGAATAATTGCCAGGTGTGGCCAAAATACCAAAACCGAATCAATCCTACTCAGTAACTGTGCACTCGGAGAAATTAGACACCATTCTAGACAAATGAACTTCAGTATGTCCCCTTTTCCCCCCAATGATAAGAGGAAAGAGTCCTGTCCCCCATAGCAGGAACACTGGCACACGCGTGAGCCCCTTCACTGAGCTGTTCAGGAGGCTGCTACTGTTACCTTGTGAAAAGTTGGGCGACACAGCCTGGCTGACAGCAAACACACCGTTCGACCTGGGGGGTGTCTGTAACTGAGGTGCTGGAGGCTGAGGGGGCACGGGTGCCGAGTTTCCAGGTAAGACCACCACATTCGACTGACTGACAGCTGCTCCTAAGGCTGCAGGGTCCGTCACACAGGTAGCTATCAAAATGTTACTTGAACTGCCAAATGTCGTGGTTGGAGTTGGCAGCAACTGTATAAACCCGGAGTCCTTGGAGACACACGATGCAGCATTAGGCGGACAAGCGGACCCGTCTTCAACCTGAGCACTGTTTGCTGCCGAGTCTGCAGGTTTGAGAGCCAGGAGACTCTGCTCCACCGAGGCCGAATCCCCGTCTCTTTCAGCAGATGAAGTTGCCGAGGAAACGGCAGGTGCGGCTTCTTCTGAAGACAGGCCTTTAACCAATTCTGCACTTTGGGAAGATGTCTTAGTGGAAGAAGAGGACAGAATTATTGTAGGCAAATTTTCCCCGCTGATACTAGAAACGGCACTGTTAAGTTCAGAATCAGAGGAGACAAACGGATCATCGCTGATGATAATTTTGAGAGAAACAATATTCGATCCATCCACCTCGTCTGGGCTGCTGCTAGCAGGCTTCGCCTTAGTACTCTGGGAGTCGGGGTAAGAATCTCCCACTGAAGAACTGACAGATTCTGAAGGAAGAGCTTGTCTGTCTTCTCCATGATCACCTTCGGGCGGCACCAACGCAACTTCCCCACAGCTATTTTCTGCTAAAGACAGAAAAATGTGATCTCCATTTTCTTTTATACACAATGAAGGCTCCTGCGAATCCGAAGGGGCTTTCTCAGACTTGGAGAACGGAGTTTCACGCTCTGGACTGTTGAGCTCAGCAGACAATGAACCATTAAGTGACTGTGTATTTGAAGATGCTGAATCCCCAGGGTGCAGTTCACTCTGTTGGTCAGAGACAGTTACACCTGAACTTTCAGCAGACACAAGTGTTTTATTTTGAAGTAAAGAATTCTCTTGGCAATCTGAATGTTGTGATGCAACCGATAACACATTATTATTAACTTCAGTTTTACTCTGGTGAATTTCACTGGAATCTGGTGACTTGGAACCAGGCTGATTAGTTTTAAGACTGCCTGTGTCAGTTGAGCTTTCAGAAAATTTAATGTTTTTGGATGGTTTTTCAGTTAGTGGAGCATTTTGAGATAAAAGTTGACTGCTTTTCCCAGACAGAATTAAATTTTCATTGTCAGCTTCACCGCCAAGGGAAACAAATGAAGTTACTGGTACGTCAGACTGAGCAGGCTGTAAATGAGATGTATTCTGCACGTCTGGACAGAGAGAACTCTTGTCAACTGCCAGAGCCATTTCAGCCTCAGTGGACATCTGGCTTGTGTATAATCCAGCACAACGTTGATTACATTCAGGATCAGAATTTGTTCTTTGGTTAAAGTCGTTCAAATCAGGCACAGATTCAAAGGTAATATCAAGATTACACTTTTGGTCGGCAGGAGCAATGACTTTAAAGGCCTTTTTCTGGATGCCAGGGCTTATTGGGGGAAAATGTTCCTGGGCTTCTGGTCTAAGCTCACGAGGGTTGTTGACATTATTCAAAGCGTTTGAGGTATCTTCATTTTGAAAGGATGTACAGAATGTGGGTCCACCAGATTGATAGTCTATAAAATATCAAGATGAAAGATATGGTAAACATGTATAGCTTGGAATAGTAACCTACAATCTATTTTGCCATGAAAGATAACAGTCTTTTACATCACAGTAAGTGCAACTCTCATTTTCTGAGTATCAACACACTTCAAAGATTTACCAATGAAATCAAGTATCGAATTATTTTTGAAACTTCTTGAAAACAGATGATACAACGAACGAAAATCTCCAGACTTATGAACGCCTATAATTACCAACATGTGAAAAAAAGAAAGGTTCCAAATAGCAACTTTTCCAAAAGTTGACTTTTCAACTCTTTTAATTTCTATTGGTGTTACCTGGTATTTTTAAAGATGTCATGAGACAAAGTATATTTTACACGACCTATATTTGATCCTATTGTGCACTGCTTAATATTTAACACATTAACCAAGTATCAACCACCTTGCTAGTACTCTGGTACTGTCCTCCTGTTGTTCATTGATTTGCTGGAGTGGGTACCAGTAACGTCTCCATTGTGAGACCTGTTGTTGTTTTTGGCACGTAGGGTACAATAATGAATCATCCAGTCTTGCCTTGACTACTGCCAACCTCAGTTCCATCCCCAGCACTGCCTATGGTCCCGCAGGGCAGACGGGGGACACTCCTGAGCACTAAGCCAGGAACAGCTCCTAAGCACCATTGGGCCACAAAATGAAAATCTAAATACTACTTAGAAAGCATTTCAGAAAATAATCCCACTGATATACCACCATATATTAATTACATTGAGGACAGAAAACATTAATGACATAAAAAAAATCAAGAAAAAAGTATATCGATCACCATTTAATTTTGATCATGTAGGAGTGGGAGGGAACAGATCTGAGTGGGGAGATTAGCCGATACTATCTCCACTGCTAAATTTAGAGGTGGTGAGTTTCAACACAAAGAAGACTATATAAGACAGATTTCACAGTTCCTTTCAGCAGAATGGAGGCTCAGCTGGAGAAAAATCTTCCACACATAGTAAATGGTGACAAAGACATACCCACACTAAAAGTCAGCTTAAAAACAATGGAGGTTAAGCTTGTTGGACGCAAGCAGAGATCAGAAAGGAAGAATCCTGAGATATTCTAAGACTAGTGTTGGAAGTAATGATGCGAAACCTGAAAGCTGCCAGAGGGTTTTTTAAGGCACTGGACCAAGTATTGGCATTTAAGAACAGATGAGCACGCAAGATTATTTTCGTAAAATCTGCGGTAGAACAAATGGACAGAGGTTGTTCAGTAATGCAGTAAAGGAACGTGTTTTAGCAGGCACTAAAAGATATTAGGATTTTGGTTATTTTTAAGGAGGAGGAATAAAAGGATTAGTGACCAGGAAGCTTCTGAGGTATTACTGGTATTCCATTTTTTCACTTGAGAGACGATGTAGTATGGGTGCCTACCTTCGCCAGAATCCAGTGAGATGCACATTTTAAATTCTTTTTGCATTTTAAGGGTTTTATTTGGAGATGGGTGGACACACCCACTCAGTGCTCAAGGAGTTATGTGGTGCCAAGGACTGAAGCAGGGTCAGGCTTGTGCAAGGAAATGCCTCATTCCCTGTACTCTCTCTCAGCTAGCTGCAAACAGGTCTTTTTTTTTTTTGATTTTCTGGGTCACACCTGGCGATGCACGGGGGTTACTCCTGGCTCTGCACTCAGAAATTACTCCTGGCGGTGCTTGGTGAACCTGGTGATTAAACCCGGGTCGGCCCTACCCACTGTTCTATCGCTCCAGCCCTGCAAACACGTTTATTGTACTCTTCTATGCATGGGTTATGTCTGATAATAACTTTTAAGAAGCTGACAGATATCAAAGATGAACTTATTCACACCTTCTCTCTTAGTTACTGAAGAATAATCATGCGCCACATTGGTAAAATATGGGTTGAAAATGCAAAGAACTTAGTTTTTCACATCAGGAACAGGAAGACCTGAAAGCCTCATAAACCCTTAATTCAAGACCATCGCTACAGTGATCAGCTAAAATTGCTAAGTTGTCTAAATAGTAATGCACACTGGAATGAAAGTTTGTGCCTCAACAGCTATTATTGATTTTTGTCAAACTGCCCAAAACTATGAACACCAAATTGTACAAGTCAATAACCTACAGCAAAATAGGAAAAAAAAAAAAAGATTCCAAAAATTTATCTTTAAATCAAGACTGAACTCTCGGGAAATTTTAATAAAGAGAAAAAAATAAAAATAATCTCTGCAATAATTTGAACACCCTTCAAATTATTTTCTGCCTTTAAGTGTTTGAAGACTAATATTAGGATTTGTATTAACAAAATCAAATTCTTACCAGATTCTTCTGATTTAAAAGAATCTTTAACTGCTACATTAGTTTCATCAGCTAAGACTAAACTGGGAATGGTTTCCACATGCTGTACAGAAATGCCTTGTGAAATATTTTTATTATTCTTTGTTTTACCTGTTAAAAAGGGAAACAACTCGTTAAATCACCCCTCCCCCCCAAAAAATTAGTGTTAATTACTATAACTTAGCAGTGATAAGACAAATGTTAAAATTGTGGCTTCAATCACAAACTTCTAGATTTACTAATTTTGTTTTTTTATAATTATCATTTAAGGGCATGGGCAGTGTCACACCCAGCTCTGCTCAGAGCTTACTCCTGGCAGACTGGGGGACCATATGAGGTGGTGGGGATCAAACCTGGGTTGGCCTAAGCACAAGGACAGCGCCTTGAACTTTGTACTGGTTCTACTGCTCTGGCCCCACCTCTGCATTATTTTAAAGCTGCATTATTTATTACTGAAGTGTGCAGATTTTCTACCACTTTGTTCCTCAGGCCTCCTGGGGATGGGCGGGGGGTGGTCGGTGGGCCCCATTCCTGGAGAAACCTGCCAAACTGCTCAGGGCCGATAGTGTGGGCTGGACACCTCTGACCTCGTCTGGGGCTCAGGCTCATGTGCCATCCCTTGAGCTGGCTCCCAGACACTAAACCAGTCGTTCTTCTGACACTTTTTCTTTGCAGTGGCAGGTACTGCACCTGTATTTTCACACAAGCACGACAAATGCTTTGCACCAAGCTACATCCTGGTTCTCAGACTAATGGTTTTTACATATGGCCTGTGTCAGAATCACCTTAAAATCAACTTATTAGCATCATCTCAGTATTCTACGATGATGTCAGTCTGTGGGAGGGCTACAACATTAGGCAGTTGTACTGAGGGCAAAGGTGAATTTTCCCATTCTTTCCATATGTATAATCGTGCTCAGTATGAAGTTCATGCAGGAGTAGACCAGAACACATTTAGGCTGACTGGCACAAATGTCCACAAGAACAAAACAGAAAGCTAAAGTTTAAGTCAGAACTGGGGACAGGACTGTGGAGATGGCTGAACAATTAAGGGTGATGGTGTCACACAAGTCTGAAGGCCAGCACCAGATATTCCCCGGAGCACTGCTGGGGGTTAGGGGCAGCATCACAGGGCCCGAGCAGCTCCACATCGTAAAGCCCAGTGCAAAGATGGCCCACGGGGCTGCAGAGCATGCTTGGCATGTGGGAGACCCGGACCCAATTCCTAGGATCACAGGGTGCCCCAAGCAGAGAGCTGGGGGGGAGCCTCTGAGCATGAGCTGGGTATGACCCAAGAGACAAACTAAAAACCACAAAGCCAAAAACTAGTCAAAGCAACAACAACAATTCTTTCTCTACTGAATGTTTGGTTTAATAAGAATAGGAACTTTTTTAACAAAATAGGAGACTAACACCCAAGAGTGGCCGAGATTAGTACCAGGAGTTTTGCTCCATGGCTTGGAGGCCAGCCACACACTCTAGGGGAAAAGGGAGCTCAGATAGAGAAAGGAGCACCAAATAAAGGGTGTTGGGAGGATCCTCCCAGGATGGGAGAAGCATGCTGAAAGTAGGCTATAGACCAAACATGATTGCCACTCAATGCCTCTTTTGCAAACCACAACACCCAAAAGGAGAGAGAGAACAAAAGGGAATGCCCTGCCACAGAGGCAGGGTGAGATGGGGGAAATGGGGGGGTGGGAGGGACACTGGGACCCGTGGTGGTGGAAAATGGACAATGGTGGAGGGATGAGTGTTTGATCATTGTACAATTGAAACCCAAGCACAAAAATTTGTAAATCTACAACTGTACCTCATGGTGTTTCACTAACAAAAATTAAAAAAAAAAAAGTAAATGATGGAGAATGGGCACTGGTGGAGAGATGGGTACTGGATCATTGTATAACTGTAACCCAAGCACAAAAAATTTTAAGTCTACAACTGTACCTCATGGTGTTTCACTAATAAAAATTAAAAAAAAAAAAGAATAGGAACTTTTTCATCAAAAGAGACTGTCTACTGACCGTAGTCAAAAAGATCAAACAACGCTTGAAACGCTGGATCGGACTCAGTCTGCTCCAATATATCCTGGATAACTTCTTCCGACATGTGGATTTCATTCTGGGGGGGAAAAAAAAAAGAGAAGCAAACCTGGCTTAGTATGATTTAAGATCAGCAAAATAATTAAGAGGGTAAGTCAGGAAGTCACTACAGATCAGACCAACATTTGCAGTGGGGTCTGACTACAAGCAGCAAACCCAGAGATGGTCAGTGAAAAGCCTGGAGGGGAAACGATGCTACAGACAACCCCCTAACCTTTTTTCTTTTTTTTTGCACGTGCTTGTGTGTGTGGGTCAAACCAGACAATATCGAGGGACCACGCCCAGCAATGCTCAAGGGACTCCAAGCAACACCAAGGTGCGCCACGTGTAAAGCAAACGCCAAAACCCAGCCCTCTTCAGCCCAAAATAACATTTAAAAAACCACATTTAGTCAAATTTCATGTAAAGTTGATGCAAGTGATTTTTTTTTAATTGAAAAGACACGAATGTGCGTAAGAATGAAATTTCATGTAAAGTTGATGCCAAGTGATTTTTTTTTTTTTTGAAAGACACGAATCAGTGTAAAAATGAAAAGCAACATCGGGGAAGGTGGTGCAGAGGTTCAGGCTTCTGCCTCTACGGGGCTGACGCCGGCAGGAGGAAGGCCTAAGCATCACCAGGTGTGGCCCAAAGACTCACAAGTATTTTAGAAATCCCTACCCCACTTACCTGTTTACTTCTTAATGAAACTAACGCATACACAACTCAGCTGGGCCCTGCCCCTTGCTTTTAAAGTTACTCTGGTGGCTCGAGAGAGTTGTGCTGTGCACTTGCGGCGCAGCATGGCGATCCCTTACCTGTCTCCTCCAGCAGAAGAGGGTTTGGTCTTCATACTGCCCGGACATCCCTAGCCTGATGTTCTGCTTCTACTTGGGAATGGAAGAGAAGGCAGAGCCCCTCCCTGTCAGGGAACTCCCAGCCGCCTCCACAACTGACCTGCTCGACATTCAGGGCCCACAGCACCTGAGGCGTGCGACAGCATGGCAGAACTGCTTGACAAATCACATGCTGTTATACTTCCAGCTATTTGGTGAAGATGGGCAGAAAAGAAAGAGAGCGACCTCCAGCTTAATCCCTCAGCATCTTGCGCGGGGTGGGGAGGTGTTACAAGGCTCACCCCAACACAGCAAGGACCCCACATAACTAATGGGGAAAACCTGGAGAAGCCCACCAAGCCAATGAGGGAAAACAGGATCACCGAAGGCACAGACAACACCAACCAGCTCAGAAAATCCTCAGACGTTGTCTTTAGTGGCACCAGGATGAGGATGTTCAACGAGCTCAAAGAAATAACAGCACAGGCAGTCTGCAAAGTACAAGTACGAGTTGAAAGGGAAAAAAACGACAATCGGAAATGACAGAAATAAAAAGCACTATAGGTGATGTAAAAAAATTAGTAGAAGCTCTGAGTAGCAGACTGACGGCTGCAAAGTGAAAGATCAAGGAGATCCAAGATACAAAGAAGAAAACTTCTAGGAAACCCAAGGTGAAACTAGTCTGAGAATAAAGGAACAGCATGACAGAAGGCTATTGGAAGAACGACGCAAGAATCATCAGTCAACGAAGAAAAGAAAGGCAAATGTGATGAAGAAACAATAGTTAAAGAAATCAACTAGGAATTTCAGGAATTTCTTAGGTGGGATAAGAGTGTCTGCCTTAGAGGCAGGCGGGAGCGGAGCTGGGGATGGCAGGGAGCACTGGTGGTGGGAAATGTGAACTGGGTGGTGTTGGAACATTGCATGACTGAAATCCAATTATGAATAGCTTTGTAACTGTGTATCTCAAGGTGACTCAATTAAAGGAAAAAAAAAGTGAGTTTTTCATAGTTGAGGAAGATAGGAACCAAGCTCCAAGAAGCTGAAGGGTTCCAGCGAAAACAGACACAACTAGGAAGTCCACGACACATCACATTCAAAATGTGATAGAGACATTAAAAGCAGCAAGACTAAAAGAGGAACTCAGATACAAAGGGAAGCCCATAAAATGAACATGAGATCTAGCAAATGATCGCTTCTTGGCCTTTTGGCTAAGATCAAGTGAGATCTATCCAGTGAGACTCTACAAGTCAGAAGAGCAGGACTACGAAAACTCAAAAAAACGAGCACCTCACCAATACCCTACCAAGCTAGATTATCACTCAGATTTGATGAAGTGAAACAGAGCTTCATGGACAGGCAGCAGCCTAGGAAATGCAGAGACCTGAGACCAATTTTGCAAGAAGCTTCTTTAAAGGACAGGAGACACTTTCCCACTTATGGCAAAAACCAACGGTGCCTATAGCTGACTTCTACCAGATTGAGAAAGGTTAAAAACACAGCAATCAATCATCACGAAAAGATTCTTACAGATTTGTTTTCTGACAATTCCACTTGCCATTGCTTTAAGTTTTGCTGGAGCAAGTACTATGAAATAAATTTGTATATGCCTGCCAGGGAGGCAGGCAGACTGGAGAGTAAGAGGGAAACTGGATACACTGGTAGTGGGATTGATGTTGAAACTGTCTGCCTGAAAAACTCTGTTATGAACAGCTTTGCAAAACACGGTGTCTTAATAAAATAAAAAACACAAATACCCATTAAATCTTTCACTATAAAGTGACTTAGAAATTCATAAATGGCAGTTGTGAATGTGAATGTTTTATTTATATATGAAAGAGCTGATTAGTTAAGTAGGTTCATTAAATTTTATTTTTTACCTTTTAAAAAATTTAAGTTACCATTTAAAAAAATATCAACTGATAGTCTTCTTTTTGGTTTTTGGGCCACACATGGCGATGCTCATGGTTCACTTCTGGCTATGAGCTCACCAGAGATCACAGTTGGCGGGCTCGGGGAGCCATACGGGTTGCCAAAGATTAAACTTGGATCTGCCACGTACGAGGCCAAGTGCCCTCCCTACTCTAGGTCCTGAAATTTTTCAGCAAACCCATTTTACTCAAAAGATGAACTTTATTAATTCAAATCACTTTGAATACATCTCTTTGGCAGTCATTCTGAAAGACAGCAAAATATGATCCATTATGAGTACAACTGAATTTTCACACACCCAATCGTCCCATACCTGAAGTCCCAAGAGTTCATCAATTGAAGCCTCCGGCTCAGTGCGGTCGCTGTCTGTTTGCTTAGGTGCTTGAGCAATATTATTGTCACTGCGATATGGCAAAACAAACAAACAAAACACAACACTTTTAGTGCAGTTCTCAATTAAGCAAACCAATTATGCAGCTTATTATTATTATTTTCTTTTTGGGTCACACCCGGCGATGCTCAGGGGTTACTCCTGGCTCTGCACTCAGGAGTTATTCCTGGTGGTGCTCGGGAGACCATATGGGATGTTGGGAAATGAACCCGAGTTGGCTGCGTGCAAGGCAAACGCCCTACCCGCTGTGCTATCGCTCCAGCCCCCTATGTAGCTAATTTTTGTCTTAGATTTGTGGCACACCCAGGGTGCTCATATCTCAGTGCTCAACGGCCACTCTTGGCAGTGCTTGGGGTAACCAGTGGTGTTGGGAATTGAACGTGAAGTCAGCCCATTAAGTTATCACTTTGGCCCCCCAATTAGGTTATCTGAAATACATAGCTTACCTGGTTAAAAATTTATTAATATTTTCTGCAAGCTTTTCTTGGAGAGATTTGTTGCTTAGTATTTTTTCACGTGCATTTTCAATAACCATTTGCTGAAGAAGAAACAAGTATTAGCGAAAAGGATTGGTTATATACTTAACCAAAAAAATCAACAAAAGCTTCTTGCCCTGTCAAGACCACGAGTCGCCCCCACGAGCGGCTCTCCAGCACGGCCAGCCCCAGGGGCACACGGACCTAATTCGGAACCCAGCAGCTTCCGGCAGAAAGGATTATCCATTAAGCTATGGTGGTGTGCCCCCCGGCCCTTGGGAGGGAAAGGGTGTCTGTTTCTTCTGCCAACACCCCCCCACTCCCGGCATGGTGGCCGCCGCCTCAGAGCTTACTGGACAGCCAGGCATGAGCCAGCGGTGATGGGGCAACTGCGGCCTCATGGGATGTGGGGCGGAACCAGCATGTCCTACTTGCCCCGCTGAAACCAAGAGTTGCCCCCCGCGAGCAGTTCTCCGGCACAGCCATGGACCCAGAGGCACACGAACCAATCTCAGAACCATTCGGCTTTTGGCAGAAATCCCTCCAGATTTAACTAGTAAAATATCAGAAATCCAAAATCGCGTGGCCACTACCGCAGCCTCGGGACATCATATATATGGTCTTCATAACCAGCAACAGAAAACAAATTATTTCATGATGCCTTTTCAGCAGGTTTGATTGTCGAGGGAAAATGTCAAAAATTTAATAATGGTGTATGTTTTATCAAAATAATGTAATCAAAGTACAGAGAGTTAAGTGGAAATCATCTGCCTCACAGGCACGGGGAGGGGTGGCATGGGGGGTATATTGGGGTTCTTGGTGGTGGAAAATAAGCACTGGTGAAGGGATGGTGGCCACTGTATGACTGAGACTTAAACCTGATAGCTTTGTAACTGTTCTCATGGTGATTTAATAAATAAATTTAAAAAAATCAACAAAAGCTGTGTAATTCTTAAATTTAGCATAAACTCAGAAGTTTTGATGGTTTATTCCATAACCACATTTTCAAATTAGAGTCCTCATAGATCCTTCTCTAACTGGGCTCACTTATACATTTTTTTAAGCACAGAAAAATTTTATTGGAAATCTCGAATACATCTTAAAGTATGTAGCACTGTGGCACTGTCCTCCATCGTTCATCCATTTGCTCGAGAGAGTCCAGTAGCGTTTCCATTGTGAGACTTGTTGTTACTGTGTTTGGCATATCAAATACGTCACGGGGAGCTTGCCAGGCTTTGCCGTGTGGGCGAGATACTCTCGGTAGCTTGCAGGGCTTAGAGTATAGCTCAATACTTCCAACAAGGTGGGCTGGAGGAGGGAGAGGGTGCTCGTCTGGGCACGGGACACACACAGGTGACTGCTGCCAGGCTTGTCAGCTGGGTTCACTTTTAACTACAGGTAGTTAAAAACTGTGGCTTTTCATGTAAGGTATATAATAATCTGTCTCCAGTAAAATGCTCTATTTCACGTCATGATTTAGCAACAATTTTCCTATATTATTTCTTGTACCTTTTTACATTACCAGTCCCCCCCCCCCCAATGTTTTAAATTTTTTTGCCTTTTGGGTCACACCCGATAATGCTCAGGGGTTTACTTCTGTACTCAGGAACTTCTCCTGGCGGTGCTCAGGGGACCATATGGGATGCTGGGGATCGAGCCCAGGTTGGCCGCGTGCAAGGCAAACGCCCTCCCCGCTGTGCTATCACTCCAGCCCTTCATTAACCGTTCTAAGTACACTGTACTTACTGTTGAACTTTGTCCCTGTTCCGAGGCACTTCCACTGCCCAATCTTAATAGGAACACTAAAATATGTATGCACACACCATGCACACCCATTTATGTACATATTTAAAACTCAGGAAAAGTCACAAATTGCAAACTTGGGGAAGCTCACTTACTTTTTCCACTGCAAATGCATTTGGATCCTGGAAATTCCTTATTGTTGAATGAGGCCCAGATAAAGTGATACCCTTCCTTTGAGATTCACTGGAACACATTTTAAAAGACTGCTTTTTACCAAGTGTAATAATAGATTCAAAGATAATTATTAATCACAGATACATATATAAACCCTAAGATCATGGTAGCACTGTAGCACTGGCCTCCCGTTGTTCATCGATTAGCTCGAGCAGGCACCAGAAACGTCTCCATGGTTAAGACTTGTTGTTTTTGACATACTGAATATGCCACAGGGAGCTTGTCGGGCTCTGCCATGCGGGAGGGATATCTTGGCAGCTTGCCGGGCTCTCCGAGAGGGACGAAGGAATCGAGCCCGGGTCGACCGCGCACAAGGCAAACGCCCTATCCACTGTGCTATTGCTCCATAGAACAGACAATTTGCATGCGTGGCAATGAAAGGTACGAGAACGTCAAACATTAGAACAAATTAGAGGTCAACTCTAGCCACCTAGTTTCTTCCTTATTTTTGACTTAGAGCTTGCTCCTGGCTCTGCACTGATGGATCACTCCTAGGGGACCATACTGGGTACTGGGGATCGAATCTAGGTCAGTGACATGCCAGGGAAGAGCCATCCAGGCTGTACCATCGCACCAGCCCCGAATCACTTAGCTATTTTATCTACAGCAACGTTAAACTCTGATCCTCTGACCTACTTTATGAGCACAAGACTGGAGACTGAAAGAAGTACTAAGAAAAAGTCAGGATTTTTACAGATATTAAATATCAGAGCAATGTTACATTTTATGTGGTTAAGTGATAAAGCATGAAGCAAAGGAGACTGAGCGAGTAAGCAGGAATGGCAGCTGAGAACACAGAAAAATCAATTTTAGGGGTCAGACTGCACTAATGGCAGCTGAGAACACAGAAAAAATCAATTTTAGGGGTCAGACTGCACGCCTGAGCAGCAGGGCCACTAGGCAGCGGTGTGGGAAGCGGTAGTGGCAGTGTGTGGTCCTCATGCTCACACCCATGTCCCACAGGAAAGCCTGTTTGGGGGCAATCTCCAGTGGTGCCAAGGACAAAACCTAGAATTCCTGTGTGCAAAGTAAATGCTCTAGCCCTCTAAGCTATACTCCTAGCTGCCAAAAATTAAATGGAAAACTAATCGCTTTCAGTTCTGAAAGAGTCTCAAACAAAGACGTATGGGTTAAGTAGGTCAGAAAAACCCTTGGATCAAGAAATATCTCTGAAGAGATTTCCATCAATTGATTAAATGCATACTGAAGTAGAATAATGCTAGTATTATTTATATTCATTTAAACATACTTCCAATAAAATGGTACCATGCAACTGTTTTTTTTTGTTGTTGTTGTTTTTTGTTTTGTTTTGTTTTTTTTTGCAACTGTTTTAAGAGGCAATCTAATTCAAGGAAGGTTAGAATGTGTGTGGGGGGGTGGGGGGGAAGGGGACTTGGGAATAAATACAACAGCACCAAGAAACTTGGCTATTTACAACATAAATATCTTAGAATTATTTTTCAAAAGAGTTTGGAAATTGACATTTACCTTTTGCGTCTACCAGGAGACATTAAACTGACATGGTTTTTCTTTTCTTGAGGGCCAGGAATGATATTTAAAGTCTCTCCAGCTACATTTCAGACAATGATGGTGAGGCAAGAGAACAGAACAATTTTCTGAACATCAGCGTTTCTTAACGATGATTCTATATTAAATTCTATTAGTATATACAACAGTATAGTATATATACTATACAACACTATAGACAATAAATACAATCAAAGTGAAAACCTTTAGGTTTTACAATAACAAATTACAGTCTCAAGTAAAAAAAAACACCAATCCATGGTCGTTTAAACTTATACTTCAGCCATCTTAAGAGCTTATTTTTGGGGGGCGGACCTCCCAAGAGATGTTCATCAGGCCCAAGGGTCACCAGTAACTGGATTAGTGTTTCAGTATGCGTTACTACTAGGGCCCAGGAATGGAAGGGACCATGAGAATCACCCAGCAATATTGAGAGGGCCTGCAGGGCCATGTGTGATAATGCTTGGGAACTCTGGTCTACACCCAGTGATGCTCAGGAGGTTACCTGATGCTGGAAATCAGATCAGGGTGGGGACATACTTTCTATCTCCCCACACCTTGAAGTGCAAATGAATGTCTTGGCCTTTATATCAGAGAGGTAGCACAGCAGGTAGGATATTCACCTCACCTGGGCCAAACCGAGTTCAACACCCAACATCTCAACTGGTGGTGCCCCAAGCACCACCAGGAATAATTCCTGTGTGAAAAGCCAGGAGTAATCTCTGAGCACCACTGGGTGTGGTCCCCAAAATAACCAAGCCAAAAAAAAAAAAAAAAAGAGTTCAATTTGTGCTTTAGTTAGAAAAATCCCATATTAGGGGCCAGAGAGAGAGAGTACAGCTGATAAGGAGCTGGACTTGCCAGGTGTGGCCCAAAATCCCAAAGGGAAAAAGAAGAAAAACAATCCCTAATTGAAATAATCATTTGTGTGTGTGTGTGTGTGTGTGTGTGTGTATTTTGGGCTACACCAGCTGTGCTCAAGATATGGGGTGCAGGGATCAAACCTAGACTGTCTGCATGCAAGGCAAGTGCCACCCGCTGTACTATGGCTCCAGTACTTAAAATATCTGAGTTTATAAGATGCTTATTTCATGGCAAATCTATCTAAGTTTATTCTACTATCCCAAGATTATTTCATGATAAATTTTATAAGTATAAAAACACTAGCATATCACCTCACTTACAAAATCCAATTAAGGAGAGAATTAGTGCAAAAGTTTATCTTACTGTTCACAGTGTCTTGAGACTGTGAGTGGTTGACCACAACAAAATTTGACCTTAAAGGAGCTGAAATTTGCCCAGTTGGCCTAATAACTTGTGCGGCTGTTACAGGAGAAGCAGTAAACTGTTCTGAAATAGAAGGTAAAGGCAGCAACTCGGAACTGGCAGTTGTTGTCTGAGATGCAAGTCGTCTCTGTCGCTTGATCTCAGCGATTCCATTTCTTGTCCGGACTGAAACACACAAGAATTCAAACGGACCCGACATCAGAGTAGTGGGGGTGTTTTAAAGACAACCTCATGCTATATACTCTAGTATTTGATAAGTGAGCTCCACAGTTCATAGTATAGATTAATATCAACCGAGTTCATGTGATAATTTTATAAGAGGAAATGAAAGTGAGTGCACTCTAGAGTCCATTTCTTAATAACTCTAGAATCCATTTCTTAATAATTCATACCAATATCACTTCCACAAATTAAAAGCAAACATGGAATGGTAATTAAAAAATGAGTCATCTCAACTGAAGCAAGTATTCTTTATAATACACAAAAATACTATATCCTAATGTATATTTAGATAAGTAGTGAGTTTATACAATACATACTTAGCACACGTGAATTGCTAAAAATGTTCATCTGGTTCATTTTTTAGTTTGAAAAAGTTCCAAACATTATTTATAAAACTTAACATGAATACTGACCTCTCTGATTAGCAGCAAACCCTGGAGAATTTTGCATGCTCCTAACAAAACAAAGTAGTTAGCAATTATAAAATTTGTTGCTAGGATATTCTTTTATTTCACTAGATACAGACTTGAAGTAAATTATGATCAAAATGCAATATATGTCTCTGACATACACAACTAATTTCTTTAGAACAAGTGTCATTTAAACACAAATAATTTTAACAACCAACTTGTCTTAAACCATTTGAGGGGCCGAAGCAACAGAGCAACAGATATGATGCTTGCCTTGAGCTGGGTTGGATCCATGACACCTCTTATGATCACCCAAGTCTTGCCCTAAGTGCAGCTAGGAATCACCCTGAATATAGTTGGGTGTGGCCCTAGATCTAACGGGGAAAATCCCCCAAAATACCTCACCACAATTTGATCTGACTGCAGGAACTCTATATATTAAAAGAAGATTTAAAAAGCCCCATAATGGGGGCTGGAGTAATAGCACAGCGGGTAGGGCATCTTGCACGCGGCCGACCCGGGTTCGATTCCCAGCATCCCATATGGTTCCCTGAGCACCACCAGGAGTAACTCCTGACTGCAGAGCCAGGAGTAGCCCCTGTGCATTGCCAGGTGTGACCCCCCCCCACAAAAAAGCAAAATAAATAAATAAAAAGTCCCATAAAAGCCATGTAAAACAAGATCAATTATCTTCTGTGTCTCTATTTCAAAGTTATCCTCCAGAGCAAAGTTGATTGCATGGGAGGGACTCCTTAAGTGCATACGCATTTTAAAACTCCCAAGATGGGGACCGAGAGACAGTAAGAGGTGAAGGTGCCTGCCTCACACTTGGCTGCTGGCCAGAGCGGTAGGACAGTGGGTAGGGCGCTCACCTCACATGTGGCTGGACCCCATTCCCTACAGGAACCTCGTTCTCATGCACACAGAGCTGGAAGCAGGGACCACGCACCATTGAATTTGGCCCAACTCTCCCGCTGCCACCGACCTCCCACCGAAAAAATTGCTAGTGCTAACTTCAAGATAAATTTTGCCTTTATCTGGTTTGTTTAATCAAAAATCTATACAATTCTTAAAGGAGGGGAAAAAAACAGAAAAAAAAATTCATTACTATAAGCTGGTTGTCCTGTATAATAGCATAACCCAAGTATCTGGGAAACAAGCAGACACTGTGCCACTGACCTAGAGAAATCTGTCACAAAGTCCATCAACGAGACTACACGAGCTGGCCGGAAGCGCTTGCCTTACAGGAGGCAACTGCTGACACCGCACATGGTCACATGAGCACCATGACGAGTGATCCCTGAGCATGCCCAGGTAGGGTCCCCAATCAAGAAAACTACAAACAAAAACGGACCCACAAAAAGTGCACTGGGGCCAGAGAGCTCAAAGGGCTAGTGCCCGTGCTTGGGGTGAGCAGCCTGGGTTTGATACTTGAGTAACCCACCGGAGTGCCCCCCCAACAACAAATCTGATGAATCAAATATCATTGTTGGTAGCACATAACCTTAGCAAATATATTCCTAAGAATCTTAGTATCATGTTGATAAACTGTCTCAATTTCTATGTATTTGTAAGAGTTCACAAAGTCCTGATTTTTGGGTTTTTTTTTTGGCTTTTTGGGTCACACCCAGTGATGCTCAGGGGTTACTCCTGGCTGATGCACTCAGGAATTACTCCTGGCAGTGCTCAGGGGACCATATCGGATGCTGGGAATCAAACCCGGGTCGGCCGCATGCAAGGCAAAAGCCCTACCTGCTGTGCTGTCACTCCATTCCCCAAAGTCCTGGTATCTTTAAAGATTATTTTCAAGAGGAAAAAACACAAAAATCAGCAAAGGGGAATAAAGATTAAGACAAACAAATAAGATATGACAGAGTTAAAAAGTATGTGCATTGGGAGCTGGAGCGATAGTACAGCAGGTAGGGCATTTGTTTGCACATGGCTGACCCGGGTTTGAGCCCCAGCATCTCATATGGACCCCTGAGCCCTGCCAGGAGTAATTCCTGAATGCTTAACCAGGAGTAAACCTTGAGCATTGCTGGGTGTGACCCAAAAAGCCAAAGGGGGTTTAAAAAAGAAGTATACACATTCAACGAACTTCAGCTGAGGAATAAGATAAGAATGCTGGGGCTGGAGCAACACAGAAGGTAGGGGTTTGCCTTGCATGCAGCCAACCTGGGTTCAATCCCCAGCACCTCATTTATATGGTTCCCTGAGATGCCAGGAATAATTCCTGTGTAGGGGGGAAAGATTATAAAAAAAGAGAATGCTGGTGAATTTAAGTGGGGTCTTCACTTATTGGGAGCTCTGGGTGCAAAGACTATGGATTTCTCCTCGGCACCAGAAGGGTGGCCAGTAGCCCCAGGGCCCAGTTCTTACAGTTCTTGTTGATGGACCGTGTGACAGGCAGAAACATATCCTCGGGCCCCCGTGCATTGAACCACTAGCTAACATTGGCAGTCAGGTTCCTGGGACACAGGATTATTACTTAGGAGGACCCCCTTAAAAAAGAGACTCTGACTTTCAAACCAGTTAAATAAAAAATGTTAGAAGGAACATTTTGTCAAAAGTTTAGACATCCTTTCAAGGATGCTGAAACTGGCATTTCCAGGTCACAGGAACTCTCTCAAAGTCTAAGTTTCAGGAAGCAGCATTCTGTAAACTTGTTCTTTACAGGCAAAGAAGAGAGGGAGTGGATGTGGAGAATCAATTCTCCTCATAAGTTATGAAGACTCAACTGGCTAAGGAAACTTGCAACAGACTGGGACTAGACCTGGGACTAGGTTTGTCTTCTGGTCAGAGTGCTACCTCTAAATCGCTTTAAGACTTTGGGAGCGTAACTGAATCTCCTGAGGTCTCAACTTCCTCTTGTCTAAACATTTTGAACATTAAAGCACGAGGTCACTTTCAGAGTATTCCAGCCAAAAAAAGGAGTTCAGTATCCTCTAATAACTTCAGTACTGTCCAGTACCACATAACGCACTCGGTGGGTTATAAGATTTAAACAAACAATTCTCGCATTTCGAAGTGCTAATCTAATTAATTTGAGCGAATCTGATCTGCAAACTCCCTATTACCTGATCTGAGAAAGCGTGTGGTCTAGCTTCTTCCACAAAGATGACATTATTGCTGGCACATCATTTGTTGTTTCTAAATCAAGAGAGAAAAAGTTTCTTAATAAATCCAGCTGGAAAAAAAACCCCTATTATTTAATTTGAACAAAGGTGAAAAAAACCACAACTAAGAAGTCAATCTGTAAAATGACCTATGCCCAGGAGGCTCTGCTCCCCGACCTCAAGCCAGTCAGTGTCATATACACCAAGTCTAGAAATGGAGGCCAATGGGGTCTCTCAAGCTGATCAAAGGGTAGGAATCTATGCAGGAAGATTCATAGCCTCTGTCCTGGGGTCTATCCTTGGGCACCACCAGGAGTGACCCACAAGCATAGAACTGGTAGCAGCCCCTGTACCTTGCTGAGTGTAAACATCACCCGCTACTACCAAATGCTAAAAAAGGGAAAAATTTTAAATCTCTGGCCTGTTTGGTGTCACATGACATCTGAAAGTGAAACAGAAAAAAAAAATGAGACTAGGAGATCACTCAAAGGGTTGGAGGGCATGTTCTGCAAGTGTAAGCCCTGGGATGGCCCAGACCCCCGAGTACCACTGGGTCCACTCCAAACAGCCGGCTCCTTCCCGAATCATTTTTGATTCGTTGTAATTATCACAAAGGCAATGTACATTCCTGAGTGTATAAACATGTTTCCATATAATGCTTTATGTCTAAATCACTGATAACTCAGGAGCCCTTCACATGAGTGTGAAGTTAGTTACATGTGTAACTAAGAATTATAGGTAAAATTCCTGAGGACAAGCACTTTTTTTCAGAATGTACTCTAAAGCTACAAGGATGGGAAATTTATACTTAAATCCTTGGGTCTAGAGAGATAGCACAGTGGGTAGGACAGCTGCCTTGCAGGTGGCCGACCCGGGTTTGATCCCTCCCAGAGACCTGCAAGGGATGATCTCTGAGCACCATCCAAAAACAAAGCAAAAAAGGGTACATACCCATGGGGGGCACTGAGTAATTTTTTTTCTGAAATGGGGGCAATAGGGTCAAACAAGGTCCAAACAATACTTCTCACTCCTTTATGGACCATGAAAACAAGATATCACTAAGCACAGAATTATAGAAAACACTACGTGTTACTTATTTTGTTTTATCATTTTGTGCTAATTCTTTAATGTTAAAAGTGATACTGGAGGAGGCCAAAGCGGGGGCACAGCAGGAAGGTTGTTTGCTTTGCATTCGGCCAACCCAGATTCAATCCCTGGCATCCCATATGGTCCCCAAGCACTGCCAGGAGTAACCCCTGAGCATCACCGGGTATAACCCAAAAAGGAAAAAAAAAAAAAAGAAGTGATATTCGATGATGGAAAAATTTCCCCACAAGATGTAATTTAGAAAGGCTATAAAAAAAAATTTCTCCCGGGTTTGTGTGCCACATACAACAGTGCTCAGGGATCCCGCTTGACAGTGTGCAGTACCAGGGAGGCAAGCCCTCTCGCCCCCCCCCCCCCCCCCATCTCTTTTCAGTGCCAAAAAGCCCCATCTCTTTTCAGTGCCAAAAAGCATTGTTTTGCATGCAACAACCAAGGGATCAATCCCTAGACAGGCTGGCAGCAATCCCTAAGCATTACGCTGAGACACAAGTAGCCCCAGTACATGAAAAGAGAAGGATAAAACAATCTCTCAGAATTCCGCAGTGAGTGACTACTCAGAACAGAGAGCCAGCTAAGAGTTTTTACTTTAACTTCAAACACTAGGTATTTTCCTGATATATATCCTTACTTCTGAAAACAATTTATTCATTGGGTAAAACATATTAGATATTTTTCAGTAAAACTAATATTAGCATAAGTGTTTTTACAAGCCATCAAAATCTTCTAAAAGTTCTAATCAAATAATAGTACTATACAAAAGAAAAATATCCCTAAACCTGTATTCTTACCTTTTGCTTTCATAGCTACGTATTCATTCAAAATTGTTGTCAGGTTTTTTCCAAACAGGGACTGGAGAGAGAAAAAAAGATCATTCTACCAAAACTGTACAATACTACCAGTAGTTTTCTAAAATAAAATAGTTCACTATATTAGTGAAAGATCTGGAAGGCACAGTAGCTAACAGAGGGTAAAGAGGTGCCTGGAGAGCCCAGTGGGACCTCGCGCAGCAGGAAGCAGGGTCTCATCTGCGCATGCTCTGTGGTCTTCAGCGCCTCATAGTCTGCGAGCAGCCCCTGGGCGCCGAAGCAAAACAAAAGCCCCCAAATCCCAAAACAAACCCCTGAGAGGGTAAAGAACAATCATCAAAACCAACATCTTGAAAGAGTCCACATGTCAAACCTTCTAAGGGTAAAGAACCATGTCAATTGGGTTAAGACCTTTCAACTTTCTTTGGCTAAGGCAGAGTATCAGTTTCCACCCGGGATGCAGTCGCCCAATATTTAAAAATAAAAGCCACCCACTTTTTTTTTTTACAGTTGTAAACTTACAAATTTTTGTGCTTGGGTTTCAATTATACAATGATCAAGTACCCATCCCTCCACCAGTGCCCATTTCCCACCACCACGGATCCCAGTATCCCTCCCACCCCCCCCAACCCCCCATCCCACCCTGCCTCTGTGGCAGGGCATTCCCTTTTGTTCTCTTTCTCCTTTTGGGTGTTGTGGTTTCCAAAAGAGGCATTGAGTAGCCACCCACTTTTAACTCGACTTTTCTTCCCTGAAGGTAATATAAACCTGCCAAAGACCAAAGCAACAAAATAGGCAAGTGGTATCTTTCACAGCCACAAAGGGCGCTCAAAGGGCTGGAACACACACCTGCAGGTGACAGCCTCAGATGCCATCGCTAACATCGTCTGGTCCCCCAGGTACCAATGGGAGGTTGGGGGTCACATCTCAAGAGTGCTCAGGGGACACTGCTGTGCCTGGGGTCATACCTGGCTCTCAGCATGCACAGTGCGTACTATTTGCTGAACTATGGTCTTTTACGAAAATCTGCAAATCTGTTCTATCACTTTCTTTGCTGATAGGACTATCCTTTCTCAATATATTGTCTTTTCACTTCTGCCAAAAATCAATTATATATGTCTGCATTTGGATCCTCTATCTTATTCCACTGATCTGAGTGCCTAACCTTCCTCTAATGCCATTCAATCCTCACCATCTCTAGTTACTGTCTTGTGGAGTAATATGTCTTGCAACTTATTTACTAGACTGTTGGTTACTGATACTTTAGAAAAGAGATGACTTGTCAAAAATACCTGTTTTTAATGGAAGCACACAACCAAAAAGACTGACAATACCTCAGACCAGCTGGCTTAAGTAACAAACATTTTTATTTCTGACTGCTCAGTTGGGAGTCCAAGATCAGGGCGTCCGCTATTTCTGCTCCTGCTGAGTTCCCTCTTCCTGGCTTGTACAGCTGCCCCCCTTTCGGTTATGCCCATGTGGTCTTTGTTGAGTATGCGCACAAAGAGATCTCTCTCTCCCTCGGTTCCTTTGAGGACACTAACACTATCAGGAGGGTCTTAACCACAAGACACAGTCTAAATCTAATTACTTCCCAAATGTGCTCATTTCCAAGGACCACAAAACTACAGGTTAGGGATTCAACACATGAATTTTTGAAGTGATAAAAATACTTAACCCTTAGCAATTGGGAAACATTTAAGCCACAAGATAATAATCAGATTAAACAGAAATAAGGGTGGTATTAAGAAACATTCTCAGAGGCAAAAAGTGTTGTTCACTTAATAGTTTTAGCATATATGAAAAGAGTTGGCCTTCCTTGGCTCTGTCTAGTCATCCAGGAACAAACTATCAGATACATGAGTTGATTTTAATACTTTTTTTTTTTTCGCACCATCTCTTATTCTGGTCAAAGATGAAATATTTCCCTTAAGGAACAAATCACTCACCAGTAAGCAGGCTGGGATCAAACCATCATCTGTACAGTGTTCTGCATATTCTTTTAAATTTGAACTTTCCAAAATGAAAGTCTGGCAGGTAGAAGTAAGGTTTTCCTGTTGTAAGTAACCTAAATGAAAAAAAGTTAACTCCAGTCAATTTTACAGATTTTTGAAAAATGAAGTACAAAATGAGAACACTTTCATATCACAAATGGAACCTTGGATGGAAAAGGCTGGGATTGCCCATAAACACCAGTTTGCACTGCAATACAAAAAGGAATTCGTAAAACAGATGGCTATTTGTTGGAAAACTATTTAAAGGAAGAGTTGTTAGACAAAGTGAAAGTGACTTGCTGCACTGTCAGGCTTACAGAAGTATCAGTAATGATAAATACGAGAGAAAAAGAGTGAAAATTGTTCCTCTCCCCCCTTTTTGTATTTGCTTTTTGGGGTCACACCCGGCGATGCACAGGAGTTACTCCTGGCTCTGCACTCAGGAATTACCCCTGGCAGTGCTCAGGGGACCATATGGGAGCCGGGAATCAAACCGGGTCAGCCGCGTGCAAGGCAAATGCTCTACCCGCTGTGCTATTGCTCCAGTCTGTTCCTCTACTCTTATCATCTCCACACCGACATGGTCAGTAGACGGAAATGTTAACTCATGACACTATCAAAAACTACTGTTCTCCCAAGGTTGCTATTTACTTCTACACTTCATTTATATGCCAAATGTTTTAAGAAAAAGAAACGAACGCCTACTCTGCGAGAAAATCAAGGAACTCTGACTAGCAGTCTATCCTACATGAACCACTGAAAAGAGCAAAAAGAAAAAATGATGATCAGTCAGAACGGGCTCCTAAACTGTGCTGCTAAATAAGCACTAAGCCAGAGATACGACAGCGGGAAAGGCACTTGCCCTGCAAGCAGCTGATCCGCATTACATCCCTAATACCCGATATGGTCCCCTGAGCACCTCTAGTAGTGACCCCTGAGCGCAGAGCCAGGTGTGTCCCCCAAACCCAAGTAAATTAAGTAAAATAAAACAAAACCCGTGGGCCAGGTGATAGAGTACATGTCATGCATCTATGAGGCCCTGGGTTCAAATCCCCTTTTCCTAACCCTCACACTGCCGCCCAGTGTAGTCCCGGTAACTCCCAGCTCTGCTCCAAGTGCCCTCCTCAAGAAAACTGGCTGAAACTTCTAAAGTGGAAAAAAAAAATCAGGTGAATTCTTCAGGTGTATGACGTTTTATCTAAAGGACATTACACTTGTAGATAAAATTCAGTTAAACCATATAACTCAGTTTCTAAATTCTAAAGGGACTCAGCTGGAAACGAGGGCCTCCAAAAAAACATCCTTTCTTCCATAAAAGCAAAGAAACCACAAAGTATTACAGTCAACTCTTAGAGAACAATGCAAGAAAACCTTACATTTAAGGAAAATGGAGGAATGTCTGTAAGACTATCATATTTGTGTTTCTGATGAGGGACCCAGTTACACACCCCTCAGTGTCCAGGGATCCAGCCATGGGGGGTGGGGTGGGCGGGGAACAGGTCTGGGGATTCCAGTGTGCAAAGCCACACTACAGCTCACATGCCAGCTAGCTTCCCGCTCTACTGCCGCCATTTTAATTTGTGCAATTCCACTTCACGTACATCTTCCTAGCCAAATACATTAAAAAAAATTTCAAGTCTCTGGGGCTGTTTAACATGTTTGAACCAAACTTGCATACAAACACTCACAGTAGCATTTTTCATAATAGCCAAAAAAACTGGAAAACACCCAAATGTCCAGCAACAAAACAATATAGTTACACAATGGAACATTATTCAGCTACAAAAAGGAATTATACTGATACAGAATTGATGAACTTAAGTTCAAGGAGTCAGGCATTAAGGGCCACATTTTATATAATCCCATTTACATGAAACAGAAAAAACAACTCCAGAATCAGAAAGGAGAGAGCGATGGCTCTCACACCATGGGGAAAGGAGAAAAACAGTAGCAACCCCTGAGCACAGAGCCAGGAGTGGCTCCCAAACCCAAGTAAATTAAGGAAAATAAACAAGTCCTGGGGGGATGACTACTAGCAGGCCTGGGATTCTACTCGCAGTGATGAGAATAGTCTGGGTTGTGGTGATGGCTGTGTGTATTGTGAACATACTACACTGAGCCTTACAACTGTTTGATATATAAGTAATCACAACTTAAAGATACCCATCATTCTTTAGAGACTGAACATTCTTTTTGCTTTGCACCCTTAATTTCCTTAAGCCTTCTGTCCTGCCCAGTCAAACAAGTTTCTCAATTACGTAAATAAACAACTGTTCTTATTTCAAGGCCTTTCTACATTCCTTTTACTTGAGCAGTTTAGTTTTTCTTAGTTTTGGTCAACTCCCACTCATACTTTAGGTCCAATTTAACTGTAATTTCCTCAATTTTTTTTAAAAAAAGTACAGTAATCCCATTATTAGATTCCTGTGTAAGAGCTCTTGCAGCAGTCCATCCATGCTGATATGACGGTAAGTACTTTGCTACTACAGCAATCATTTCTAAATGTCTCAACTTAAAAATGATAAGGGCCTACTTTTTCTCACTTGAAATTGCCATCTTTAACTTAATCACACTTAATCACTTAACTTCCCGTTAGTCGTCGATTTGCTCCAGCGGGCGCCAGTAACGTCTCCATTTGTCCCTGTCGCGTGCTAGTGTAGCCCAATGGCATCTGTTCGCTCCGGGAACATGAAGGGCCTCAAACCGATCGTTCATGATCTTGACGAAGAAGTCTGACCATCTGGTAGGTGGGCGGCCACGCGGTCTTTTGACATCCCGTGGAATCCAGTCGGTAACAGCTCTAGTCCAGCGGTCGTCTTTAAATCTCATTATGTGACCAGGGCTGGAGCGATAGCACAGCGGTAGGGCGTTCGCCTTACAAGCGGCCAACATGGCCGACCCAAGTTCGATTCCTCCGCCCCTCTCGGAGAGCCCGGCAAGCTACCGAGAGTATTCGATATGCCAGACACAGTAACAACAAAGTCTCCAATGGAGACATTACTGGGCCCGCTCGAGCAAATCGACGATCAACGGGAGGGCCTTTACCTTTACCTTACCTTATGTGACCAGCCCATCTGATTTTCGACACCTTGGCAAACGAGACAGCGTCCCTGATCCTTGATCGTCGACGGATGTCAGAACTCCGGATTCGTTCTCTCATTTGAGTGAAACGTGATATTCCAAGCATAGCTCTTTCTATTCTTCTTTGGGAGACCTGAATGGCGTTCTCATCTTGTTTGCGTAGGGCCCAGGTCTCTGAGGCATATGTTAATGCAGGAAGAACAGTGGAATCAAAGAGATGTGCCCGGAGCCGGAGGTTCTTCGTCCTCTTAGCTATTTCTTCGACGTTCTTGAAGGCGCTCCAAGCCGCTCTCTTCCTCCTGCGCAGCTCGGGTGCCAGGTCATTTGTCATGTTGACCTCTCGACCTAGGTACACATAGCTGTTGCATTCGGAGATGGTCGTTCCATTGAGAGCGAATGGGGCGTCAGGAACGAGGCTGTTTCTCATAAACATTGTCTTCGTAAGATTCAGCTGTAGTCCTACCTTTCCACACTCACGGTCAAAGTCGGCCAGCATTTGTGCCGCTTGGCTGATGTTTGGTGTTATTAAAACAATGTCATCAGCAAAGCGGAGGTGGTGTAGTTGCCGACCATCTATCTTCACTCCCATTCCTTCCCATTCCAGTCGTCGCATGATGTTCTCCAGGGTGGCACTGAAGAGTTTCAGTGAAATGGTATCATCTTTAACTAGACCCCACAGATACACTGAGAATGCACACAAGTCTATCTGTGTGGTGCCGGTAGATTGGGAGCACATTAGACCAGGGCTTCTTGAAACTTGCAGTACCGTTCATCCAAGAAATTAAAAATAAAATTTTATCAGCACAGCGGTAGGGCGTTTGCCTTACAAGCGGCCAACATGGCCGACCTGAGTTCGATTCCTCCGCCCCTCTCGGAGAGCCCGGCAAGCTACCGAGAGTATTCGATATGCCAGACACAGTAACAACAAAGTCTCCAATGGAGACGTTACTGGGCCCGCTCGAGCAAATCGACGATCAACGGGAGGGCCTTTACCTTTTTATTGTATCTCCATGATTTACAAAGTTATTCATAGTTGAGTTTTAGGCATATAATGTTCCAACATTGATCTGGTCGACTATCACTGAAGAAACTTTTACACAACCCCAGATAATAAGTATAAACAATGTATGTACAAATCTAACATTTACTGATCATTACACATACATCTTCTATTTTTACTTTTTGTTGTGGGGCTACACCTTGTGGTCAGAGGACCATATGGGATTCCAGGGACTGCAAACAGGTCGGCCATGTGCAAGGAGAGCACCCTACATGCTGGCTGTACTATCTCTCCAGCTCCACACATTCATATATTTTAAAACAACTTTGCTGTTTTTAGCTTCTGGACCACACCCAGAAGTGCTCAGGGACTTTCTGGTAGGACTCAGTCAGGGGACCATGTGTGGTGCCGGGAATCAAACCTGGTTTGACATGCAAGGCAAATGCCCAACCTTGTACTTGATAGCGAATTCTACTATGTGAATTTCAGCTCTTAAAAAATGTGAAATGTGAGGCAATGCTGGGGATCAAACTTCTGACTCTGCACACCGACTCTCACCACCAGTCTTTACGTACAGGGTTACAAAGATCTCAAGGAAACTGGCATTTCATTTTAGGGAATACCTCTAGAATTTGGGAATCAACTCACCATTTTCGACTAGGAGTCGATCAGTTCCCCAACCTCTGCAAAATAATGTCTACATTACATGAAGAGAAACACACAGAAGTAAACATACTGGACCGTATAGTACAGTGGGTAGGGCAATTGTCTTATACGTGGCAAAGCCGGGCCTGATCCCCAGCACCACATATGATCCCCAAAAACCCAGCTGGGTATGCCCCCACACAGAGGGAAGAAAAGAGAAAAAGCATACTAATCAAAACCCAAATATTGTCTTTTGAAAGATGAAAAGGCAACCAACAGAAAACTTTGATCTCATGAAGTTCTTCAATGCACAGGTAGAATCACCTCAGTTATGAAATCAGATGTACT